GGAGATGGCCCCAAAACCAGCGCTCGGAAACATCAAGATTTCAGACCGAGGGTGTTGATCTGATGTCTTGCACAGGGTCTGGTCAGCAAGGACATGCGACGGTCGTTGGGTTACATGTCATTCAATTTCCTCCTGCCCACCCTCACCTTCGTGAACATCGCTCCCCAATTGACCGCCTCAGAGCTTATGCTCTGGTGGCCGCTGGCAGTGAACATCATCGTCAGGTGAGAACTCTGTGCATCCAAATTCCTTCGTCATTGATATCTCCGCTATCTCATCTCTTGCAGAAGCTGCATGCATGAAAACCAGTGTCTCCTGTACTCCAAACTCCAAATGTGATGTGCAGCCGACTGGTGGCATTGCTGACTGGATGGGCCAGCAGTCGCATGCCCGGTACTAAACCAGAGCACCGGAAGATCGTTGTGGCAGCCTCAGCCTTCGGCAACACCAATTCAGCGCTGCTCATGCTGGTGACAGCGATGTGCGGCCAGGAGCATTTGCCATTCTTTGGAGCGCTGGGGCACCAGTGCACCTCCAATGTGAGCCTTCCCCAACTGCCACACTGCTCGGCTAGCCTGCATGGCAAGCAGTGCTGCTGATCTACAATTCTTTAATATGCCTGGTTACTCGTGGGACACTCACCTCGCATACTAGGCCTCTCAGATCGGATACTCGGATACCTGAGAATTCTAATATCTATTTTGAGAAAATACCCTTCCTCTGCAGGGGTACGCATACGTGGCGATTGGGCTTGCGGCGTCCGCCTTTCTGACGTTTCCAGTGGCGGTTGCCATTCTGAAGCCCAAAGAGGCCGCGCCGGCCCCCCAGCCGGCCGCGGGCAACCCTTCCAAAGCCGACAGCGGCCTGCAGGAGATCGTCATCGCCGGGCCGCCACCGGACGGCTGCGCAGCGGCCGATGCGAACGGCGCCGTTGCCGAGCCGCGCTGGGCTGAAAGGGAGAGCAGGCGCGCCGCGTTGACGAGCAGTGTCTCGGCGCCGGTGGGCGCTGCCGGCCGGGCCCGGCACGCGCATGCGCATGCGAGCCCCTTCAGCGCGTGGCAGCGCGCTGGGGAGGCAGTGAGCTGGCAGGCTGACGGCGCGCGCGAGGCGGGCGCCTTCGAGCGCTTGAATAGCCTGAATGCGCGGCGCGCGATGCTGGCTGTCAGTGTGCCCGAGGATTGTGAGGGGGAGCAGCTACACAGGGCCAGTGAGGAGCACAGTAATGTGAAGGAGATGGAGTTGGTGCAGGCTCAGACCAGTGGGAAGTCGGGAGTGGGCGGGAGCAGCAAAAGCAAGAGCATAGTGGACATGCTGCACATCAGGTAATGGCCTCTCCATGTCTTGGATTGAAAAGCATGATGCATGCTCTTGAGCTCATGCAGCGCTCTTGAAGCCTGAAGCGGTACCTGCTCCTATCTTTTGCCTGTTCTGCTGCTATTCTATGTGCCAAGTCTGTTGTCCGGTCTGCGGTGGAGTTTGGTACTCCAGGGGCCCAAAGCCAGTTTCCTTTCATTTCATCTTTCAAGTCCTATTTCCTACATCCCCCGAGGGTGACAAGAGCGCATGCATGTGACAGGGGCTGGCAGGAGACCCGGGCGGCCAAGATCGCCCGCACGGCACTTTCTTGGTTCAACAAGGTAGCGCCGCCGCCGACAATCGCCAGCTTGGCGGGCCTGGTGGTCGGCTGCGTTCCCTTTCTCAAGAACATCATGTTCCCGGCAGAGAGCGCGCCGCTGGGGTTTGTCACAACCGCGCTCAACACAATCGCGGCCGCGTTCGTGTTTCTCATCTCCTTCATCTTGGGCGCGGTGCTCCACAAGGGCCCAGGGCCCGGCACGCGCTCGCTCGGCTGGCTGCCCATTCTGATGACCGTCCTCAATCGCTTCCTCTTCCTGCCCGCCCTCGGTGCGCCCTCCATCGCTGCAGGACCTCTCGCACTCTTTCTTCCGGGTCTTGGTGCATTGATCGCTGCATTTTCCTGCGCTGTTTCTGCCTGCCCTCGATGCGCACACCATTGGTGCAGGACCTCTCGCACTGTTTGTCTGTACTCAGTGCGCAGTTGATTGGGGCAGGAACCTGCGCTCTTTCTGGCTGCTCTTAGTACGCAGCGAATTGCTAGATTAGCACCATGCCCTCTTTCTGCCTAGCCTGGTTCCTCAATTGCAGCACCCTGCTGCTACCTTGATGATGATGCTTGCAAGCTGCTACAGAGATGATGAGGATTGCCATGAACCCCGCCCTTGAAATGGCTCACAATGGTGCATGAGGTAAGGGAGTGCTGGCATGTGCAGGCGCGGTGTGGGTGTTTGGGTCACACCGGCTGGGCTGGTGGAAGCAGCCGGACCCGCTGTTCACATTTATCATGCTGATGACTAACGCCACTCCCACCGGCAACCAGATCCAGGCATGCACCTCTCACCAGCCAAGCTCATCGAGCTGTCTACTTGCTGCCGTGCTGAAAGAGTAGAGTTTTTGGCCTTCTGAATACCTGCAAGAGGCTGATATGACCTAGCAGGAAGCTGGCAAAGCGATGGTGCCAGCCGTAATTCAGTCCCGCCTGTTCCAAGAACCGGAGGTTTCCTCATGACGGGCCAAGTTTTTTTCTTCCAAATTAAGCTGTTCTTGCGAGTGAAGCTGATGACTGCACTGCAGAATAATTTACATTGAAATCTGCTTGCAGGCGGTGTGCGCCATGTACCATAGCTGCGAGCAGGAGTGCGGTTCTGTCTTATTCTGGCAATACATGGTGTCAATCGTTGGCATTGCTGCCTGGATGGTCATCTATATCTATCTCATGGGCGTCTTTGGGCTCTTATGATGCTGATTTCTTGCTGTCAACATTCCTGCTGTGCTCATTTTATTCATCTTACTGCAGTAATCTGCTGGTCAGTGTGCAAAGAACTTTTCAGTCCAATAGGATGTGGATGACAAACATTGCAGACACAATTTCTCCCTTTTTTGTGAATGCGTGGTGATGGTGCCATTTTCATGTGGCTGCCATGGGTAAGCATACTATGGCTCAGGTTGAATTGCAGGTGCAGTTTAAGTGTTAGAATTGCACAAGTGGTCGTCTGTGACACAACTGCCTTTTTTGCACTGTCGCATGTCCAGACTGCCGCTCAGTGGCACCTTTCAGATTGTGTTGGGACATGTTTGTGTTCCTGTGTCTTGCGGCAGAATGACACCAAAGTCATAGAGGGTTCGACGGGCACCAAGCGCAGATATGTCCTGTCAGGCTGAAGACAAATTTAGAAGATGAGATCCAAAGCAGATGCATGCCAAATATAACTTACAAGTAATAGGAGCCAGCTGTAATCTAGATCTGAAGATCTGCCACATCATGGCGCAATTGGAAACACCCACATTGATATCATTGCTCCATCACAAGTTCAACAATCCAAAGTAGGCACAATTCAATTGCTTCATTTGTAAATAGCAGTGCTCTGCAGCCAAGTCTGGCACCGGTCCTCTGTCACCAATCTGACTACCAAAAATGGCACAGCCATGGGCATTAGCCTCTCATGGCTGCTGTACATGTGCAAAGAAGTAAGCTAGAAAATGCTGCGTAACAAGTAGTCGACACCCACTTGCATTCCCTGCATGTAGCTGTGCGCATCCAGCATCAACCAAACCCTTTCACCACCCACAACTTAGACCACCCCGCCCTTTTTGCAAGGCAGAACCTCTAGGACAGCAGCGATAAAATAGTCCCATGGTATACTTCCGCACCTGCACCATCATTTTGGTGTCAATTCCAAACTCGCTAAAGGCCATACCCGCCTGCACACAAAAGCAAAAATACCCTCAAGAGTGCGCGCAGGCAGGTGATCTGAGCGCAGCACTTCGCATTTTCGCCGGCGCCAAACTCACTTTACTACACAGGATGGAGGACCAGAATTTCAACTCTGCAGTCACAGAAAGGTGTCCCACAGTGTTGTGCGTTCTTGATGAACATTATCAGCATTGCAATTTGCTTTAATGGATAACAGGTGCAGCCTGTTTTAGCCTTCCAAATTTGATTTGTCCATCAGGACAGCTCATGCACAAGTGTAATCTCTCTCTCTCTCTCATGCAATACGTCCGAGAGTCATTCACATTTACATCAAAGACGCGCTTATCCCTTCAGTTCTCATCGGGTGCATTGCATACATAACTCCATCACAGCTGCCATTTTGTCGGCGCTGTATAGCTAGCCGCCTTCACTTGCTAAGTTCATAACTTATAAACATTAAATGATCAAGATGATCATCATCATCATCATCATCATCATGGCCCAGCACCAGCTCATGACCCACAGCAATCATCTACGACTCCCAAGAGCTATGAAGAGGATCCTATAAAGTTTGACGCCTCCAGGACTTGGAGTGAAAGCCTTATCGTGACTTGAGACACTAGTGCTTCTTATCTGTAATCACTACATCATCCTGACGTGTTGGCAACAGCTGAGCCCATAACTTCGACAATTCTGGATGAAACAGCATGCAACAAGACTCTGCAGCAGAAAGAAGAAAGGACCCCAAAGGTTGCATTAATATTAAACATAGCCTGCAGTCCAATGTTTGGCCAGCCACAGCTAATGAGATTTGCTGTCAGACTTGCACCTTATAAGATGGACGGTTTTCAATAGTACTACCAGCAGCGGCAACCTTCTAAGCATTTACCAGGAACAGAAATGGCACTGCTGCCACAGCAAAAAGGCACACAGACATGCTATCAACAGGCCTGGTTCCTAGCACCTGGCTCTTGTGATTTTCTGGAAACCCGGACTGTCAATGCTTTCAGGTCAAAAACAACAAAACGAAGTATCCGTCCAAGTGCAGCAGGCTCTCTCGATCCCAGGAAGGCCACAAGCATAGTCGTGCGAAGAAGATGAGCTACTCCGCAAGCATGCAGAGGCTCCTCCAACAAGGGGCGAGTCCTCTCTGACACCGCCAAAAGAAGGTGGGTGTTGGGGTGGGGAGCCCCACGAGTAGATTCCTGTAGATTCCCCGGTGAGGAACTCAGATCACCAGCTCCTCTTTGGACACCACCACACCATCTGCACAGGCATAGATCTGCTGTCAGCGCTGCAAATGACAGTAAAGACATAGCCATGATTCTCACTATGCAATCACAATCAGAATCATGTCAGGCAAGAATGCAGACATGGAAGGCAGTACGAGCGCAAAGGTAGGGAGGAGGGCTGACTCATTGTGTAAACAGGCGTGCATGGACAATACAAACATCTCCCGGCCCGGGAGCACTTTCGATGACTCATACTGCAATTCAAAATAAGCTCAGGAAAACATGCCTGCATCGGCGTACACCCAGTCACCCGTGTTGATGGTGATGCCAGCAAAGGTGACTGGCTCGCCCTTGGTTCCTACAGGCGCCTTCCCCGGCTTGACGGGGCAGGTGTTCAGCGCCTTCACGCCCACAGGAAGCTTTCCCAAGTCCTCCGTGTCGCGCACGCAGCCATTGATGATAATTCCCTGCAGCATGCATGCCAGCCTCCTCTCAGGTTTCCACCTCTGGCGAGCCCTTCCAATTGTCACTACTAGTCACCACTAGTCACCCTTACCTGTTTCTGACAGAGGTAAGGTGTGTCTGCAGACATCGTGCAAGTAATGACTGCCAGGCATCCAACCTGACTGCCTTCGGGGCTGCCAACAGAAGAATTGACACTGCCATGAGAATGCAGATCTTAGCAAGTGAGTAAGTTAGAAACAAGGGGAATGGGCAAGGATCAGCGTGTTGTGCACTGCAGGTCTTTAGAGGCCTAGAAGGGACGCGCACCGAGAAGCCGTTACGGTGCAACTTTGCGCCGAGGATGTCGCCCAGCAGAGCGCAGCGCTTTGAAGCCTGCCCATCCACCACCAGCACTCGTCCCTCGCCCGCCTCGTCCAATGTCTGCATGCACACATGGCACCCTCACTATGCTGCCTTGCGCTTGCTGACTTCCAAGTCGGACTGATCAAAAAGCCAGTTCGCCAATGTGCCAATGCCCCACGCCGGACTATGCACAGCGAAGGGACAAGGGGCGCGGATGAAGTCAGGCCAGCATTTTCTGCTTGCATGCATGCATGCATGCATCATGGCGCCCTCACTGTGCTCTACTCCAAAGCTCAGTCTTCCCAAAGTGCCACCTCACCATTGCTGAGTCTTCGAGTGCCAGCCATGCCAGTCATGCCAGTGAAAATGATGCAAGGGGCGCGGATGAAGTCAGGTTAGCAAGGTTCGCATGCATGCATGTTGCTGTAGGGTGAGGGGTGTTATGAGTGAGCCACTCACCTCGCGAAGCACCTGGTTGGTCTCCAGGCACTGAATAGTGATTGCTTTGCCGCTGAAGCGCGTCTTGCCCCCATAGTCCCTGAAATCCATAAGATTACACTCGTTCACACTTTTGTTCCACCACAGGCGGCCAGTGACATGTGCAGCCCATTTATCAAAGCTACTCACAATAAAAACTAGAAGAGCACTTCAGGCCAAGGTAGAAAGTACAAAGAAGGGGTGGTTCAGTGCTGGCATTCTGCAGGTGAAAGAGCTATTTGGGCTGCATGCTGCTTGCCTGAAGACATTCTCGGCTACACGGACGTCCATGTCCGACATCGCCTTCCATGCCTACAGAAAATGACAATGCGCATTAGAAGGGACAATTTCTCCACTACAGACGTTGGTATTTCAGAGGTGTGCAACATCTTGCGCATTGCTAGGTTGCGATCGTTGAAGTTTACCAGTAAGGCCCTACAATTGCACTGGCCTCACTTCACCTCACGCAGGTGCAAAGATTGACACATTGTACAAGAGTGACACATTGTACTAGATTTGAATCGCCTAAAATGGGATAACCCTTTAGCACGGCCCCTCTTCAATCTGGTGCCAACCGTCGGATACAGCTTGCGGGAATAACCTTTCACAACTTCTCTGCTGATACTCTTTGATGGCTTTTGAAGCAGTGAGTCAGAAATTACCGAATCGACGTCGAGGTTGCAGAAGGTCGCATCGAGCAGATCACAGGTTGCACCCCTGGCTCCGGCTGGGGGTGTGGGTGGAGGCTTTGTAGACACATAACTGCTAAGTTTTCGGACGATTGAGATAGAGAGGCCACTCGGATTCGACTGGAGACCGTTCTTGACTCCGCTGGGCCTGAATGTGAAGCCAGCCTTCTCTTGAGGGTGGTCTTGGTAGAGTTGGTGGAACTCCTCGGTTATTGAAGCCAGCTGGGTCGCCATTGCCACTGCGAGGAATATTCAAATCACAAAGTCCACTTCTGCTTTGTTACAGTGGTCGTAGATATTTGTGATAGAGCCGGAAACTGCGAATTTATGAAATTCAGGGGAGAACGGATTCGGGTACGTCAATAGAGACGTAACCGGAATCTGAACGTGAACCTGAAGCTGAACCTGATCAGGAACTTAACCTGCATGCGTAACCTGAACCTGATTTTGTTTCATGCTGCTTTGATAGGGTTGGATACCGCATTGCAGCAACAGTGTGACACCGATGATTTCACGAGTCGAAATTTCAGGGTACCGATTTGGCATTCAAATTCTGCACCGGTACCGGTGCTGAACCCACTGGGCCAAGTATCGGGTATCACCGAGTCGGCCGTCCCAATGGTAGCGTTTTCCCCGACTGTACTTCTCGGCGCCTTCTTATCGACACTAAATTTAATCTTGATATGTCTTCCAGGTTTGCCTTCCCACACACACCTTGCGTCAGTTGGTAATCGTCACGGTTTTTCTGAAAGAGCCCTCTCAATAGACTATGTCTGTGTGCAGGTGTCTACTTCGCAAGACAGGTTTGGCAGCTCCACTTCTGGCACTGGATAAAAAGGGTTTACTTTTATATGCAACGCTGCCGTTGGAGATGGTCCCAAAACCAGCGATCTGAAATACCAAGATTTCAGACCGAGGGTGTTGATCTGATGTCTTGCACAGGGTCTGGTCAGCAAGGACATGCGACGGTCGTTGGGTTACATGTCATTCAATTTCCTCCTGCCCACCCTCACCTTCGTGAACATCGCTCCCCAATTGACCGCCTCAGAGCTTATGCTCTGGTGGCCGCTGGCAGTGAACATCATCGTCAGGTGAGAACTCTGTGCATCCAAATTCCTTCGTCATTGATATCTCCGCTATCTCATCTCTTGCAGAAGCTGCATGCATGAAAACCAGTGTCTCCTGTACTCCAAACTCCAAATGTGATGTGCAGCCGACTGGTGGCATTGCTGACTGGATGGGCCAGCAGTCGCATGCCCGGTACTAAACCAGAGCACCGGAAGATCGTTGTGGCAGCCTCAGCCTTCGGCAACACCAATTCAGCGCTGCTCATGCTGGTGACAGCGATGTGCGGCCAGGAGCATTTGCCATTCTTTGGAGCGCTGGGGCACCAGTGCACCTCCAATGTGAGCCTTCCCCAACTGCCACACTGCTCGGCTAGCCTGCATGGCAAGCAGTGCTGCTGATCTACAATTCTTTAATATGCCTGGTTACTCGTGGGACACTCACCTCGCATACTAGGCCTCTCAGATCGGATACTCGGATACCTGAGAATTCTAATATCTATTTTGAGAAAATACCCTTCCTCTGCAGGGGTACGCATACGTGGCGATTGGGCTTGCGGCGTCCGCCTTTCTGACGTTTCCAGTGGCGGTTGCCATTCTGAAGCCCAAAGAGGCCGCGCCGGCCCCCCAGCCGGCCGCGGGCAACCCTTCCAAAGCCGACAGCGGCCTGCAGGAGATCGTCATCGCCGGGCCGCCACCGGACGGCTGCGCAGCGGCCGATGCGAACGGCGCCGTTGCCGAGCCGCGCTGGGCTGAAAGGGAGAGCAGGCGCGCCGCGTTGACGAGCAGTGTCTCGGCGCCGGTGGGCGCTGCCGGCCGGGCCCGGCACGCGCATGCGCATGCGAGCCCCTTCAGCGCGTGGCAGCGCGCTGGGGAGGCAGTGAGCTGGCAGGCTGACGGCGCGCGCGAGGCGGGCGCCTTCGAGCGCTTGAATAGCCTGAATGCGCGGCGCGCGATGCTGGCTGTCAGTGTGCCCGAGGATTGTGAGGGGGAGCAGCTACACAGGGCCAGTGAGGAGCACAGTAATGTGAAGGAGATGGAGTTGGTGCAGGCTCAGACCAGTGGGAAGTCGGGAGTGGGCGGGAGCAGCAAAAGCAAGAGCATAGTGGACATGCTGCACATCAGGTAATGGCCCCTCCATGTCTTGGATTGAAAAGCATGATGCATGCTCTTGAGCTCATGCAGCGCTCTTGAAGCCTGAAGCGGTACCTGCTCCTATCTTTTGCCTGTTCTGCTGCTATTCTATGTGCCAAGTCTGTTGTCCGGTCTGCGGTGGAGTTTGGTACTCCAGGGGCCCAAAGCCAGTTTCCTTTCATTTCATCTTTCAAGTCCTATTTCCTACATCCCCCGAGGGTGACAAGAGCGCATGCATGTGACAGGGGCTGGCAGGAGACCCGGGCGGCCAAGATCGCCCGCACGGCACTTTCTTGGTTCAACAAGGTAGCGCCGCCGCCGACAATCGCCAGCTTGGCGGGCCTGGTGGTCGGCTGCGTTCCCTTTCTCAAGAACATCATGTTCCCGGCAGAGAGCGCGCCGCTGGGGTTTGTCACAACCGCGCTCAACACAATCGCGGCCGCGTTCGTGTTTCTCATCTCCTTCATCTTGGGCGCGGTGCTCCACAAGGGCCCAGGGCCCGGCACGCGCTCGCTCGGCTGGCTGCCCATTCTGATGACCGTCCTCAATCGCTTCCTCTTCCTGCCCGCCCTCGGTGCGCCCTCCATCGCTGCAGGACCTCTCGCACTCTTTCTTCCGGGTCTTGGTGCATTGATCGCTGCATTTTCCTGCGCTGTTTCTGCCTGCCCTCGATGCGCACACCATTGGTGCAGGACCTCTCGCACTGTTTGTCTGTACTCAGTGCGCAGTTGATTGGGGCAGGAACCTGCGCTCTTTCTGGCTGCTCTTAGTACGCAGCGAATTGCTAGATTAGCACCATGCCCTCTTTCTGCCTAGCCTGGTTCCTCAATTGCAGCACCCTGCTGCTACCTTGATGATGATGCTTGCAAGCTGCTACAGAGATGATGAGGATTGCCATGAACCCCGCCCTTGAAATGGCTCACAATGGTGCATGAGGTAAGGGAGTGCTGGCATGTGCAGGCGCGGTGTGGGTGTTTGGGTCACACCGGCTGGGCTGGTGGAAGCAGCCGGACCCGCTGTTCACATTTATCATGCTGATGACTAACGCCACTCCCACCGGCAACCAGATCCAGGCATGCACCTCTCACCAGCCAAGCTCATCGAGCTGTCTACTTGCTGCCGTGCTGAAAGAGTAGAGTTTTTGGCCTTCTGAATACCTGCAAGAGGCTGATATGACCTAGCAGGAAGCTGGCAAAGCGATGGTGCCAGCCGTAATTCAGTCCCGCCTGTTCCAAGAACCGGAGGTTTCCTCATGACGGGCCAAGTTTTTTTCTTCCAAATTAAGCTGTTCTTGCGAGTGAAGCTGATGACTGCACTGCAGAATAATTTACATTGAAATCTGCTTGCAGGCGGTGTGCGCCATGTACCATAGCTGCGAGCAGGAGTGCGGTTCTGTCTTATTCTGGCAATACATGGTGTCAATCGTTGGCATTGCTGCCTGGATGGTCATCTATATCTATCTCATGGGCGTCTTTGGGCTCTTATGATGCTGATTTCTTGCTGTCAACATTCCTGCTGTGCTCATTTTATTCATCTTACTGCAGTAATCTGCTGGTCAGTGTGCAAAGAACTTTTCAGTCCAATAGGATGTGGATGACAAACATTGCAGACACAATTTCTCCCTTTTTTGTGAATGCGTGGTGATGGTGCCATTTTCATGTGGCTGCCATGGGTAAGCATACTATGGCTCAGGTTGAATTGCAGGTGCAGTTTAAGTGTTAGAATTGCACAAGTGGTCGTCTGTGACACAACTGCCTTTTTTGCACTGTCGCATGTCCAGACTGCCGCTCAGTGGCACCTTTCAGATTGTGTTGGGACATGTTTGTGTTCCTGTGTCTTGCGGCAGAATGACACCAAAGTCATAGAGGGTTCGACGGGCACCAAGCGCAGATATGTCCTGTCAGGTTGAAGACAAATTTAGAAGATGAGATCCAAAGCAGATGCATGCCAAATATAACTTACAAGTAATAGGAGCCAGCTGTAATCTAGATCTGAAGATCTGCCACATCATGGCGCAATTGGAAACACCCGCATCGATATCATTGCTCCATCACAAGGTCAACAATCCAAACTGGGCACAAATTCAATTGCTTTATTTGTAAATAGCAGTGCTTTGCAGCCAAGTCTGGCACCGGTCCTCTGCCACCAATCTGACTACCAAAAATGGCACAGCCATGGGCATTAGCCTCTCATGGCTGCTGTACATGTGCAAGAAGTAAGCTAGAAACTGCTGCGTAACAAGTAATTGACACCCACCCAGCATGTAGCTGTGCGCATCCAGCATCAACCAAACCCTTTCACCACCCACAACTTAGACCACCCATTTAAACATGCCAGCAATGTGCTGGCCACAACAGTGAACTGTCGGACACCCCTGACCCATTTACTTTGCAACCTCTGGGGCAGCCTCAAACCCCGCCCCATTCTCTTGGCTGGCAGTCGCCCTCGTTTCAGGACTGATCGGCCACTTGCAATCCACGGGGTCCGACTTCTTGCAGAGGCAGATGAGCTTCACCCGGTTATCATTCCTGTTCCACACCACCTTGCGCGAACGTGCATCCACCCCCTGCAGCATCAACAAGGCAAAAGCTCTCACACTTGCCGCGCCATGCACTGGCAACACTGCTCCACACGTGGCGCCCGCAGCGGTCGCGAGGCCAATCTACCCTGATGGGTTTCTTGTTAATCACCCTTGGTTTCATTTGTCACCCCATCTCTCAGGGGCGTTGAATATATATTCCAGCAAGCCAAGTGATCACAACGGCAAATGGACTTGACGTCGATTGGCCAACAACACGCGGAAGCACTGAGAAACACGCCGTGCTCATAAAGTGGCAAAGGCTCCAGTGAGTCACCTCAGGGTTGATGACCAGCTGCAGGGGCTGCTCCACAGACTTGGGGATGTCATAGAACCCCACTAGAACTTGGCCGACTTCCATAGCCCGCGCTTGTAGCTGCAGGAAGGAAACCTCCTCCCCTTCAGAGGCAAAGCTGGAGCTGTCCTGCAATATACACAGGAGCAACAATAGAATAAGGTGTCTCAATGTGTGTCTCGCCCTTTTTGCAAGGTAGAACCTCTAGGACAGCAGTGCCACCCAAAACAGTGCCATGGTCTACTTCCGCACCTGCACCATCATTTCGGTGTCCTTTCCAAACTCGCTGTAGGCCATAACCGCCTGCACACACCACACATCAAGTTGGCAAGGACGTTTGAATACTTCCCCCACATCAGCACAGGCCCACCATGGAGACTTCGGTAATTTGTAATCAGATACCCATCACCCTTACTGTTTATGTCACCATGCACATGTAATTCCTTAAGGCGTCCCAGCCGCTGCAATGGTGTGTGCAGGGAAGATCATTGAGCACCTTGGGATTGTAGATGGCCTGGCTGAGGATGCGAGCGCTGAAGGAGGTGATGTTGAACACGGAGCCGAGCGGCATGCGCCCGCGGTCCTCAAATCGCGTGATGCCCTGAAACGCTATCTTCTCTGTGATGATGTTTATGTCTGGGAATCCCCTCTCCTCCTGCCCACACCACATGCTGCTGTCACTTGGTGCAGCGAGGAATGCTGTCGACTAGCACAGCTGGCCGTGCCACTATGCAGCACAGCATGTCTGTGGGCTCTTCAGCTGGCGAAAAGAGCATGTTCCCAGTGAGGGCAGCTGTTAGCAGGGAGAGTCTTGAAGAGGCACAGTTGACCAACAACGCGAATGTCAAAATGGCGACACATGACAGATAGCTGGGGCTGCATTGCTTTGCACCATGCCGCTATGCAGGTTTCGAGGGGCGCAACTTATTTTCAGGGGTCTACAACAACATAAACCCCCACACCCTATGAGTCATTGGAAACCCAGGAGGAGGGAACGCGTCTGCGCGCGCACCAGAAGCTTGCGGATGGAGAGCTGCACGGTCATGACCATGGAATCCAACCGGAGCATGTCGTCCTTTGTGCGCAGGGCGATGCCGTTAGCCGCGTTCTGGTCGGGGTCGACCCAGGCAGCGTCGCACAGCACGATCGCGCTGTTAAAGCGCTGCACCTCCAGTTTGGACTCCAGGTCGCGGTACTTGAGCGGGTCCCCGTACACATGGATGACCGAGGCCCGGCTCATCTGCGCCGCCTCCCACGCCACGCCTGCGCGCCGCAGAGAGTATCCTCACACCCCGCGCCCTCTGCTGACTAAGCAGGGGTTGTTCAGCAAGGCTAGACCAGTATCTGATCGGCAGTTCAACGGACTGAATTGCCAAATGGGTGCCATCTGAAGATTCTTCTGACTGCTGCTCACGAGCAGGGGCCATGCAAGCCGGGCGCTGATGATGGCTTGGAAAGGTGTCCTAGCGGGGTGCAATAGCTTTACACAACAAGGAGAGGGGTGTTCAACAAGCGCTCCCGCATGGGGAGAAAATCATTGGTTTGACAGCACATGTAATCCCATTTGCAATTCTAAACACGTCCTGTGATTGCTGCTCATTGTCAGTGGTGACTGGGCTGTGTGCTGGGTGCTAGCTTGGAGAGGTCTGGCGGAGGGGTGCTACTGCTCCACATAAGCAAGGGAAGCACTGTCGAGCAAGCCTCGAGATGAAAGGGATGGGTGCAGATTCACTTGCAGGGTGGATTGCAGGGTGGCTCACCCAGGACGTCCTCCTTGCGCTGCAGGTTGAGCAGGGTGATCTGGCTCATCTTGGGAAGCTCCGCATCCAGGCTGTGCAGCAGTGTTATCATGAAGGTAGAGTCGCCCCAGCCGCACACCAACACATTCTGCACCAGCACAACACAGTCTCACATGCCAGGAACCATTAAGAATGTCATAGATATCACGGATGTCTTGGCTGGCGCGTAAGATGATGGTTGAACAGGAGGCAGCCAGCCAGATATGTTGAGATGCACACTGCTGCAGCATCAAGTAATTGACAGCTTGAGGGCAAGGAGGGGTGTAAACAGGAGAGCAGGGGTGTACCACTGGTTCTTCTGAGGTGGCAGAGTACTCCATGGGCATGATGTAGCAGCCGGCGGCCTGGGCGGCAATCCCATTTTTCTTCCTGGGCCCCTTGATGACCAGCGGCTGGCCTGTGATGGCCGAGCTGCAGCTGGTCTCATCCATGCTCTGCGAGCCGCGCACCCTCACCGGCTGCTCATCGCGGCTCCGCATCACATACCCCTCAGAGCTCCAGTCACCTGCCAACCAAAGTTGACATCATGGACATGCAATGAGATTTCCTCATAAGGTTTCAACGACAGCATAAATGCAGAAGCTGCAAAAGGAACAAGCCGGGGTTCTCATTGATTTATGTTGTCAATTCATGTGTGCACACCTAGGTCAACATCCAGGGGCTTCCTGAGAGGGCGGTAATCATCTTCCGGTATAGACGTTGGACGCATGAGCACCTGCAGCAGATTTATCACTGTAAGATGCACATCAAGCGCTCAAGCAGCAGACACCAAACTCAGCAAATAAAACAGTAAACAACTCAACAATATAATGAGCGCCTTGTCTGAGATGATGCTTCGACCATAAAATCATACCAGGCTGTCGTCTGGGCCAAGCAGAGTCTCTGCAGGGGGATTCAATATTGTCTTGCCAGTGACCTTGTCGCTTATGCCCAGGATGATGGCATCTGGAAACATCCTATAGAGCTCGCCAAAGTGCATGCCCTGCATCACACGCACCATCCTAAGATATCAATTTGTCTGCTAATCTGTCTGCGCTCCTCAAAGTGCTAGGAAAGCTGAACATCCCAGAGTGTGTGCAGAGGGACCATGGGACCATGTAAATCAGAATCAGCCAGAGAAAGAGTCCAAGGGAAAGAGACGTTTGCTTACCTGTACAGCTTGGAAAGACATGAGGTAACCCTGGGCACGTGACCGGAAGTTGAGCAGCATCTGTGAGACGTAGGTCAGCACAGGGTACTGTATGTTGCGGGAAATCCTGCATGATGACAAAGGTCTTCAGTCATGAAATCTAGACAACGGCAGAGGCACATAAACGTTGCATGAGCCTTGCTGAAGAGCTGGGAGGTGGCTGACCTTCGAGCGTTGAGGTTGTTTGTGGGAACAGGGATGACGCGTGCTGAGCAGCTGTACTTGAGAAGGCCCACAGCTTCCTGAGTCTGCAGGCCCACAACAACGTAGCCCCGCCTCGGATCAGGTTTCCCCAGCCCTGCAGCACGCATGACAATGCATTAAGTGCACACTCAAGTCCAGCACACCATCCTCACAATGCAGCTATGGCCAGAGCACAAACAGTGTGCATTGCAACCCACGAACCTGGGAAGTCCAGCTCATCAAGGAGCACTGCAGCGCGCAGTGACTGCGAATCTGCTTCTCCTGGTCCCCTGCAGCAAAGAACCCTGTGCTTCAGCAGGCCTTACCTGATAGAATACGAAGCAACTGCCCCTTGGAAAGATGGGAGCAGATGAAGCCATGAGACCGCTTGATTGCAGGATGAGATGGGGTGAAGTGGGCAAACCTGGAGGTATCAGAGACCAGGACAGTGGCAGCTGCAGAGGAAGCTGCAACCACCCTCAAATCATCCGGCAGGAGAGGGTTGCCCTGGCGGAAGACAAAAGTGCTGCCATATCGCTCGTCCTCTGGAATGATATTTCGAAAGGTGTCCTCCATCTCTGTCTTTGGCACCAGGCTCAGCACCACGATGACTCGGCCGCCGTCGGTGCGATATGCCAAGCAAAGCTGCACATCGCAAGAGAAGCTATTTGCGCGTTGTGTTGAGCGATAGCATGGATAGCTATTTCTTGTGATCAGGGCAAGTGGACTGCTAACTTGCTGTCATCAGGTTTTCATGCTCCTCGCAGGTACTACTCACCTGGGCCAGAATCTTCCAGATCACTTCCCTGTCCCTCTGAGTGTTCGCCCAGGCAAGCACCAGGATGTGTCCCTTCTCGTAGACCACGCTGCCCCGGCTGACATTGTCATTGAGAATCTGAAGGACGATCTGTCAGCACCAGGAACAATGGTAAGCTGCCACTATTCATAATTTGTTTACTTGGTCTGATCACGTGAGCAACAGTGAGGTTGGGCTGAGCAAAGGGCATCAGCAAGGCTGGGCTCAGACCTGCTCAACCAAAGCCAGGACAATCGCGAAGGCCGCAAGCCCGATTGCTGCCATTGACACCGAAAATGCCTGTCGCGAGACACTCTCTGCCTCTGGGAAGTCCCCAAACCATGTGATCAATACCTGCATATCCATGTGAGTATGAGAAGCATGTCATCTTGCAGAGCTCTGTGGTGGTGCATTGAGTAGTTGGACTGACCTCGTAAACATTGGTCCACAAGTCAGAAATTGATGGCTCCTTTCCATCGATGATTATTCCCTTGGCGAATCCCGCAAGAAAGACCACGGCCAGATTGAGGAGCAGGAGCAGTTGCACATCCGCCCAAGCATCCTGTACTACAAACAGATTGATCAGAAAACGCAATTTTCTGCATATGGAAGAGAAGATGAGAATCTCCCCTGTGCCAATGTAGCCGCAGCGGTCCTGATGATGCATAGTGACAGTTTTGGAAACAATCACCTTCCTCCAATTGAAGTATTGGTATGTAAATCTACCCCAGAGCTCCCTCAATCGCCCCACAATAGGTGATTCTTGAAGGCCCCTGTCGCCATTCAGTACGTTCCTGCCAATTATGTCTATCTGTTGAGCTTTTCTTCTGTCTCCTTTCTTCCTGCACATTTCCGGGTGCTTTGAGCATTCACCATCATATATCACAGAGGAAAGCTTATGTTCCTCTAGGATACCAATATTGGGCACAGGATATGACAAACAAACAAAACAAGAAAACAACTTGCTGTCGCGGCATACATTTTGTGAGGAGAAGAATGTTACTTTGATATTGTAGACGGAAGACGACGCTCTGATCCATTATTATCTGCAGAACAGTTCACTGGTGCACGTTTCCAGCTTCCGATCTTTCTTGGACCTGTGCTTGCTTTGCACTTTGCAAGATGCCTCCGTCGCAAAGCTTGAGGGGCGACCAGAGGCTGGTTGAGCCCTAACGAGAACATGCCATGTCTATGAATATGGTGCATGACAATAAAGGGATATATGTCGAAGTCGAAAGAAGTGCGGCCCTTCCCTCATATTAATAACAATGTAAGGGAAACATCGACAATGCGATCACAATATATAACACCACCTAATAATTTGCTCCACTGCAATTCCTGCCTAGCTTCGAGTCCGAAAGAAGGCACAAGTCTGAAAGGGACTCACGTCAGCGCACAACAAATGCCAAATCTGGACTAATCTTCACTGACGATCACATTGTCTAGTTGCTGCAAGAGTTGACGTCTCCTACGATCTTCAGCAGCAAATTATATTACTATGAGTTTCACATCGCAGTTCTAAACACGAGCATTCTGTCGAAGGCTATGTATTTTGCACCGGGGCATCATCTCTAAAAGTGTACATTTGCTTCGTCGAGGGCTGTTCCCATGTCAGCGTTCTCTTCCAGGAGTGTAGACAGAGCTTTCAAAAGCACTTCGTGGTCCCAATGTCGAAGGCGATCTTTACCAGCAACAACTTTGCAATGTCCCATGAGGGTATGGTCTCAGTTCCCACTGTAATCCTGGACAGAAATCTCTGGATGGCGGGAAATTTATCAGAGCTTTGACGCACATGTATGACTCTTGTGTATGGTGTTACCACAGAGAAAGAGGAGAGTATCATCAGCACTAGCTGTGACTGAGACAGCAAGAAGCGAGCAACTGATTCAGTGGCTTCAGGTGGGTCATCCAATCATGATTCAGTGGCATTGAGTGCACACATTACACTGCCGCGCGATTGGCATCATGTGTGTAGAGTTCTTAAATTTTCAAGAGTACTGTTGTTCAGGATCATGGAGCCCCACAACAGGGAGTGTCGATCAAGGAGGTTGTTCAGGAGGGAAACACACTGGACGTCTCAGTTGCTGCTCGCGACCTCCAAGCAGGTCAATATCTCTCCCTGCTGCTCTTGTTGCAATTTGATGCAATCTGCAAAGGCGCTTGCCTGAGGCTCTTGTGAAAATGTGTCTGCAGGCGAATTAGCCCTGCGGATCCCTGATCATCTTGTGATCACATTGGATAGAGTCTTTGAGGATGAGGTGAGCAGAATTTGACCTCCTTCCCTTCTGGCACGGCAGAATGGCGCATGAGCGTGGGATTGAATAATTTGGCTTGTACTGCTCACAGTCTCTGGCAGAGCTCTTGACGACAGACAAATTGAGCGAGCTGGCGTGTCTGACACTGTATTTGATGTACGAAAAGAAGAATGGGAGGCAGTCAGTGTGGTACGAGTTCATCAAGGTGAGTGTGTCATGAGCTTTACCCTTGATTGACAATCCGCAGCTGATCAGTTGATTTAGAGGCCCTGGAATTCAGCCCCCTATTCCAAGCAGCCACCGTCATCCGTTGGCTTTGTCCCTTCATGCAGGAACTGGATCGAATCCAGGGCAGAGGGCAGATGGGTGCAAAGTCCCCTCTTTTGTGGGACGAGGGTCAGGTGGATGAGTACCTTGCTGGCAGTCCCCTTGTGGCAGAGATCAAGGAGCGGCTGAAGGTATGGACACAAACTTTTACTGGTGAATTTTCTCGCATTTTGACTACCAACGCCCTTGGAACTGACATCTGTGCATGGTATGCAGGGCATTGAGAAGGAATACGCAGAGCTGGACACTGTGTGGTTCATGGCCGGGAGCCTGTTCAAGAGCTACCCCTACGATGTCCCCACTGAGGCCTTCTCCTTGAAGTTGTTCAGACAGGTGCGCTGAACTTGCGTTCCTTAATTTTGTGTCTCAGCATCATGCTTAAAGCATGCAAGGGCAATAATGTGCGTTGGAGTCCAGTGCCATGCTTGCGCTGACAGGGCAGATGGGTGCTTGCTGCAGGGCTTTGCAGCAGTGCAGGCGAGTGTGGTCCACTTGCAAGGGGTGCCCCTGTCAAAGCGCTTTGCGCTTGTGCCGCTCGGCCCTCCTCTGCTGTCTTACTCCTCCACTGCGAAGGTGGGACACTGGATGTTCACCAGCATGCGTTTCATGCTGTTGACAGAATGCTCTGCAAATTGGTGCATAAACATGTGGTACCGTGCGAACGTCAGGTTGTTGTCTGTCATGGGTGCTGCAGGCCATGCTCACATACAACAGGGAGGCAAAGGAGGTGCAATTGGCGGTGGATAGAAGCTACACAAAGGGAGAGCCCATCGAGGCGTGGTGTGGGCCGCAGGTGCGTATTTTTGACATGCCTGCTTGTTACATAGTCAATTATGTTATTTTCTGCAATGAGAGGTGTGTTGACGGTGTTTGTGTATGTGACACAGCCAAACAGGCGGTTGTTGCTGAACTATGGGATCGTGACGGACAACAACCCCCACGACAAGTGAGCCGCCCAGCGCCTCCTCCCACATTTCCGCCTTTTGGCTCTTGCTTTTCCCTTTCTGCTACGTGCAGGATTGCACTGCGATGATATGTGTTAATCGACATTGTGTTGCTCCCAGGATGGCGCTCACTGTGACCCTGCCGCACGCGGACCCCCTGTTCCAGGCCAAGCGAGCTGTGCTGCAGCAGAACAACCTGTCCACCCAGCAGACCTTCCAGCTCCAGCGCGACAAGGTGCTGCAGCACTTCTTCCCTTGAAGTACCCACCTCATATGCATCACGGCCCTATGCTTTCAGAGCCCACATGCATCTCGCATCATGACCATCATGCTATTTGGGGTCGAGGGAAGTCAAAAGCATGTTGCATAATAGACTGCTTCATGTAGAGGGCATGTCGCGCCTAAGGCCGGGGGATACAGTCAACATCACCTTCTATACTTTACTCATCCCTGAGTATGGGTGCAGGGCCTGCCGGAGCTGCTGCTGCCATACTTGCGGCTGGCGCACTGCACGGATGCAGCTAGTCTCAAGCTGGCAACCCTGGACACATGCTGCGCCGCGCCCATCAGCCCAGAGAACGAGCGCACCGTGCTGCACCAGCTCGCCTCCCACCTGCAGGACCGCCTCGACAGGTGATTGTCCCTCACAGGGCGGCCTCTTATGTGCCCAATGAGGCACATCACCCATATGCAGTCCAGCATATCAGGCCCTTGTCAATGAGCCCAGCTTGAAAGAGGTTGCTCGCCCTGAGTGGGCCTCCTATTGCCTGCCCATATGAAGTCATGAGCAGAAAAATTCAATGTAGAGTTAAGAAGAGGAGCAGATGACAGATCTCTGAAGAGAATTGCATAAGATCAGGCCAGGGCCCATGTGCAGAACCATTTCGAGTTGGTGAGCGGCTTCCCATGGTGCAGGTACAAAACCACATGCGAGGAGGACGAGGTGATCATCCGCAGCACCACTGCAGGGCCACGCCAGAAGGTGGCAGCGCGCCTCCTGCGCATTGAAAAGGCCATTCTCCGAGGTGCTCCTCCCCTGTAGCTCACTCTCATAGCGCTTGCACCCAGACATTGTGGCAATGGCACTCAGAAGGCGCTGGACTTGCTGCTTTTGGGGCATCGGGAAGAAGCCCACGTAATTGCTCTGCAGGTGCTCATGAGGAGACGATGAGAATGATAGGCAACAGCGGCAGTGAGCACGTTCACAGTAGCAAAGTGAATGTCAGGCTGTCTTCATAATCCTTCATGGAGAGTGAGAGACAGAGTCCCCTGTGAGAGAGCGAGAGAGGGGGGAGATGAGAAGAAAAGGCACGGCCTCTGCAAAGATGCTTTTGAAGGCGTTAGGGCATAGATTGCTGATGTGCCTGCTTGTGCAGGCGTCCTTGGCAGTGTCATGGAACAACCAGAGGCCCGGGAGGCTGTCGAGCAAGGCTGGGCTCCTGGGGCGGCCGTGATGGCTATCAGAATTGCCTTTTAGACCTCCAGTGAGTCCTGAGCTGGCAGCTGCAGGTTGTAATATTATAGACAATTATTTTCTGATGCTATGTCACTTTTTGTAGTGGCAGAGGAGTGAGCCAATGACCCCCATGCGCTGCATTGTTCTTGACAACTTGTTGATTGAATCTGACTGAGATCGGATCTATCGCTAGCCAATTATTTTTTCCTGTCTTAAGAGCTTGAAATCCTGTAATACGGTGACAGTATTGCATTGAAGGGTTGATCCTGATGCTGCACTCAATTACAGTCGACGATTAAGTAACAGTGAACACTTGTACACTTCTTGGCACAGCAAGGAGGGTACATGCTAAGTGGAAACTGGGGGAAGCTGCTATCACGTGCTTGAATTTGCACCGTGATTTTGCGAAGGCCAAACACATGGAGTTCAGATATATATACTGACAAAGATTATCTCAAAACACTGCCAAGAACATCAACAGCATCTATTCGTACGCTGCTTCGCGTTATCCAAGGGAGTGATCTGGAAATCCTTGAGACTCTACGGTAGAGCATTCTGGAGTTCGAACATCTGTAAAGCTTGAAGATTATCTGGGAAATCACTAAATTGGATTTTTGCCTCGTGACTGGCGCACATGCACAGGAGGACAGCCAAGCTCTGGCTTCCATCAGAAACTACCCAGGATGAAATAGACAGGTTACTTACTTCAATCGTGACAAGTCTTTACAGTTTGATGATCAACAGAAGCTGTACAACGAGTTCCGAGTGCATTGAATTCCTCAGAAAGGTCCCCACCTGTCTGTCAAACAGGGAAAAGGGGGTAGCAGAGAGCAAAGAAGATGACGAGGACGACGATCTGGACAAACTTTTGGAACAGTATGATAAGCAGGCTGAGGAGGATAAGGTCAAGGTGTTGTCAGCACTGGGGAAGAAGACCCTATCACAAATGGGAATGAAGGAGCTTCGTGAGACTGGACTGGCACAGCCATTATCTGCTGAAACCAAGTGATTTTACTCCCCTACCTCCATTTCAACTCAGCCACTGCTGCTGTGTGTGTATCCTGTAGTCTGACAAACATCGTGTTGCCGATGGGATGCTGAGAGCACTGTGTTGCCAGAGGCTTTCAGATGCTGGCCAAGATGGGCTACAAAGAAGGAGAGGGCATAGGAAAATCTGTCAAAGGGAGGGTCGCGCCGATTGCCATAGATCTCAAGTCTGGCAGGACTGGCTTGGGTGTGGATGAGGCAAGGAAGCGGCAGAGAGCTGCAACAGACCTCTTGAAACAAGAGAAAGGTAATGTGGAGAATTTCCCATGCCATACAAATGCGCCGCAGTTTGCACTGGGTTGCTTGCATACGTTGAGAGAGACTGAATGATCTGAGTCTTCTATTTTACAACAGATGCCAAGCGAAGGCGAGGCGTTGAGGACCTGCGTTCAGACTACGTTACCAAGCAGGCTGCATCATTTGCAGACAGACAGGCCGAGCGGAACCTGGCCCAAGCACGCAAGGTGAATGCCTCAGGCTTGCAGTCGGCCCCTCCTGCGCCCAAAGGGCTGTGATAAAATGCAGCAGGTTGATGCAGCTGTGCCAATGTCTTCACTCACATGCTGCAGATCTGACAAGACATTGTCTGGACATCTTACTTCTGGTGTGCAGGTTTGCGAAACTCTGGACAGGAGGAAGGGCATCACAGAGAACGTGATGTGGCCCATAGAACCAGCGAGCGACGATGGCGAAGAAGAGAATGAGATCAAGGAAGGCAGTTGGGAGGCCTTGCAAGTTGCCGAGAAGCTAGCTGATGTCCTGAGCTGCTTGCGGTCCCGCCACCTCTACTGCCTGTTCTGCGGCTGTGCGGTAAATTGATCCTGCACCGAACTGTGTTTGGCTTGTAAGTGGTTGTCTTGCGTCTCAAGCTTCTAATGGCTTTGTGCCAGAAGAAAGTGCTGACATTTTTGGTTGGTCAATGCAGTATGACAGCAAGGATGCGATGGATGCGGCGTGCCCTGGCATATCAGAGGACGTACACTGATATCAGCATTAAAGTTAATATGATGATGTGAATGTAGAATGGAACAGCCCCTCCGGAGGGTGTACAGCAAATGGTAGTGGCGGAGAAATACCCTATTAACCACCAAGGTTGGGTGACAACTTTCTAAAAGGGCTGCAATTGCGCTTTCAAGATGTCCTTGCAACAGAATGGCATCAACAATTTTGGGCAGACATAGTGTGGCGCACATTAAATACAAAATGCTTTGCGGCCTTGTGTCTTGTAAAAGCACATCTCTAGAGGCCATGAGCACTGAGCCAGCTCAAGCACGGCATGACAAAGGTGATTACAGCCTGTATCTCCTTCGACAAAAATTTGCAATTATCAAGCCCCATTCTTCCTCTGTGGTTTCCCGCTCCTCCTCTGCCGGGTGAGATCCTTCTGACGACTCTGTCAAGGAACCAACAAAGTCAGATCGTCCAGCTAAGGCAATGTGTGAGATCATGCTGAAAGGAGTATTTGCAAAGAAGCATGCAAGCTCACCTTGCTTGTGGCAACCTTCGTATATAGGAGCCTGAGCTGTGTTAGCCTGCTTGGCTGCCTTGGATCCTGGTGCATATGGGACTCAAAGGACTCTGTGGGCGAGTCTGCATGCAATCAAAGTGGATCAGTCTAGACCTTGGCGTTACGAAACAAAGCTTGTTTGACAAAGACACATAAATAAACCTGTTGTTACAGCCGTCCCCAGGCCGCGCAGTGGCTTTGCTGGAGGGAGCAATTCCCCATAGAAATCCAGCAACTGATCCTGAAGAGACTTCCTGACGGTTAGGAACTCCTTTGACATCTCAGGACCTGCAAAGGCATTCATATTGAATGGATGCTGTATCTCTCAGATATCTCTTCGACATGGCTCTAGAAATAGGTGTGCAAGGTGGACAAAGACTGCACACCTGATTGGATCAGGCCTGCTTTGTCCCTCTGACATGCGCCATACTCTCCTGCTCTTTTTACATCTTTGGTCGCTTCTCTACTATGACGCCCTGTGGTTGGCAGCTGCTGGTCACGGGTAGCCATGGGATCGTGAAATGGTATCTTGTACAGCAGGATCCTGCATCAGACATGTGCATAGTCGATTGATTGCAACTTCTGTGGAAAACAACTTTTCCATCGTGGGACAAAACCCCTGTGTCAACTTCATTGCTCCTGCAGAAAGGCAACGATGCAGGCTCACAAAAAAGATTCGTATCTTTTTTGAGTGAGTTAATTGCAGAATTAAGGTAGCCTCAGATCCCCCACAGTGACTGCAGCTATAGTGCTGTGGATCGACGTTGTCGATTTGATACAGGACAGCCTACGGTCCTGCAAGGTAATGTCCCAGGAGCGTTTAGTCACGTTAATAGATCACAGAGATCTGACTCTGGGTTGTAATCCCAGTTCTGTCGCGTGCTTGGTTGAACATTTCTTGGGAAGGTGGGTGGAAGCTTCCTGGCTCAATCGGAAGCTGGATGCCTCAGGTGCATCATTCCCTTCATATCATCATGTATCCTGATCCTGCCTCTCTCCAAATTCAGATGATGTAAAGCTGTGGTCTGTGTGGCCTTGGGCACAGAATTGGGAGTCGGAACACTGGCACACACCTGGGATCATGGGAGTGGTGTACTCTTTGTTGGCCCCAGAAAAGATCGATCACAATGAAGTCGTCTTAGTCCCTCCACTATTTGAGCGTGACCACAAGGGACGCTCTCGCCTCGCGAAGAGCTCATACGATTTTCTGTTCTGCAAACCGAATCTCAGATGGCTGTTCAATGACTATTTGCCCTGTGGAATCAAGTCCCTGCTGCATTTCTCACCCCCAGAAGACCCTCGCATCAGCCTCACTGCACGGCTGACTGCATCCACGAAGGTGGGGGACTCCCTGAAGCATGTGGAGCTGGGGAGCAATCATTTTGGTGCGCTGCCTTACCCCAGCTTTTAATTCACAAGACTACGCAGCTTGGAGTTGTCAAGCTGTGCATTACATGCATATCTCAGACGCGCCATGACGCCATTGTGTGGGCATGCTGATAGGCTCAGCGAACGTGAGGTTCCAGACAACACCGACTCACCCATCAAACTTCACCGACATCAAGGTGTCCACCCAGGTAGCGATCCCTCGCACTCCCCAATCCCATTCTCGCCATGCACCTCGCATATGTGTTCTTGTGATCATCAAGCCAGGAGAACTCTTCAGATGGTGCTGCTGAGGTCTCTCGGCACGCTGGCAGGGAGAGGGGACAGCGCGAGTGCGCGGCTGTTACCACAATCCCCGCACCGGCCTGGGCCTGTTTGGCATTCTGCCAGTGGTGACAGAGGAGCTGGATGCTTCACCTGATGCCAGCCTGGGGCTGCGCTACAGCACCGCTAAAGTGTCCCTCGGGATCGTCACCAACCCATTCTCCGAGTCTGTCAACCAGATCTGGGCTGTGCGTCCTCTCTCAGAATCATCTTCTGTGCAGCAAGAGCGTGATCATGCCTATCTATCATATCCTTTCTACGTGCAAGCGATACACTAATGACTGTATAGCAGTACAACGCCTGCATGTCCCCGTTCTCTGCGTGCGAAAAGTCGCGAATGCCCTGGTGCAAGCTTCACAGGTTGGGCTGTCCACCTGCTATCTGCTGCTCCAGGCTAGTGGCTAAAATTGCAGAAAGTCTGCATTTTCTAAGCTTTGACAGGGGAGGAGCAATGAAATAAACCAGACTTTCTGCTCAGGTTGCGCGGGAGGGGCCGCTGACAGCAGGCGTGCAGCTCAAGGCGCCGCACCTGGAGGACCTGTTGACGAAGCGGCCGCAGCAGGCGCTGAGAGACGCGCAGTCCGCCAGCAGCTTTGCTTTCTCCTACTCCCCTGCAGGCCGCGCCGTGGGTGCGCACCACACCTCCCTCCTCCTTTGCATTCCCCAGAGTTTCCTTCCCACATGTCCATCACATCAAAGAGAAGGTTCAATTGGAGTGCTGTAATCGTCCAAAAGCGCACACAATCTGCTCAACAACACCTACTGGGATCCAAGCCATAGCCTCATGCATAGCACTTGCATCTTTTGAGAGCTTTTTGATGGGTGATTTTCAACGGCCCACACATGTGTGGTGTGGGCAGGGCGAGGGCAATTCACAGCGGCGATAGAGGTGCAGGAGCAGAAGCGGCTGATCCTGTCCTTCCTGCACCACATGGCCGTGCAGCGGCTGTGCAAGAACCCCTTGGAAGATGAGGAGGTGGTCGGCATCACAAACTACCTCGACATTGGGCTGCAGGCAAGCTCCGTCACCTTCCTATAGGTCCTCTTCAGGCAGACCTGCCTGATCTGTTGAAAGCAATGTTTGCATGTGAGTTCTTTTTAGGGGCGGTGTGCATGCAGGTGGTGACCAGCATCGCAAAAGGACACAAGCGGGTGGATACGAGTAATATCGACACCATGGCCAAGGATCTCAGCAGTGCAAACCCCAACCTGCGCCTCGGCGCAGCCTGGCAGGTGACCTCCTCGCTCCCTCACCTTTCCATTGTACTGCACTCAGATTCTGCAAATGCCCCGCTGTAAAATCTGCTCTTTGCAGGAAAGAATGTGGTGGTTGGCTTTTTTAGCGCAAGGATGATTGCTTGCTGAGGGTGTTGGATGTGCGTGCAGGTGAACAAGAATGTACTGGTGAAGGGGAGGGTGGGGACCGATGCAGCAGTGGCGTCCCTGGCCTTCAAGGCATGGTGGCAGCCCAGCTTCACCTTTGCAGCCTCGGCAGGCTATGATCTGAGCAGCCGCAAGCCGCGTGTGGGCTTTGTGTTCAACGTGGAGAACTATGGCAACATACGGTGTGCTCAGCTATTTTCTGCTTCCTCTGCTCCCTGCACATGCCGTTCTAGCAGGAACGCCGTTCTAGCAATCTCAGAGCAAGCATGTTCATGAGATTGCAGCAGCAGATACTTATGCAGCCTTGGTTGCTCCTGTGCAGGTACGAGCGCGGTCAGCAGACAGCATTTGGAGGGGCGCTGGTTCAGAGGCACGTGGCGCTACCACAAGACCTGGCCAACAGGGAGGGCAAAGGGCTGCTGGTACGTGCTCTGCTCGGCAAGAACAACATTGAATGTGTGCAAAGATCCTTCATATGAAGATGAGCAAGCTGAAGGTGTGCTGCTGGTTGTGCTGCAGGTGCAGCGAGATGACTTGGACAATGCCCGCATCCTGGGACAGGCCACCACGGATGCCAGCTTTGTCCTCTGAATCCAGCTCTTAAATTGCTTTGTGTTTTACCGGTACTGCTTGCAATTTATCTTGCACTTTGTATATATGAGCTGCCTGAACTGTCTCTCTTGTTTCTTGTCTGTTGTATTAGAACAAGACTTGCCCGCTAGTTGAGTTCAGGGAGCAAAATTTCCTCTTAATGATCTTATTACAGGTGAAGCAGAGATGCAGGCACTCTTTTGACATTTGCTCAGGCCAGCAATCTTTGTGAACAATTACAGTATATATTGCATGATATCAAACAGGGCCTTCTAAATCCATCCACAAATGCCCCTCAGTTCCCCTGTGTGAGATATAACAAAATGATGTTCTATGCATGCGCTGAGTTTCAAAGGTATCCGGAGTGTCTGCAGCAACCCCATTAAATGCATCAAACCCATTACGGTGATGGTTCCCAGTCCTGCTGGCCCCAGAGATAATGGCCGCTTTCTAAAGAAATAGAAGCAGTAACAGTATCTCTGGTGTATGCTGGGCGCTCCCCTCCCACGATCCTCTCCATGACGACTATCACTTCATAAGGCCCGCAAGTCTATAAAATAACCATGCCCATTGTCAGTTCCCCTGGCAGATTTCCCCGCGACAATATTTTATGCGTGCAACTGTCCAAGAACAGACTCGACAATTCAATGTGATGGCAGATTCTAGGTAGATACATGTACACAACTCTGCACAGGCCTACAAAGAAGTGTAATAATTATTGATGTCTGCATATTCCTTATAAGATAGTCGCTGCCTTGCTGTATTGCACAATGTTGCTACTCAGTGGCATCTTGAACATGCAGTGCCCATACTGACAGGCACTGCACCCCTAGGGCGCCACTGAACCAAGGCCATTGTAACTGGATGTGGTGTTTTGCGTGGGGGGCCCGCTGGAGGCAGTCACGAAGTCATTGCCTTGCAGGTTGGAATATAGCAGCCGGTTTGGCGTCCCGGGCCGCGACCCCGACAGATTCAGAGTGGCTTTTGTGGCCGCGGCTATCAGCACGCTCTTCACCTGCACACCCACCCAGCACATTTACTACTGAACCCCTGTCTGATGCACATATTCTAGGCAGGTGATCACTCGTTTGTGCATAGCATCACCCAAGATCCCCCTGACTACAGTGGCAACTGCTCACAGCAGTTGTTTAACCAGCAGCATTTCGGCGCCAGGCAAGCCCGGGTGCCAGCAATGAACTAGAGTGGTCTGGATGTAGACTAGCTTGAACATTTCTTAGTCTCTACTGTTCATCTATGTGTGAAGTGCTGCTGTTCTGAGCTCCCCAGCCACTTTTTGTGCACCTCAATCCAAATTTAGGCAGGCCATGACAATGTGGGGCCCATTTTCTCTGGCACTCCTCTAGGGTGGGCGGCCTGAGGGAATTCTGTGAGCAAATTTCCAAGGCAGCTCGCACCTCTGCTGGCTGGGCCTGCGGGTGGTCCTGCAGATAGATGGCCGCCACGCCAGCCACATGTGGGGCTGCCATCGATGTGCCACTGCCCCAAGTGTAGGAGCTGTCATTGACTTGCGCACACCTGGTCAAATGACAGTTGCACGCTCACTTACTACCTCACCTTCAACACCATGTGAGTCGACAAGGATGCAATCCCAATTAACAGGCAACTACCAAGGCAGCTCTCACAGACCTGCAGGTCTCTTGCAAGCCAGCCAATGATCTGCATTGAACAGCAGTTTGCATCACGAGAAAAGTGAGCTCACCGGAAGGAACCACCGCAAGCTGAGTACACATCCACCTGCAAAACCCACATGCACACTCAGCTTGCAACGGCAGTCGATGTTTACAAGAAGCATGCCTGCTTCACAAAGCTGCTGAAAGCACTGTATTACGAGGCAGAGAGAGCAGCCTACCCCTGGTGCCAAAACGTCCACGCAGCTGCCTGTGTTGCTGTAACTGTAGAACCCTTCAACATCGCCAAAGCTGGTCGTATTGAACTTGGTTCCCAGATCTGAACCGGCGACGCTGATTGTTTCTCCAACATCCGCTGCACAGCAGACGCACAATTGATAAGTCAGAGATTGGCAAAATGACAAAAGCATCAATTGTCCAGCAGAGGAGATTATAGAGAGGAAGCACCTGGCGCAATATAGCAGGAGTCCACATCACTGTTGCCAGAAGCCACCACGACTGAGATGTTGTACTGGCGGATCAGGCTCCTGGCAGCCTCCTCCAGAGAGCGCGACCACTCACCGACTGGCACTCCCAGTGAGAGCGTCGCAACGGCTGCACCACAACAAGTGCACATTGGGGCATGCATCATGGTGGCAGCACTGCAGATTCACAGGAATGGGACATTGGACAGAAGACAAGTGTTTGACATCACATGGGACTCCCTTGACGTTGAGGTTTTCAATGGCTGTCACGAAGGGGTTTGCAATGGGTATGTATGGTACCTGGAGGCTTTGCTACACGGCCAACCCAGTCCAGGCCTGCAACAAGGTCGCTGATAGTCCCAGTGCCCTGCATGGTACAGTAATGCATGGAGGGCATTTCTGGTTTGAATGTGAGAGTTCCTTTCAGTGCAGCTTGAAAACTGAGCAGCAAAGGCGAGTGCATACCTCGCAGTCGAGCACTCGCACGGCCACAACATTGGCTTCTTTTGCAACGCCAACATTTCTTCCCACAGCAGTGGCAGCAACATGGGTTCCATGCCCATCGCAGTCGTGAGTCGGAGAGTCCTGAGTGAAGTTGCCCACGTAGTCAATCCTGCACTCCAAACAAATCATGCATGTGCATGAATGACATACACACCTGTATCTCACAGGACAACGTCTGCATGTCATGAATTTGCTGTAAGGTGAGTGTGTGGCTTGAGAAGGAGGGGCAGAGCTTCACCCAAATGTTGCGCGCCGCTGGCCAGTGAGCTCACTGACAAATTCCTGGTGCGACAGGCGCACCCCAGAGTCCACCACGTACACAGTGACGCCTCTCCCTGTGCCGCTCGAGCTCAATGTGCCATACCTGCAAGCCACCTCATGAGCCACATGTGGTGGTGCCATAGAGCATAGTCCACGGATCACATGCTCCTATATTTGATGACATGCATCATTCTGCATGGACTATTAAGGAATGCATTTTTTGCTAAGGCACCTGTACTGACGGTCCAGAGGGAGATGGCGCTGGTCAATGCGGTCCAAATTCCATAGCACCCCATTTGGCCTGCATGGCAGAAGGTACTCAACGAGGTCCTTGTAAATCCACATGCAATGGCAGAATGCATTGATTTTACATGTCAGTACAGATGTGGGTCGCCGAGACTCACGGCAGCCGCTGCACGTGGATGCCCGCGTTTCCACTGTCCTTCTCGCCGCTGTTGAAGAGAGACATGTCGGCGCTGGGATGTGAGCTGTCTGTGCCAATACTCTCTGCAGCACATACATTTCTGTCAGCGCTATGCTCCGATCTTTACTGCACAGCACCCACTCACAATTTTCCAGATGTGATGATGAATGATTGAGCATGGCAACACCGATGGATCAACATCACAGGGAATGCTTGCTGAATGCTGTACAGTGCAATCAGAACAGAAGTCTTGTCTCACAGCAGCATGCACCAGTGTTCAGAACAGAGAGCCCCCATGGATCCCCCTTCCCCCCATGAGCCCCAGATGCTTGCCATGCATGCTAGCCAGACGGCGCTTTCCTCCATACTCGCGGACCACCGAAGTGGTCGCGTTGCTGCTGGGGTTGCTCAGGACGTTCTGCCACGTGGCAGCGCTCCTGAACTCCTCCTGGCCCAGGCCTATGCGAGGGCTGCTGTCCGCCCCGGAAGCAGACGCCGATGGCAGTGATGGCGGCGGCAGGACGCTGCTAGATCCTGAGGCAGGGCCGCCGCCCAAGGGAGCCGGGGGCGTCAAGCCGATGGAAGTGGGCAGAGGGGGGGCGAGTCCAGCTGAGGGCATGGCAGTGGTGCCAGCGGGAGACCTGAGGGTGGCTGTGTTCAGGCCACTGGACAAGGACATGTCGGGTTGCTGCAGCACCGACCTCCTCTTCCCACCTGCCACAGCAGTTGCATGGCATGAGACACAGACTCAGGTACCACCTTGTGAGTGCGTGATGGCTGGCATCCCATTCCTGCATGCTACAAAAGGCAGGCAGAAATAACAGCCCAGCATCATCTGTGCATGCATGAGGCAGGGTGATGGAATGTCATGCATGTTGGGTTCACATTGCTGGCAAGCGTGGAGGGCATTCCAACCTGCCATAGCAGTTGCCACTGCCAATGAGCCAGAATCCGATCCTGAGTCCTGATCAGTGCCTCCTGTGGATTTATCAAGGCGGATTGATGGGATATGGACCTGCCAAGAAACAATGTCAGTGTCTACTAGGACCTGCATTACTTGCAAGATGTGCATGCATGGACTTTCTGACGCAGGCCATGGCCACTGCATTGGCGCGTGCTATTGCAAGGAGCTCACCTTGCTATCTGTCTCCTGGTATTTTATCCCCCCTGGCATGCACTCTGCTAGAATGGCCATTTGCTTGAATGTGAAAACGCCAGCAGTGCCTGCAAGACCGCTATCTTGTCACATCTGGACAAGACACCAGCCATGCCAAGCCCTTATGCATTTTATGTGGGCTTCTCTTTTCTCACCGATGACTGCAGTGGTGTAGACACGCCTGCATGTCCCTGCATGGTGCACACATCTCATGAGCTGCTCATGATGAGCACAGACAGGCTCTGCAAAGCGCACACCAGTGTTGCAAAAGCTTACCTGGAGGAAACACGCAGTATGCCGGCAAATGCTGGGCAGCCCATGCTGACTTTGTGCCGTTCCTGGCACATATGTGAAGGAGCAGCTGCCCATTGTCTGGTTCCTGGAGACACACGAAACCAGTATGCTTGCATTCTGTGTGCCGTACAGAGGGGCTGATCACGAGACTTGGATGCAAGGCGGTGCTCTGCATGCATGCAGATTGTCAAACAGGGCAAGCTAGGGACTGGGAGAACTCACCTTGTAAAAGATGACAATGGTTGCTTTCGTGCTGCCATCAGTCCCTGTCTTCGTCACAAAAGGACGGGACGGGACCGGCAAATTCACGTTCAGAGCTTGCAGATCTCCTGCATTCAGGACCGAGAGAAGGAGCAGCCAACAAAGAAAAGCAGCTCGGTTTTCCATGCTGCTGATCTATCCCAGTGAAACAACTCTGCTTACTTCAAGTGCTGAGCATAAGGAAGAGTCTTTCTGTGACGGCTCTCGCAACGGGCTGCGCTATCTTGCCTCGTTGCTCGACGCTATAGCCGCTAACAATGTGAACGTTCACGGTGAGATCAGATCCAGTACTTCACCGGTTCTCTGAAGCTGAAGCAAAGTGGACTCCACTTAGTGGAGCCGCCTGAGGTTCCGGGTCGGAGCGAAACTGTTGAGATCAAGACATCGGCCTCCTGTCAACCCGCAATCTTACCCTGAGTGGCCCCCAGAACAACGCAAAGATCCTTTTTGTGAGCTCGACCTTCCTTTTGGAACAAGTGGAGAGGACGACTGCATGACACCCAGGTCAGACATGCACGCCAGTTTTGGCCATGGCCTGCTGCCGCATGATGGGCTTGCATTGGGAGACAGCTCAATGAATTTGATGAAGACCCTTTTCAGATAGCTTTACAATTGATATATTCGTTCAGAAGGCTTTCTCACTAGTTGCAGGACTCGTAGGAGGCATCGATCTTAACTTGACAGCAAATGCACTAGGCCATCAACAGTTGTACCAGGTGAAGACAAGCAAACAAAGACGGTGGAGTGATTTGAAGATCTCAAGAATTATTTAAGAAATCAATTACACCGCACATGATGTGTGATCAAGTTAATGCCCTCTAGTTGCAGACCTTCACACATCGTGTCAGGCATAGTCACAAAGTTCTGGTAACCTCGCAAAGTCTTTGCCCTGCGCAGTTGGGAAGTTGAAGAAAATGTTGGTATGCTTAGGTTAGGATTTCATAGGCAGTTTGTGATATGCAAGAAGGCTTTGGGCTGCTTCGCTCGAGCCGCAAAGGCCTCCACAGCAACACGAACGCAGTCAGAAGTCCTTGAGCTCAGGATGGGGAAGAAAAGAAAGCTTGATGCGGCGAGGCAGCAAGATGGCTTCTACTGCCCTGCATGCAATCAGATGGCCCTCAAATGGTCTGTGTACTCTCGGCACCTGCAGCGCTGCTGCCCAGACCTCCTGGGGGGCAAAGAGCAGCTGCGCAATGAATGCCTGGAGCAGGCCGAAGTGGAAGCAGAGACCATCAAAGAAGCCCTCAAGCAGGCGCTTTCAGAGGAAGAGCTCCTAAGAAAACAATGCGTAAGCACTCATCTCTGGCTTCATGCAGAGCCATCCCAGACCCGGGAATTTCCCTGTGTTGCGCAATGGGAGACTTGCTCGCTCTGGTTACTACAGTGGTAATCAATGCATCTGATCCAAATTCCACAGCTGTAAGGAAATGCTGTTGATGGTCATGCAGATGCAGCTGACATTCAAAGGAGTGGATGAAGAGGGCAATCCCATGCGCCGTGACACTGCGGCAGTGGCAGAGCTGATGGAGCTGCCAGAGGCACGCATTAAGCTGATGCTGCATCGAGCCCTACGCGCCATCCCGCTTGTAGCTGACGACGAACCCATCACAGTAAGTGCACTCCTTATTCAATGTGGATTCCCAATGCATGCATGCTTGCTTTGGCAATGTATGTGTCTGCTTCCTTATATGGTGACTTCAACCCCTCACGCATGCAGGTCATCTATGAAGATGATGACCTGCTCGCAGTCAGCAAGCCTCCCTTTCTGGTCACTGCTCCGAAGCACAGATGGCAGGTAGATCTCTGTCTTAGCCCGTCAAGCAATCAGGGGAGCCAGAAAACATTTGCATGGGCTGCTTCACACTTTCGTTTGCCTTTGCAGGGTGGTAGCCTGGTCAACAGAGTTCTCAATTACCTAGGTAAGGGACAGCACATTTCGATGACTGCCTGTGCTCAAGATAATCCCCACATCGGTGATGGTGTGCTAAAGTGGGATATGTGATGGCATCTGCAGGAAAACCACCTCATCCTCTGCATCGGCTGGACATGAATACAAGCGGTGTGGTGCTCTTTGCCAAGTCACCCGACATTGTGGCGACCATGCATGACCAGTTCAGGAACCAACAAGCGCAGAAGCAGTATCTGGCGCTGAGCCTAGGAATTCCCAGCCAGTCCAGCTTTGTTGAGGACGGGCCCATTGGCATGCACCCCTCACTCAAGTGCGCCCCAGAAATCATGCAGCTGTTGCTTCGCCTGAGCTAGAAAGCAGACCCAATCGCCAGAAATTATGACTTGAAGCTGTCTCAATGAGATGTGCAGGTTGTCCTGATGTGTTGGTTCTATGACAGGGTGGCAAGGAGGGTCTGTGAAGATGGCCTCCCTTCCAGGACACACTTTTGGGTGCTGGATAAGAGCAAGGTTGACTTCACCAGCGAAGTTGCTCCTTCAGAGCTGGTGCCAGACATATCCAGCCTGGAGACCAGGTGGCAACTTTCTCCTGGCTTGGAAGGTTCTGCTCAGCATGCATAAATGTTGAATGATCTGATGGCTCCAGCAGTAACCGCCATTTGGATGCCACGCATGCTAGACATTGTGCTAGATCTCTAAAAGCATTTTCTCTCAACAGGCAGGCCAGCCTTCTGTGCTGCGCACCCCGGACGGGGAGGACACATCAGATTCGTGTCCATCTCGCGCATGCAGGCCACCCAATTGCAGGCGATGAGATTTACGGCCTGAAGGTGACCTGGACTCCTCGGCAGCTGCTGCATGCAGTCCGGCTGCGGGTGACTCATCCGCGCACAGGCCTGCCGTTAGACCTCCAGGCACCCCTGCCGGAGGACTTTGAGAAGGCGATTGCAAGGCTCGGGATGCAGATGCCCCAGGAACTGCCAGAGCTCCCAGCCTGACGATTGAGCACTGCTCATGCTTCGAAATTGATAGCCAGCAACACCTGCAAAATACTGCATTTCTGCATTTGCTGTTGAGAGTTTTGACGATGGTGCAATGCTCCTCAGCGCTGTGTGCTGGTCCTGATTTTGCAGAACTATGTTTGTGCAGCCAATATGCTTTGATTTTCTAGGTCAAATTCTATCTCGCTAGTTGAATGACACATGTGCAGAGCTCTGTTTGTGACAAGTCTGATTACTATCAGAGCAAACGCATGTTTATTTGCACTTCCAGGCTGAAGAGCGCAGCCCTCCCAATGTAAACATGCTTCTTGATATACGTGAGATGCTCTATCTTAAAATACACTCCTACTGTCAATGTTAAAACATCAGTACGGCTTTGTCTTGATTGCCCAGATCTTGAGAAGAAGCGACAACTGGACAAGTATGACAGCCTTCCAGCTTGCCATCATTTTCAATGCTGAAACACTCTTGTAGAGATAATTTGATTGGTCAAAGATGCTGTAAAGAATAATAATGATAATCAGAGGCAGTCTCAAACTAGGCTCACCAAAGGAATACTCAACCACATCCATGCACAGTAGAACTCGACCCTGCTCAAGAGGGCAACATATACAACTCGCGCAAAGTCCGCGCTGCGATTCGGGAGGTGAGACGGCTGATGATCCCTGGCAGCATCTGAGCAGCAACCTCCGGCAGCAGAGGTGCAACCTGCTGCATTGTCTCAGAGCTGTCTGTCCTGGAGCCCACCAGAAACTCCACAACAATGGCCACATTGTCCACCGCGCGCCTGTCCTCCTCTGTCAAATGCGGGCTGAGAGGCACCCTGTGAAACACACAAAGCCCATTGTGGGTTCTTTTGTGATGCTCCCCCTGCTTGGCAGGCATGCAGCACTCAGCAGGACAGATCATGCACCATGGCATGTGAAACGACACGCCCAGTCAGCTCAACATGGTGCAAACTGCTCTTATCAAATGCACAGCCTCAACATCAACAGGCTAAGTGTCTGGTGCTGCTCAGAAAGTACGTAAGATACCAAGCAACCCCCTTGATCTCATCACATTTGCCTATACAACAGACAAGATGGTAGTGAGTGTGCAGTGGTATGCCAGCTCCAGGCAACCCCTTGATCTCATCACTTTAGACTATAGATTAGACAGGATGGCAATGAGTGTGAGGTGGCGTACCAGCTGTTGGCTGCCCCGGGCAGCAGGACGGGCAGGCGGATGCCGGAGAGGCCAAGGCGCTCCACCAGAGAGACCAGCTGCGTCCGCGACATGGCGTCGATGCTGAGCACCACCTCATTTGTGATGAACTCGCGGAAGAACTTGCCCTCTGGCGACAGCAGCAGCTTCAGCGCCTCCCGCGCCCCCGTCGAGCCTGGCAGTGCATGCACCATCCCTCAAAATTTTGACGCAATGCCAGCAAGGCCTCTCAAACATCTGCTCATGAATCTGAATTCAAATGCAGACAATATCCCCCTCGATCCATCAGCGGGTATTATGTCTAATCTCCTGAGATGCGTTCCTAACCCCCTGATTTAGTTGAACACAATACCCCCTGATTCATCAAGATAATAGAAGTAAAGGGCAGGAAAGTACCGGGCGTCTACAGCACAAGTCAACCGATCTGGCCATCAAGTGAGCAAGTCGAAGGAGCTCACCTGTGGCTGCCAGTGCCACACCGCTGGTGCTCGGGGTGTCTGTCACTGCAGAGGATCTGGCCAGGCTGGCCAGGTCCGGGAACTGATTGGCTTCCAGGAAGCTGCCAAGAAGGAGGCCCGGCAGCGTCACTGCGCTGGACAGCAACCCCAGAGCAGACGCTGGCAGCAGGCCTGGTGCCGGCATGGGCCAGCCTCGTGGCAGGGGAAACGTGCGTGATGCTGGCTGCAACTCTGCTCCATCATTACTCTGCACATGCACAAAGGAGCTGCTATAAATGATGCCTCTGCTTGCACAGTGACTGAAGCAAGGCGAGCATGTCGCCTCAAAGGCAACTTTGCAGTACTTTCTGATGCATGCATGGGTTGCATGGCAAGAAACAGTCAGTGTGGGCAGCAAGTGGGGCGCACCCTGGGCCATGCTGCGGACATGGGGCTGTAGCTGCCATGGCTGCTGGCGCCATTGGTAGGAGCAGGGCTGGCAGTGCTGCTGCTGGCCTCAGGCAGACTGCCTGGGAAACTTTCTGCGTCCAGGGAGCCCCGTGCAGACTGAGACGCCTCCCGGAAGGTCTCATACGCGCCCAACAGGTCGATCAGCCGCGCTGCATTGAACTTGTTCTCCTTGCCGTAAATCTGCATTGCAGCAGCTCAAATTTAGTACAGCCCGATCCTCCCAAAAGAATGCAAGAGCATGGAGTAGAGTCCAGCAAGCACAATTCTGCCCATCATTGTGAAGGTATGAGGGCAAGATTGCATCCACTGCCTGCTGCAAGGGACACTGAAGGATAAGAAACTCACCATGTATTGGAGAGCTGCCTGCAGCCTGGGGCTCTGGTCCGTGAGCAGTTTCTTGGCAACATAGGGGTATGCCTGTCAAGCCACACAAGGCTTGAGCAACCCCTGCAATAATCTGCATGCAATCAGCAAAGGTGGATCTCGGCATACAACTGCGCACCTCGTCGACAATGGCAAAATCTGGGTTGGCCACGAGGGCCACTCCCTCGAGCACTGAGATGGCACGGATGATGAGAGCAAAATAAGGCGGAATCCTGTAGTCAGCAGAGCGCATGTGTGAGACCACATTATCTAGAAAAGCATGAGACATTATGCAAGGCATGACAAGGCACCGCATGTGTGGGATGTGAAGCAGACAGCTGCATGTGTTATTGCCAGGGTTTGCAAGTGGCATGCCTGAATGGGTAGTCAAATGTGATTTGTGCAAGATCCGCCGCTAATTCTTGAAAGTTAATGTTTTTCGCTCCTCCGCCTTCGAGCGCCTGGTCAAACACCTTTGCCAGCACCGGCAGAATGGGCGAGAGATCTGTGCCTGTGACACATGCAGAATGGAGTCAGATCAGGACTCCTGTTGCAGTTGGGCCACCAAGTAGACTGCATGCATGAGGGGGTCCAAAAGCACTGCTTACCTTTAGGGATAAAATCCAGAGTCACAAAGTCCTGGACAATGGCCTCATAGTCCCTGTGTATGAGGTGAGAGATTGCCTGCACAGCCATTCCCACACTTTAAAAAATTGCAAAAAACAAGGAAGCACAGCACACGCTGCATGCACTAATTTAATGCCCGTAGTGGGCAAAGGCGCACCTCAATCATCCCATATTTGATGTTGTCATCGATGTAGGTCATGAGCCCAAAATCCAGGATGGCGAGGCGTGCATCTGGAGTCCGAATGAGATTTCCTGCGAAATGCAATTGTGACTCTTATGGCTTGCACATGAACCCACACATGAACCCACTATCACACTGGCCTCTGCCAAGGCAATGTAAATCAAGATCACCATCAAAGGAGCCCATGCAAGAGATATTGCACCTGGGTGTGGGTCTGCCATGAAGAAGCCAGTGTCCAGGAGCTGCTTGAGGTAGCAGACCACGCCCACATTCACCAGGCTGGCCACGTCATCTGCCTTGCTCTGGGACAGCTTCTCCCCGTCGATCCACTGCGATGTCAGCACCCTCCTTCGTGTGTACTCTGTGTATGTCCGTGGCACCACCACCTGTAGAAAGGACCACACATTGAGATGATGTGCATGCAGAGACCTTTGATCATGAGTGCCTCAACCTTTCTGGACAAAAAACGCCCAGCAAAGCCACCATGCAGAGATCAAAGCTGATCATCTGATTGGCAGGAGACTCTTAATACTCACTTTTCTTAAGTTTAGCATGACCCTCTGAACATTACCTGTGGCAAGTCCTCCCGTATTGACTCGGCAAATCTGGTGGCATTCTGGCCCTCCTTCACATAGTCCAGCTCCTCAAAAAATCTGCTGGCCCATTCGTCAATCAAGGCCGGGACATCCGTCTTGATCTCTGGAAAGCGGCGCAGGAACACACCAATGCGCCTGCAGCACGAATAAAAGATTTGCCAGATTAGAGAATTTTTAACAAACTGGAAGATTCCGGAGAATTCAGACCCATGCTGGTCTTGGGATAAATGATACAAGCCCATGCTCACAATGGCAATGGTAAATGTGACTCGCCTGATGACAAACAGATCGATGGATACTGTCTCCAGCACTCCAGGTCTCTGCACTTTCACAGCCACTGTCTCCCCGGTCTTCAGTTTCCCTTTGTACACCTGCCCCAGTGATGCAGCGGCTATGGGCCGCGGTGACAACTCTGCATACACCTGCACACAGAATTCCCCATCATGCCAGGATCCTCAAGAGAATATGCACACATGCCACAGCTCACGTGCCATGCACTTTCGCTTGGAAGTGATATTTTGTGCTATGTTGTATTGATCCCTAGCAGCACAGTCAATCTGGCGATTAGATGGATTATAATATGCCTGTCTGATGCGTACCTCATACCACGGGGCACCAAGCTCATCGCAGATGACTTGCATGGCGTCGTCATTGTTGTAAGACGGCACTTTGTCGCAAAGCTTCTGGAGCTCGTTCATCGCTGCTGGAGACAGGATGTCAGGCCTGATGCTCAGCGCCTGTCCCAGCTTGATGTAGGCAGGGCCCAGTGATGTGACAATATTCCTCAGCTGTATGGCGCGCTTCACCTGCATGACACAGCAGGCCCCTTTCACATTCCATCCTGCCAAGGCCATAGAATCTGCTTGCTCCAATCTAATCATGCAGTCTGCTCATTGAGATGTCATGCCAGCATGGCGCAGCTGACTGACAATGACTCGGCTATGCATGCACACATGCATGCATGCAGACCAATTGTGCCAAAATGAGCTCACCTCTGTCTCTGCCAGCTTCCCATTGGCTAGGTCCCAGAGGAAGCCGCTGAGGAAGCCTCCGGCAATACTCAGCAGCTGCACGATGCGAGTGGCTACGGCGACAGGTCTCCTCGCCCAGAATTCAGCAATCTTTGCAGGATCGTACACCAGCGGCAGACAATCATCCGCATCATCCCCTGCCTCAACCTGCAATGTTGTCCAGACACAAATGTCACATTCCCCTTTCGGAAGCCACTCCCAGACAGCTCTCATTGTACTGCTTTGGCTACACAACTTTTATCTCATTTGCTAGAATGCCCTTCTTACAAGCACATGTGCATGTGCTGGGAACTCTGCTTTTCGCACACCTCTACAAGGCTCATTGTGACGCCTTCCTCTGCGTAGTCGCTGTCATTCAGATTGCTGCCGCGCAGGCCGGCCATGAGAATTTTGAGCTGCTCATCAGATTCCAGCTGCTTCCGGATGTCTGTGTATTGGCTGGACATGCTCTTCAAGCTTGCAGCCTGCATACATCCGCAATGCGCGTCATGTCTCAAATTCCTGTGACCCCAGAGTGGTACCCGCGCCCACAATCACGAAAGCATCATCCCCTTGTCACTATACAGCTGTCAGTAAGCTTTATAGAGCATCTCATCACAATCCGGGGGATGCAGACTGCATCCACCAAAGGCGGATCACCATCCTTAATGTGTGTAAGCAAGCAAGCACCTGATACGCATTGCTGATGACAGCGCGTCCTCTCTGATGAGTGGCACCACAAGCGCCCTGCTTGTGGTGTCTGCCCCTCTTGAAGCTCTGCAAAGGGGAGCATTCTGCACCAAAGGAGGAAATTCAGCATGACGATTGATTCGAATATAGCTGTAGAGCACGCTGACAATACGATCCTCCCAGTGGAGACTTGTCCATGAAAACAAGTTCCTCACCTGCAATTCTGCCAGAAGTTGAGGCTGTCAGGTCCATGCTCGTTGCAGAAAGCAACTAGGAACCAAATAACGAAATTTCTCGCAAACTTGTTGGATTTGAGACTTGCAAATTTTTCACTTAGCCCACAAAGTTCCTCAGTCGTGGACGTCTCAATAGTAAATCTGCTAGTACTGGGCTACCGTAAGTACAATATCACAAGTGTTGCCCTGAATCATGTACAACTAGAATGAAAAATACGTGATAAGCGCGCAAATGAATCGGGATGCTCGCGCCCTGCACGTCGGTCTCCGTGAATTCTCGGCCTGGGAGTCGAGATCAGGGTTTCAGGGTTGATTATGTTTCTAAAAGGGTTCGTTTCAAATGAATCCTCTAGGGTTCGCTTCCAAATTTTCGAGAGTGGGCGAGAGCTTGACTGCTGAACCCAGCCCGCATCGATATTTGTGCAACAGCTCTAAATGCGATTTGGCGGCTGGAGCGCTGATGTTGGACTCAGCAGCCTTTGTTATGGGCGCCTGAGACCGACGTGGGAGCGGATACCCGTCTAGAGATCAGCATTCTGAAGTGCACGGATGAAGGAGGGCAAGTACGCAAGCGCAAGCGAACTGCACAGCCCCACGCCTCAGCCTCGAGGTCTACAGGTGCTTCTGCCGATCTGCTAGCAGTTGTTGCTGGGCTGTCTGTGTATGAGAAGACCTACAGAGAGGAAGGACCGAAGAGGATAGGGGGCACAGCCACGCTCAAGTCCGGCAGCTTACCCTGGACGTATAACGGCACCGTCTTCTGTAAGCATTTATCCGTCGGGAAGAAGCAAGCGTTAGAACGCATGCACGGAGGTGTGCACGCGGCCGGGGATGCAGCCGTGGCTGTTACGACCTTCCTGGCCTGGTCCAGAATGTGTCCTCCGCCATGGCCAACCTAGACATTATTGTCTTACTACAAAGTCTGCATAGTCATGTTTTAGGTGCTGCCACTGAGGGAGAGGCCGGTCTTTTTGGTGGGTCCAAAGATATCGTTGGAGCTGTCCTGGGCTGTTTAGGTACTACATGTCCACTTTCATATTGGTCAAACAATTTTGCACCGGAGTGTCAAAGAAATTGTTGATATAAAATGAAATTTACCAAAATTAGATGTCTAGGAGTCCAACTCGGTGTTTCTTCAGTAGATCAGACACTTTGATCCTTCCATACATAAATTGGGTGGACTGACCGTGGCTGGACAACTTGATAATTGCCAGAATACACTGAGCCATTGATATGATTGTCAAGTTGCAAACTGTGCCAAGGCCTGTGGCATCATGTGGTTTACTGAAGCAGGCAACATCTGGCTCTGCCGCAGGCAAGGCAGGGAGGCAGCACCCCAGGCTTCTGGTCGCAAGAGGAGGGGAGGAGCTTCTTCTCTGCTTTTGGAAAGTGCAACGGACCCAGCGCGTCAAATTGGCAGAAGGTGCGAGCTCTTTGTTGTATCTCAAAGCTGTGCCCCTCACTGCCCATGTCCACCTGTCAGTATTTGTTCGAACATGCAAGGGTCTGCTGCACAGGTGGCCAAGGCAGTCAGCAGCAAGGATGCGGCAGCCTGTGAAGCATTGTACCACCGCTTCCAGACCTATCTATCTTTGCCCAGGGACCTGCAGAACCAGACGGTGTTCCTGGCCCTCATCCGGGACATGCACAACCAGGTCACCAATGTGCGCTTTAGCAAACCCTATACATTGAGTTGCCGTGGCCTCTGATCTACTTGAGAATGACTGGACGGAGGGAAGTCAGCGTGCAGATGAATTGGAGTGTATCCTGATGTCATGTGGCGCTGGCAGGGGGACGAGAGTGGCGCGACACTCAGCGCTGGCGGGAGCGGTGGTGAGGGGGAGGCATCGGAGGGGGGCACCAGCATGCGGCTGCATGCGCCTCCGCGCGCACGGCGTACACCCCGAGCGCCGGCCCCTTCCATCATGCGATCGGGCGGACGGGTAAGAATACAAGAGACCGTACTGGCCCAGTCCTGACGAGAAGCTTTTAGTTGGGCGCTCTTCTGCATTTTGCACCCACGTGCTGCTCCTGGCTTCGATGCGGATGGATATGGACAATAGATTGAGGGCTTCACATTTCGATGGGGTCTCAGGTGGTGTCTGGTGTTGCTCCCAGGCACAGGGGGTGTCGTTGCGCAGCCCTGATGTGCTGACTCCCTCCCAGAAGAAGAGGGATGCTGAGGAGGAAGATGTGGATGTCAGCACGCACACGTCTTGGGGAGGCCGCGGCAAGCGCGGGGCGGTCCCCGCTATTGCTTTGGAGGCGCCCTCGGCCAAGCGCAGACGCGTGCAGGTGCTCCCCTCATGGATGCAAGCTCCCTCGTTTGACATTGCCTTTGACATTGCCACCACGGCTTCCAGGAATTGCCCCTGGGCCTCCTGCCAGTGTGCAGTTGGGCTGAGAAAGTTGGAGTTTGCGCAGGCGCGGCTGCAATTCTACGACGATGCACCCAGGGAGACGCGGCGGAGGGGCCTGGTGGACGCCGGGGATGCAGACGGTGCGGATGCGCTCCTTTCTCTGGCCGCTCTGGCCAATGAGGCAGCCAACATGCCGCTGCCGCCGCTGCCGGAGCTGGCCGCCAGGGAGCTGGAGTCCAAGCTCAACGACCTGGCCGCGCAGGCGGCAGAGCCGTCCTCTGCTCTGCGCGACCGGCCCAAGCGCGCCAGCAAACCGCCCCCTCGAGCAGACGTGCGTATTCCTGTTATGCAATGTTGTTGTAGCAGCCAACAAGCTCGCCCGTTGCCCTTCGACTACAGGCTCAAAATGTGTGTGCGCTTCCGTTTTGTGCGCGCATATTAAGCGGACCTGCTGAGGGGTGTATTATCAACTGCAGGAGTCTCCGCCGCCGCCGCCGCCAAGCGTGCGCAAGCCTCGCGCGGAGGCGTCCGCGTCTGCCAGGAAGAAGAGGGATGAGGCCAGGAGGGAGGAGGTCAGCAGGGAGGAGCCCAGCATGGAAAGGGAGGAGGAGGAGAGCCCCCAGTCGGAAGGGTCCCCAGAGCCGGAGCGGCTCGGCCGGGGGCAGCGCGCCACCCGAGGCCGCGCCACCTGGCGCCGACGCGGTGTGGCCCCACCTTCATTACTGCCTGACATGCCATGAACGCTACAAAGGGAAATGAAATGAGCTGATCATGCCTCGCTGTTTTAGGATTCTTTGTGCAGGATCGATGGCAGCCTGACAAAATATGGGTGCTTCAAGAGATACTCAAGAGATACATGTTCATCATGCCTTGAACAGTGATTTGTCGTGCGTTGTTGATGGCCGTCTGATTGCTTCAACGTGCTGTGCAGCAGCGCGCGCAGAGGACTCATCCAGCGATTTCACCGAACCAGAGGAGAGCAAGTCTCCGCCGCCCCGAAAGCCCAGCAACAAGTCGCGCAGCGGGAGGATGTCCAACCTGTTCAAGAACGGCAACCAGGGAGCAAAGACAAGTGCTGACGAGAGTGGGGCTGCAAAGGATGCTGCAGACGATGACATGGCGGCTTCAGACCATTTCTGGCATGGCCTGGGCAAAAAGGTGTGTAAACTTCATCGCGCCATAACCATTGGTGCCCTGGAACAAGACCTCCAGGCACTTTTCAATTCCACATTTCAAAGCCTCGGCAGATTCACAGTTCGAGCAAAACACAAGATCTGAGGTATGCATTTTCAATGTGATCTGCATGTCAGCAGCTTGTGTTCTTATGTACTCTGCATGTCAGCAGCTGAGGCATCTATATTTAATCCTGCAGGATCCGACGCCGCGGGTGCGCCGCCGCAAGGCGCTCCCCGAGAAGATTCCTCCCATGATGTCGCCCATCAAGTCCCTGTTTGGACGCCGGACCAATGCTGGCCTGATGCTGGGTCTGCCTGGCCACACCGCCGCCCCAGGAGGCCTTCCTGGTGTCTGCTTCCCAGGTCTGTGATCTTCTCCACCCTCAGTATCCTTCCCAATAGAGTGATGAGGACGAGTGCTGCAGACAAATCCTGTCAGAAAGACTTGAGCTGCATGCGAAGGAATCTTGCAAGCAATTTACTATCTTTTAAAAACAATCACAATAATTAGAGTACTTAACTAATTTGCACCACTCTGGCATGTGAGTGTTACTCTGGCATGTCTGGGCTTGGGCAAATGCGCTGATATGGATGCACTTGCAGGCATGGAGGGTGAGGAGAATGGGGTGCCTCCTGGGGAGCCGGAGCTGAAGCTGCGCAGATGCCTTGATGCTCGCACGCGGCGCTGGGCGGCAGCAGAGTTCTTCTACAGCGGCCTGGACCGTGCATGGTTCATGCAGACTGAGCTGCCGGTACATTTCTCTCATGATCTGATATTTGTTTGCTCGTGCTTCTGACACACTAAAATACTGTCTTGACATGGAGCAGAGCTGGGAAGTTGAAACAATAACATGTGCAATGCAGGAATTCTTGCGGCATGTGGGCATCCCACATGGCACAAAGCTGACAAGGACCGAGTGGGCAGCGCTGCGAGCTGGGCTCGGTAACCCTCGGAGGCTGTCTCTCAACTTCCTGCGCGAGGTGCGTCTATGTGCTCATGCCAGCAATGACCATCTTCAGGTTGTACACGATCTATCTATCTTTATTGAAACAGCAACCAAAGGAGGGGTGCTATTTGTCCCTCCCCTGCATCTGTCGGGCTTGAATTTAAATAATTTGGGGCTTTCTTTTGGCAGGAACGGGGGCGGCTGGAGGCGTTCCGGGAGTCGGTACGGCGCAAGTACCAGGAGGTGGGTTACAACACTGAGGTGCCTGCCGAGTTCCCGCGCCAGCTGGCAGTGAGTCAGCGCGTGACTGCCCGCCACCCTGTCACTCGCCAGCTGCACGACGGAGACATCCTCACCATCGCACCAGACTGCTATAGGTGCATCAAACTTCTGCTTCATCCCACCCATTCCCTAGCGCCTGAAATCTCACGCACAGTAATCTGCCAGCCTGTCCTGCTATGGTGTTGAAATTTGTGGAGGAATTTGGCCATGTGGCTGACGTGGCAAGTGTTGGGGGGAATGCAGGGTGCAATTTGATCGCCGCGAATTGGGTGTGGAGCTGGTGAAGGACGTGGATGTGATGCCCATCGATCCCCACGAGTCGCTGCCATCAAGCATCCAGCTCACCACGGTATGCTTTTCTTGCGTGCATCTGTGTCTAAATATTTTATCAGTTGATTCTGTGAGGCTGTCTGTGGCCTCCTGTGCCAATGGTACCAATTGTATCATGCCATGCAAGATGTGTTAATGCTTGCTGAGTCAATGCAGTCAGAATGCAATCGGGTGAGGCATCGTGCTGTGGTGCAGGCGTCGATGCTTTTGAACGGCCGGCGTGCGCTGGCGGGGGGCCCTGTTGTGAAGAAGGCGCAAAAGGTGTGGCGCAGCGACAGCGGCGGCCTGCGCGGCCCGGCGGCTGGCCGCGCCCAGCAGGAAGCCCGTGCCGCCGCGGCAGCCGCCGCCGCCCAGCAGCAGCTGCGCTCCGAGGCCGACGTGCGCGCCCTTGTCGAGGTACTGCTCCCCCTAATTCTCCAAATATCATCCATACCCTTCGGTGGAGCTGCGGGAATATCCTCCACGGTAGTGCTCGTCGATGCTCCCCGCACTTCACCCAATAACATACATACCCTCCCATGGTACTGCGAGAATGCCCTGCGAGATTATCCGCCACATAGTTGCTTGGCGGAGCCATTGCTATCTTCGCATCTCCTAAAATATGTACACCCTCTGATGGCACAGCAAGAATGTTCTTTACAACCTTCCTTGTCACGTCGCGTCTAGGGTGTCACAGTGCCAGGCCGAACGAGGTGCTGTGGGTGAGTGATGAGCGAGTCATGTGGTGCTGCAGGTGTCCACTGTGCTGGACCGCAAGGAGGCATTGCTGATGCAATTGCGCACCATGAACGACGAGGCGGAGACAGGCATGCATGTCAACAGCTCTGGCAGGCACACAGAGGCATTCCAGGCCGCCTATGCCAAAGTGGTGCTGGAGCTCAAACAGGCAAGCTGCTTTAGCACTTTTTGATCGCACTTTTGGCTTATCTGCTCTTTTTGGGAGGACAGAGGGAGACCTGTTGCATGAGTATCGCTATCAACTTTCATTGCTTGCCCGCAGAGTTGATGCGTGGCACACAAAGCATGTGTGGTTTGTCACCCCCGCAAAACACTTGTAGAATGGACCAGAATTGGGGTTGCGGTGCGGGAAGTCCCTGCAGGAACCTTATAATACCTTACTTTTTTAGCAGAACCTATTTAGCACGGTCACCAGGCTTGTATGAGGAGCATGACATATGATTTCTTGATTCCTGATTCCTTGATCTGCTGCTGCAGGTGAACGAGGTGCTGGAGGCTTCGCTGGGCCAGCTGCAGGCACGCAACAATCCCCATGCAGAGGCTGTCGCGGCCGCGCTCAACAGGACAGGATCCACCGAGCGACCGGGCTCCTCCCTCATGCTGCCCACCTCGCCTCTGCGCGCTCGCGCTGCCGAAGCAGCCGGCGCCTCACAAGGTGGCGCCTTGCACCCTGGCATTCCTCCCACCTGACCTGCTTTCCACTTTATTTTGTAGCTGCCTGTGGATGTCCATTTCACACCACCAGCACCAGCATCAAAGATTTGTAATGCCACCTTAGGTTTTTTTCATGGGTCCGCTGAGATATTTTTGTGGATCCCTGAGAAAATATCGGGTTGAATCGCAGGCGGCCAGGGCGGGGTGGCGCAGCAGAGGTATTCCAATGCGGAGGCTGCGTGGCAGGCTGCCTGGAAGGAGGGGCGGCGGCTGGTGCAGATCTACCAAGCCGAGCTCAACCAGGGCACCTATAACGCCGGAAGGCTGGCCGCTGAAAAACAAGCAAACGCAGACGGGTCCGCAGCCCAGGCTGACAAAGCCGAGCCGCAATCCATAGCCCCAGGTGTGCACACTGCCCACATGCCCATCCTGTGCACTGGAATGAAGTGGCTTGTGGCCTGGCTTTCGGCTGTGCAATTTTGGTGCTGGAAGGTCCTGATGTGGTCATGCATTTGCAGGTGCTGACAAGGCGCCGGCAAATGGCGACCCCACGGAAGCAGCATGGCTGTCAGACCTGGTCAACGGCTGTGTCTCCATGCTCATCACCGTGCACCAGGTGGGATCTCTGCCGCGCTGGCAGTTGCTACATGCCAGCTGAGTTGCTATTTTCTAGTTGCCGATTTCTGATTGAGATCCGCCTTTGCAGTGTTAGCCTGACAGCTCTCTGCAGAAGCTGGGGCATCTTTGGAGTTAGTGGCACTGGCCTGACATTGTTCTGTTGTGTTGGTGTGCAGTGCACTGAGAGCGAGGCATCAACAGCGTATGTCCAGAAAGCACTGGATTCTGCGCTGGCCTCTCTGACACCGCGAGCAGCCGCCAATCGCCCCTTCTTGGCAGACATCCAGAACAGTGTTGACCTGCTGAAGCAGCACCTCATCTACTAGGCTAGCGCTTCCTGTCTCCCGGGTTGTCAGATACATCACAGCAACCAAGTTTTGGTCCTCCAAGTCACAGACAAAGCTGTGGCTTGGGACACCTGCCAAGTACTTGCAGACACAGATCCTGATCAGCATGTACATGTGTATGCCCCAAGCAGGATAGGGGGACCAGTTGTCCAGTGTTTATCCATGCTTGGTCTCGTGGGTGTCAAATAGTAGCAGTTTATACAGGTGGATTGTACAGTCCTGCCTCTGATCAAGGTGTTACGTGGCGTTTTGCTTATATTACTTTGTTCCGCAATGCTATAGCATAGCTAGTAGCCAGCGTGGCAGTGCGCTGCGGCTAATTTCTAGTACTTCTGCATTCCTCGACCGTATGACAGATGATCATCAGCATGATGCCGAACATGCATACCGTATGTGCATACCGTATGCATACATATGTGCGCCCCTAAGAGGATAGGGGAACAATTGTCCAGTGATTATACTTGCATGCTCTTGTGGGTGTCAAAGAGTACGGTATAAATATTTTTTATTATTACACGCTTTTCCTGCCAGAAGCAAGGTGCGTCTGCAGACAAGCTGCAGTGAAAGCTGCCAAAATCCTACCCCTTGATGGACTCGCCAGATCCAAACAAGACCCAATCAACCGTGGGCACGGTGCTCAGTATTTATACCGCCCCCCGCCAGCCGGGGCTAACGTACGGTATGCACAGCTGTATTATCCGCATACACTGTTTGCAAAGCATGCATAGTCACTATGCCCACGGTGGGCACAGCTGTCTTGCTTTCCTTGTGACAAAGTATGAGATTTGGTGTAGCACATGTAAGCTTTGAAGCCATTTGCTCACCAATCAATTTTACAGTAATTTGATTTCAAATTTGAAGCAGCTGCCTGTAGCTGACATGCAACTTTGCTGTCTACACGTGTCAACTGCGCCTTCGACATGAAAATCTTGCCTTTCGTTCTAAATGATCGATGTGCATGTTGACTTAAGTATTGTACATCGTTGATAGTCGTCTTGTCACCGTCGCCAGAAGGCTACAGATTTACGTCGTAAGAAAGTTCGATCTCAAAGTCCTTTGATTCCCTGTTTCGTTTGAGAAGGCGTTCGTTGAGGGCATAATGTCACAGACAGTTGACTGGGTAGAAGTTGAAAAGGTTGTCAGCTTTGCTTCGTCTCTAAAGAAGCTTCCAGATGACACAAAAGCAGCGGTTAAAAAGCATCTGAAGCAGTGTGACGGAAAGCATGCAGGGACATTCCTGACAGCATTGACGGTACAACTCACTGCTTGAGAAATTTATGAGCATTGTGCAGGCCGAAGTTGGTATTGAAGCGCTATAAATTATATTTCTTCAAGGCCTGATGACTCTCCCTGCTTGTCAATTTGACACTGTGATACGTTCAAGAAATATTTGCGTCTGGTCTCTGAGGAATGTCAGAATTCCTCGTGTTAGTCTGCTTTGCTACGTTGCCGTCCCAGTATGCCCTCTACAGGGATTTCCACAGTAATCTCTTGTCCCTCAGGTGTTGGACTCTGTGGCTCTGAACAGTGGCCGTGAGACCCGCTTGTACTTGTCTTCCTCGAAATGGATGAGACGTCTGGCGCAATCGTGCGGAGAGAACTCGATTTGCTCTGCAGCTGTGTGCCAGCTCCTGGTGAACTGGGAGCACGTTTTCAAGTGGGCACCCTTCTACTGATGTTTTGAGATGCATCATTAGCAATCAGGTTCTGAATAGCAATACACCAGTAGTTATTGACGTGAAATAACTTATGCTTGCATGCTGAGATCATCCTGTCCTGCTTGATCCAGGGGAGAGGAGTTGGGAGCAGCAGCGCATGCGTTGCGCAGGCAGCTGCAGAGCACCATCCAGGACATGCCCAAACCAAACCATTTTGCGCAGCAGATGAGGGAGATGATCGAGCAGCAGATTCCCTTGATCGGTGTGCATCAAGTTCTTTGATAGTGCCACATATCTGCTTGTCATTGGTATAGACGATGGCAGAAATTTTCAGGCTCATGCTTTTCTCGATTTCATGGATTGCCTTGCAGGGTTTCAGCATGGAATGGACTTCCCTGCAGCCTTCCTTCCAAAGACATCAGCTTCTGAATCGAGCTCAGGCAGGACAGCATCAGGTGGGGCTTTAGTCTGCTGAGAACCTCTTGTCTATATGCTGTGCCTGAAAGAGAATCTTCACCTTGCATATCAGACCAGTGACTGATATCTATGATTTACTTGAAGGTGGATGGCTGCAAAGATTGCATGAAGGCGCCTCTCAGCGGGCCCATCATTCGGCGCCAATAAACACTGCCAAGGCAGACCAGGTCTTGCGAAGCTTCCAGGTACAATCAGCAAGCATCTGTCCCTGACATTGTGTTTGGTGAAGCTGCTCTAAGGTGCTACAAATAATTGTAATGAGCGGATATTTGCAATTTGTTTGGCAAAAGCTGCGGCGTGTGTATGCAGGTTGAATACCTGGCACAGATGGAGACAGACGCTGTGAATTTGGAGATGTGCACCAAAGAGATAAGGTCCCAGATCATCCGCAATGCTTTCTCCAGATCCACTCAGCAGCGAATGTCCAAGGGGCAGGATTACGCCATGCGCTGCACGCAATGGTATGTATTCAGGCCCATTTATTGGTTTGCATATGCTTGCAGGCAGGACCTAGGGTTGCAAGGCAGCAGTGTTGACATTGTCCTTGGATGGTGCTCCCAGGCGTAAGAACATCCAGCAGTGGGTTGGTGGAAACATTGCAGAGGAGCTGCTGGGGCAGCTGCTGCGGCTGAATGACCGCATGCATGCTGCCCTGTCCAGCTGGCATGCAGCCACTACCGACTTCGCCGAGGCCTGCAGCCGTTCTCAGGTGTTGGACGCCAGAAGCCATCTTGCAAATGTCCCGCAAGTCCTGGCTCATCAGCCACAAAAGTTGCAGGATGCCCATGGAGTCCTACTTCAGAGCTCAGGCGTGTTGACTGTTGTTTGGGAATTGTGTCAAGCACCGTTCTGACAATGTGTGCGACAATGCTTGGCAGGAGGTCCAGCAGAAGGAGAGTCCTCGCAGTGGCAGGAGGGAGGATCAGCCCCCAGCCACACAGTGGTTCAGCCCCCTGGGCAGCAGCGCCAGCCGCATACTGTCAGAGTCACCATCCAGCGCAAGCACAGACAGCAACACGCCACGAGAGGTCAGCAGCCGGTGCACCCAGCCCGCAGCATCCGCTGCCTCCCCGCAGCTTCCCTCTGCTTCTGCCAGCTTGCGCAGAACTTCAGACATCATATCAAGCGGCGAGCGTTCTTCTCCTATACATGCAAGCTTCGGCATGCCCAGTCAGCAGCAGCAGCCGGCGTTCACAGCTGCCCAGCCGTTGCCACTGGGGGATCTGCTGGGCTTCCACAGCTCGTCACCAGTGTCAGCGTGGCCTGCTTCGCAAGATGCGCTGCAGACGAGGTCATCGGAGCAGCGCAGCCAAGCCAGCTTGCAGCAGCCTGCACCTGCCTTACCTCGCAGCCAAGAGCAGCCACCTCGTTCGCAGCGGGTGAGTAAGGCAACAAGTGCACCTGCAGCGGAGCTTCCTGGCAAGTGGGAGGCGCAGTGGCCTGCTGTGCCAGGCACAGCTGCATTGCCAGCAACTCCACCGGCGCAGGACTTCTGGCGCAGTGCAGAGGCCAGTGGGAAGGCATCGCCGTTTGATGCAGCAGGACCAGCTGGTGCCCGGCCCATCCTGCCACAGGTCTCCTCCGCAACAGGCTTTGATCCTGCAAGGAGCGGAGCCGCGCAAGACTTTGTTCAGAAGGATGCCGGCAAAGATGCAGAAATGGCAGCCCTCAGACAGCAGGTGCGATGCAATCATATTGGCGCTCACTTTTGGCATTACCATAGCAGGGCTGCTTTGCTGAAAATCAGTGACATGGGCGCAGCTGGAAGAGGAGCGGAGTGGGAGGCTGGGTTTGGAACACAAGCTGCATGCATGCAAGGCTGCAGAGGAGCGCCTCACTGCAGACGTCTGCTCACTGCAGCGCAAGCTCAGGCGAGTCCGGCCACTTACCCGCTGCCATACGTCTAGCCCTGGCATCTTTGAGTGCGTCCGCCTGTTGTCATTGGCGATATGAGCCGTTCCTTGATCGGTCAGAGGTCGCTGATCAGTCATTCCCTTCTGTGTCTAGGCTGACCGGTGAGGAGCTGGAGCAGTACAAGGGCAAGGGAGCGCAAAGAATTCCCACCAGTGACAATAATGCCATCAACAGTGCCCCCTTCTCAGCGTACTGCAGGCAGCCGGCCCTGCGCTTGCGTTTCTCAGCCAGCGAATTTCAAGCTCTCGCCTCTGTGCTGAACAAATACTGATAGAGCCCAAACTCGTTATCCTGATGGTACTTGGTTTTTATTCCCGTAGTCATGAAGATCCTGTATGCTTAAACTTCATTAATGGACTCAGAAAGGTTGGCGGCTCTTTTGTGACATTTTCATGGCATGTATCATATGATTTCATATATATGATTGATATTATTGGCTTGGATGTTTATTTCTTGAATTTGTACCCATTCATGCATAAGTTGACGGGCAACCTTTACCCAGCTTGTGGAAGTAGTGTAAGCAAATTGGAAGCATCCTATATACAACTTGAAGTACTACAGTAGCTGCCAGAGTGCGCCTCGGCCGCAGTGATCGCCGGTAAATTCAATGCGATACTCTGGTGCGATAAAGTTTTATTGCGTTCTGTTCTGCTGAGAAACTCTTAAAAAAAGAGACAATAGCGACTCAAGTCTTCGTGAAAGCCATTGAAAGCATGCAGACCATGCGTCTTCTCCAAGTTCTCTCTGGAGCGCTCCCCTGGAGGGTAGACCTCAAGCACTGTCTTCAGGCTCAAACAGACTAAGCATGTGCCCATCAGGTCCACGCAGGACAGCCACCTGCAGTGCACGACTTGCTCAGTCCTAGCACGCCTGCCAGGGCGCACGGCTGTCGTATGCTAATTCTCAGACCGAGCCAGGCCTGCCTTTGCAGCCCTAATTTGCCTGTAATGTGACTTGAGATCTAACCTGGAGATCCATGTGCAGCTTAAGAAATTAAGTAATTATACCCCTGCCAGGTCCTCACCTTTCCTCGAGCAGGGTACTTGATCGGGCCGTCCAAGGTGGCCCCTAGCTGGAGCAAACGCTGCACACTCTCCTGCAGATCTGCCACTTCAAACGCCAGGAAAGGGGTGTAGCCACAAGTAGTGAAGGCCTCCCTGTTGCAGGCATACACTGTCAAAGCATAATGCGAATGTTGAATACTGCACAAGTAAAGTTTGGTGCTTGGGAAAATGATGGGCCTGCACACCCGTCAACTGCTTTCAAAGCAATCTTTGAATTGCCAGCCTGCAGCTCGGCCCATTTCTCTGTCAGAACATTGACAGGCAGCCCCAGCCCCTGCTGATAGAAGTTGGCTGCCTTTCGGACATCCTTTTGGAGCAGCAACACGTGCCTGAGCACGGCAATCATTTTCAAGGCATTGCATGCCCGAATTACTTCATTCCGTATGTAAAAGCGCCGTGATTTTAAGTCAGTAGGTGTTGGATCTCAATGAACGATCTGAGACGGTGGCAGAGTTCGAAGTCAGCTATTTATTCTGCAGGCTGTTGAAACAATGGAGTATTACATGAATCGTCCGATCAGAGAAACGATCACCTTCTTGAAAGAGTCTGATGGTCAGAATTTTGCAATCAAAATTACCGGATGGAACGCCATCGTATGGGCGCCTTTTGGAAGCGCCAGACCAAAGAAAGTGATGCCAACATCCATTGGCAATCATCACTGAACCCGGAGGCAAATTCTCCACACACGACAGTTCCTTGATATACAGCTGCTCAAGATGACTTGGCACTCCTTGGCCGATTACGCCGCTATGTCTCGTTTGAACCTTTGCCAATCCTGTTGCCCAGCCACTTCCCCGCCTGGACTGTTGATTGTTCAGAACGGGGAGGGATAAAGCGCTTGCATATTTCCCTCCCCAGCGTAACCTTCAGCGATCTCGGAACGAAACCTGTGAACGATGGTGTTGAACCCACAAGCGTCAGTGTTCACACCCGGTCAGGCCTTTGTGCATTTGACAACGAGCGATGAGCCATATGACCAAAGAAGCAACAGGACCACATTTGGGAATGCGTTTGGTGACGCCAGCATGGTGTTGCACGCGACCAACGCCAAGCTGGAGCGCCTCAGAAGGGATGGAGGCGTTGTGGTGAACAATGTGGAGGGGCACCTCCACAAGGCTCAGTTCGAGCCGGAGGCCTCCACCAACCAGCACGAAGAATTGGAATTCGAGGAAATGTTCCAGCAAGATGACGAACCAGAAATGGTGCAGACCCCACGGGTGAGCAACAAGCTGCCTATTATTGCAATTTTGCACCTGGTGTTTCTCGAGGAAGCAGGTCATGTAGCTGTCATCTGCTCAATGATCCAAGCGGCAGGAATTACGGAGGGTTGTTTCGATGTTCAATCCTGGTTGACTGAACCTGACAAGAGGTGGGGGCTCTTATTGTGTGCAGACAGCCTGGGCACGCGGGACTTCAAACACATCAGCCGAGACAGCGACGCCATTGAGGTCTGCTGACTTGGCAGCCATTGGAGCTATGGTACTGGACTCGCCGCGCGTGAATGTGCCACTGGACCTGGCTCCCAGCAGCAGCAGCGCGGGCAGCTCCATTGATGGGGAGGCAGGAAGTGACGTCAGTCCTGGCAAGATGGGTCCCAGCAACTTTGAGCTGCTGCGGGTGGTGGGCCAGGGAGCTTTTGGAAAGGTGCTGCCCTTCTTGCTGTCCCTGTGCAAAATTGCAATGGAGCAATTTCTTCTTTGCAGCTTCTTTGGCAATTTTACTTGCTGTTCTGCTCGTGCAATACGCAAATCGTCTTCACCACAGCCATGTACACAACTGTGATGGTGATCACCAGTCAAGTTGACAAAGTGAATCCAGTTACTCCAGTGAGTTTTGGCATGAACCATCTGTTGTCAGCAAAAGTTGTCTGACCGGCTTCTTGGGCATGTCAATACAGGTGTTTCAGGTCCGCAAGAAGGACAGTGGGCAGATATACGCCATGAAGGTGATGCGCAAGGAGCGCATCCTGGCCAAGGACCACGGCGACTATGTTCGCACCGAGCGTGAAGTGCTGACGGCAGTCTTCCATCCCTACATCGTCACTCTGCGCTGCTCCTTCCAGGTGTGCCCGCCTTCTCACAACTCCTGCATCTTGCTCTTATACCTGAGGGAAGTTGCACATTGTTCTGTGTGTGGTTGCTACTCTGCTGATCGTCACCGCCATGCACCAACAGGAGTTGATTCGGTAATGTGGTGCTGTGCAGACGGCGACCAAGCTGTACTTGGTGCTGGACTTTGTGAATGGCGGCCACCTGTTCTTCCAGCTGTACCGGCAGGGCATCTTTGATGAGGACCTGGCGCGGCTGTACACTGCAGAGATGGTCCTGGCCATTGCCCACCTGCACAGCCTGGGCATCGCCCACCGCGACCTCAAGCCGGTGCGCACACTTGCCCCATTTTAACACACAAGGTGCATCTGTTTGGTCATCATGCTGTGATGTTTGTTGCAAGGAATGGGCTTCTGCTGCTTGTGGTGCTTGCTTCAATGCTGATGGATTTGGGGCTTTGTGACTGCAGGAGAATGTGCTGCTGGACAGCGAGGGGCACATTAAGGTGACTGACTTTGGCCTGGCCAAACGGCTGAGCGATGACACGCGCACAAACAGCTTTATCGGAACCATGGAGGTGAGACCAGCAGCACGTCAACCTTTGATTTGCATGACACATAAAGACAGTGCACCAATTGAGCCATCCTTGACTGCTGCTTGCCACTCCTGTCCTGCAGTGATTTATTGGAAGTGACCGGCATCATGGGCAGTGACAGACTGCCTACAAGACAAATGAGCCTCAGGTGGCTCTCAAAGGGTCTCTAATATTAATAATATAGTAACATGTGATTAAGTGCGATGACATGGCCCTGTGGCGGTGCAGTACATGGCGCCAGAGGTGGTGGCAGGGAAGGGACATGGCAAGGCGGTGGATTGGTGGAGTGTGGGCATTCTGCTGTATGAGATGCTGTGCGGCGTGCCACCCTTCCGCGCACGGGGGCGCGACAAGCTGCAGAAGCAGATCATGAGCGCCAAGCTCAAGCTGCCACGTGAGTCCACCTCCCATTTCTTATATCCTCCTGCAATTGCACGTGACCACTATCTGCACACCAGCTGGTCTTTTGCCCATTGCTGAAGACTCATCTCCTGCTTTTGGATGTGGATAATATCGAGCATGCTTCATATTTTCTTCTGCTCAAAGCACCATTTCAAGTGTCCTTCAGTGGATTATGACTGGGCGTTCAGTGTAGCGAGGGAGTGACACTGTATGGTGGCATGTGCGCGCAGCATACATGAGCTGCGAGGCGCAGAGCCTGCTGCGGGGGCTGCTGCAGCGCGAGCCGCCCAAGCGGCTGGGCTACGGCCCCACGGGCTCGGACGACGTGATGCGGCACCCCTTCTTCAAGCCGCTCAAGTGGTCCAAGCTGCTGCAGCGCGAGATGCCCTCGCCCTTCCGCCCCTCCGTCAAGCATGCGCACAGCGTCGAGAACTTTGACAAGATCTGGACCGACCTGGATCCCGAGGACTCCCCCTGCGGCACTCCACCCGGCGATGACCTCACCACCTTCCAGGCACGCTGCGCGCCGCCCCACAGAAATTGCTTTTCCGGTGGTCTGACATCTGCCATGCCAGGACATGCAAAGCCCCTGGAAAGTCCTGCATCAACCTGCGCGCCGCCCCCAAGCAGCTCTCTATATTCAAGTTGATAAAATGAGGTCCGGAATCTTGACACCTGAGCTCATGTGTTCACATGCTTCCAAGAGTCAGGCGTGGTCATAGGCATGTCTCAGGTGAGCACATGATTCTGGCATTAGAGGTTGAGAGAGGACTTTGTGTTTGACGCAGGGGTTCAGCTACTGCGCACCCAGCTACCTGGAAGAGCTGGCCGCTTCGCGCCGCAAGAAGCCCGTCGCCATTGGGTAGCCAGATGAACTCCCTCGCAATGATAGTAGCTAGCTCTCCTGATGGCCCCACAGCACATGCTGACATGGAGGTCCTCAGCGTTTTGGAGAAGGTCCAAGGGTGCAAGCTGTGGCGAGACTCTGGCATCTGGACCATTTTCTTTATTTTGTGCAACCCCAGATAGACATTAATGAGGACCAGTGCCTGCCAACAAGACTTCAGTCTGCGTGAAATCTGAGCATGCCACCGGCGCTGGCAGTTGTGAAGAGACTAAGTTTTCTTGTTTTTTCGGTCCCCCCAATATTTAGCTGTAGGATATTTGCTTGACAAGAGGGTTTGCAGACAAAGAATCTAATAATTGTAGCTTCTGGAGTGGAGCTCCCATCGGGTGTGCAATGCAATTGGAAATTTAGAGGGGAGTTTTGTGTGCAGTTGAATCATAGGCGGCTGTATCTATAATCTGCACAATAAGATCTTACTTGTTGGGATCACATTGCGTTTGTCTTGCTACTAGTCATTGTGTGCTTGTGGAGTAAGCTTGCCCTCAGGATTGTAAGCACTGTGGAAGTTCATTCAGCGTCAAACAAACTTCTACTTCTCTGTTGTCATGGCGCGCACTTGTCAGGGTTCTGTAGCGTGCCGTGGCCACAGCCACGTCATGTGTTCACCCTACTTAAAGGAAATGGAAAGCAGACATCATTCTTGCAACATACAATGCAACAAGTTGTTGAATCGATAAATCAGCAGAAGTTCAACCCAGCTGCTCACAGACTTATCCTGGAAAGCCCTCAACATGTTCCGTATCGGTCTTCTGGCGCTTATTTGCCGGTTCCTGCACAAGGCAACTGCCAGTGAGGTTGCTTGCCAGCAGCAGGGTCACTCACAGTGTGATACGTTTGTCCCAGACGCATGTCATGTATCGAGAAGTATGATCCTGCACACCTGAGGCGCCGGTTGGGCTTTTTGCAATTGTCTGAAGAGTCCAGCACCTGACTCGACAATCTCTGTAGAGTGCTCATTAGCTTCCTCTTCTTCTTGTACGTCGTCCTCTTCTTCCTCCTCTTCTGATTCATAGCTGTCCTGTGCATTGCATTGGAATGATTGCAGTGGCCATGGTTGAAGCTTGAGCTTTGCAATCCCAACTAGAGGAGAATATGCCACTGTTGGCCAGATGCACAGCAAGTATTGAAAGCTCACAATGGAAGACAATAGAGGTAGGAAACAGTTCACTGGGACCATCAAGTCCAATTTTGATCTGAAGATCATCATGAGGCAAATGCATGGTGAGAGCTGTGTTCAAGGAAAAGTGCACTCACGTAAGCCAACTCGGGGAACTCAGAATTGAAGCAGTCCTTGCAGAGCTTCCTATTCTGCAAAAGTGCAGAAGCATCCGTGTCCAGTTTCGGCAGCAAGTAGTATCAGCATTGCAGTTTCATGCTGAAATGGTGCCAATCTCTTTGGCAGGTTAGGGGAAGGTTCTTTGCTGACCTACCATTCCCCATGAATCGTAACTGAAAGGCTCCTGGTAGTATATGTCGCCAAAGTAAAATGGTGTGAGGCACTCATCGCATGGCTTTCTATGGTTCCCTCTGACTTCTTTGCGCTCAAACTGCCTCCCAGCCTGGAATACACTGAAGCAGCTCTGCACATGCCCTTAAGTTTGCTGTTACTCAATGTACTTGCGGGGAGCCCGTTGTTCAAGTCTTGCATGAGAGATGTGAGGTCACCTCCAAATGGTCTTCGTGCTCTTCCTCGTCTTCAGCGTCCTGGTCAAGCTCATCATCTGTTTCGGCACTGTTCTCGTCCCTTCCACGTTCCTGTGGCTCGACATCGTTTGGGGGGCGTCTACCCAGCTCTTGTTTGGCATTGTGGGGATTCTCAATGTCAGAGCTCCCTTTAAGTCCACTAGTAGGAGCCGATGCTTCTGGCAGATCGCCTCTGGTTTGTTCGGTCATTTCAATGACTTGCTGGCTTTAGGCACAGGCTTATTGGGTACCATGCGAAGATCGCATGCGGCTGTTTATGATTCGTATGCTTCTTGCGCGAAATACTGCTGGCAGGGTGGCAGGTGGTTGGGGATAACGCCAAGATTACGCACCCGTCCGAGTACTCAGGTGAACACAGCGGTGTCAAACTGCGCGAGCACTTCAAGATCTAAACATATCCATCTTCTCAAAAGTGCGATGGATGTGGGGACAATTTATCAAGCATATTTTCTTCTTATCCAAGTCCGAGGATTGACGCGACATGATGAGTCCAGCATGCAAAGCACGATCAACTCTTAGTAAAGGTTCCATGTTGCACATCACCTCAACACCCGTTTGCCGGCCTTGTCAATTGTTGACACTGCAGCCGTTCATTTTCTGCAGCTGTCTGATATTCGCATAAGCGTCTGCGAAGTAGCAATGGATTTCGTCCTCATTGCTCGAAATACCTCGATCCGCACACCCAGAACCTGGGATCCGTAATTTCCTGTCAAGCACCTGGATGCCTCGATAGTACCGATGATACCGATAGTCCCCTGATGGCAGAAGTAGAACAGTAGCAGCAGAGCTGCATGCAAACGTAGTCGAATACCTTTCAAAGTGAGCATGGATGACGATGAGGTGGTTTGTAGGATTTGTAGATGTGAGGGAGAGCCTGAAAGACCCTTATTCCACCCTTGCAAATGCAGTGGGACGATCAAGTATGTGCACAATGACTGTCTATTGTCTTGGCTACGAATGTCAGGCAAGGAGAAATGCGAGGTGAGCCAATATGCCAACCCTTGCATCTCTCAGACGTGCTGCACCTTGATCCACCATGCTCTTGCTTCCTTCCTCAATTCAGAATTTAATCATGTTAGTTGAACGCAGCTGTGCCAACATCCGTTCTCCTTCACGAAGCTGTACGCCAGTGACGCTCCTTCCAAACTACCTCTCCGAGAGTTCTTGTGGGGCCTAGTTGTCAAAGGCAGCAGAAGCCTGCGGTTCGGGATCAGGGTGAGGACATATGTTAGCACTTCTGGATCCATCACAGGGGCACCTGTCAGCTAATGACACCAAACGTGTGTTACTGTTAATACATGATGTTCTCTTGGTGCACAGGTGCTCGTTGTCTTGGTGACATGGCTTTGCATAGCGCCGACATTGACTTGCTGGCTTTGGAGGATTTCATTCATGCGCAGCTTCGCACAGGTATAGGTCGCCGCTCATCCTGTCAAGTCATCCTTGTTTTGTAACCTAGCTGAGTCTTCCTGCAAAGCTTTCTTGCCTCATCAAAACTTGCCATGTTTCTCAACTGTATTTCATCCATGCCTCTGAAACAGTCATATCTCGTCTGTGTCCAGGGAGCTGCAACCATAGCACAGCGCTTTGAGCCAGTGCTCATTTTGGCAGACTGCATACAGGTAAAGCTCCAGAGTTGCAAAAACTGTCATGATGGAATGCTATATGTAGGTTCGCGAGGAGCGCTAAACTTATAATGCGGATTGCTGTGCGTGCAGGGCCTGGTCATCTCCTGTTGCTTGATCTGCGCGGTTCTCTTCTTCAGTGCCGCATGGGACTACATGCTCCAGTATTGGGTTGCCCTGGCTCCCACGCTCGTGCCTCCCATCGAGGCAGAAGAGCCTGTGCCGGATGCACAGGTGCGGCGCCTACAGAACCATTCTACACTTTGCTTTTGACAAGCAACGGCAGCGTCGACCTTTTTACATCTCTCATGGGCATCTGGCAGGCAGAGGTTTTGGCACCAGAAGCAGCGCCAGAGACCAGCGAGTCTGCGGGCGAGATGGATGCCAGTAATGGGAGCGGGATTGCACCAATTGCAGCTGTGGGTGGGACCAGTGAGGGAGAGGGCTGGTCGACAGCATCTGATGATGGATGGGAAGGAGAAGAAGCCTCCTCTATCTCTGGTGAGGCCCGTGTTTGACTCAGCAAATGCTCGCTGCACCTGCTTCTACAGCTCCTTTGGCATGCAGCAATGTCTGGCTCCGGTATACTGGTATGTTTTGACCAAAGGTAGGAGTGCATGCAGGGCGTTCAGAGGGGAGCCTTCCGAGGAGGAGTCAGCGATCGCAGGCTCGAGCACAAGCGCAGCAGGGGCCCACAGATGCACCCAGCGAGAGCGCTGCGCAAGAAACTGAACCAACGCAGCATGCTGCGGCTGCTGAGGAAGCAGGCGTGCCAACTGCAGAGGCGCCACCACCACAAATCGCGGCAGAGGCGGCGCCAGCAGCGGCTGCTCCGGCGGCGGCACCGGTCGGGGACGACTTCAGGGAGGTGGACTTTGACGCGCTGCTGGGCCTGCAGGGGCCGCTGATCGGCCTATTTGAGAACGCGGCCATGATCGTACTGCTGGCCGCCACCATGCTCTTCGCTGCCTTCTTGCTGCCCTTCACAGTAGGCAGGTGTGCTTCTGCCCTTACCTTCTTCTTTGCAAGGATTTGTAATGCAGTCGTGCTCTGTGCACCTGTGCACAGAGCAGTGTTGGAGCCCTGTTGTAATAAAGTTCTGAGAAATGAGAGACCGTCATAAGAGACCAGGGATGGTACTCGCAGGCTTGCGCTGTCTGCGCTGGCAAACCTGCAGCCCGACCAGGCAGCCTCGGTGCTGAATGCATTGGCGAACGATCCTGCACGGCTGCACAGCGCGGGGGCAGCGGCGCCTGCCGGCAATGCGACCGGGGGCGTAGTCCTGCCGGAGGACTTCACCGGCGTGGAGATGTCCGGCGTGGCAGGCGCCATCATGGTCTTCGAGCAGGTCATCAAGGTGTGTCCCCTCCTGGACCACAACCTGCCTTGCCATCACCTTCCTGTTTTCTCAGTACTCTATGACATGTTGGCCCCTTGTCACCTTATGTAAAATTGTGGCTGTGCGGCTTGTGATGCTAGAATATGAGAGAAAACGAGCATCCAAATTGAACGCGGTGTCACACTTGCCGCTCCTTGTGCTGCTAATTTTATGATTGTCTATTTTGGCATGATTCCTCTCCGAATAACATCTTCTGACAGTGTTGTGTTGGCAGGAGCTGGAGGTGCACCTGGCGCAGCCGACGATAACTGACTGGGCGGTGCTGGTGGCGGGGTATGTGGTGGTGGGGGGCCTGGCGCTGGCGGGCCTCTGGACCTACCTGGCATGGAAGGTCGTGCGCAGCGGCCGTCGCGGCCGCGGCATCGCCTGGGCCAAGCACGCCCTCGCGCTGGCCGGCCGCCAGTTCCGCGCCTACCTCATCCGCGTCGGCTTTGCTGCCAAGGTCCGCTGCCGCTCCCTTCCAGACTTTGGCCCTCCTCAATCCGGTGTTAGAGGTTCGGCTTCATCTTGCAGATACCAGAAGATAGGCAGATAGATCAGGATCACTGAAAATTTATAGGTCACAGAAATGAGGAAAGTTGAGATAATGAAGTGCGCATGCGCCACAAGGGGTTCATGGAAACTGCGTGTGGCGCAGGTGGTTTCGATACTGCTGACGGAGCTGGCGCTGCTGCCCATCGCGCACGGGTACTTCCTGCACATGTGCGCGTGGCCCCTGGTCCACCACCGCCCGGCCATCTCCTTCGGGCTCAGCTTTGTGCTCCTGCACTGGCTGCTCGGCATGGTGAGCTGCGCTACCCGTGTGCAGTCTCCTGTCGTGGCGCTCCTTTCTCGCTGCTCGATCATGCGGCTGGTGCTAGACAGCACATGAAGATACTGGTTCATGTTATGCTGAGAGCTGTGAATTGTGCTGCAGGGCTTCCTGATGGCCACCGCCAGCTTCCTGTCCATTGCGCGTGGCGTCCTCCGGCCAGGTACTGCCGTGCCTCGTTATTGAGTCTCAAAATGCTGCTTGCATACGCTGGTGCTTCCTCATGGTTCCTTGATGTCACTGTGAGAAGCATGCTTTCTACCGTGAAAAGTTAGCAGTGGGCTGTGTTGGGTTTCGAGCCCTCTGATGATGATCGTGCACAGTGAGATTTTGAGATAATGTATGCCTGCGCAGGGGCGTTGCCTTTTCTGAGGGACCCCTACGACATGGATAACGAGGAGCCGTTTGGGCAGCTGATGACGGCGCCGCTGCGGGAGCAGATGGCACGCGCGGCCGGCGCGTTCGCAGTCATGGCGTGCCTGGCAGTGGCATGCATCCACGTGCCCATCCGCGCGGCCTCCTTTCTGGCGCCCCCGCTGTTCCCGCTGCGCTTGAAGCTGGTCGACGCTCTGGCTGAGCTGCCGGCCGACCTGCTGCTCTTCCACGTCTGCCTGCCCCTCACCCTGCCCCACCTGCATCTCAGGTGCCCTGCTGCCACCTGCCTCTCTAGCATCTCATTGTGCAGCTTTGTGTGCATTTCCGATTGCTGCTTCTGATGGAGGCATCTGTGGCACACATGCTCAGGCATCCGTTGCCTGCCCTTCAAGGGCTGCTGTAGCACAAGAGAAACTGCATTGCAGTATGTCATGGCAGCAGTGTGGGCGGGGTGATCAAAATGGAAGTCACGTGAGGGCATGGTGTGTGCTGGTGCAGGCGGGCGGTGCGGCAGGCGCTGTCGTGGTGGCTGCGCAGGGCGGCCTGGCTGCTTGACCTAGAACGCTACCTGCTGCGGCCCCAGCCCGGCCAGCCTGCGGTGCGCGCTTCCTCTGCCCATTCTTCCTCAGATTGCCACAGGCTGGCGTTCCCTGAGACTCTGTGGCTGCCTATGACCGAACGTGCAAATGGGTCGTTTCACTGTGTGAAGGGCGCTCATGGTCAGGGCAATTTTTTGAAATTTTTCCCACGTTTGGTGCGGTGCAACCGAACCGTTGGTGGGCCCATCTCAACCCCAAGGAGATTCTACATCGGCTCCAAATATAATATATGAGGGGGTATTTCGCTTGGGGTGCAGGCGCAGCAGGCTCCCCCGCGGCTGTTGGGGGCGGCGAATGGCGGCGGCAACAGTGTGGACGTGAACATGCGGGGGGAAGAGGCCGATGAGGCGGATGGCCTGGAGGGGCGGCTGCTTGCGCTGCTGGGGCTGCTCATTGTCACGGCCATTGCCACCGTCACTGCCGGCATCATGTTGCCACTGCTCACAGGTGAGATCCCTGTGATCACAACTCCCTCATAATCATCTCAAGGTTCCTGTTTCATTTAGAAAATCATTGATGCTGCTGTGATTTATGTGTGATTTGTCAACTGAGAGGGAGCAGCAGCAGCTAGCCCTGCAGGGTCAGTAGTTGCACCTGTACGATGGATGGCTGGAATACTTTGTAAGGATTGCATATTGTGGTGCCCAGGTCGCCAGCTGCTGACGCTGTTGAACGTGCCGCTGCGCCACGACATGTATGTGATAGCGGCGGGGTGCTACTCGCTGTGGGCCGCCTGCAGAGTGCTGGCGTGGCTCCGGCGGGTGACATCGTCCAGCAGTCTCGCTGGTAATACTCCTTACTCATATCCGTTTTTGCTTGACACTCGTGCGACTGTCACGGTAGAGACTACTCTTTTGCCCCAGGAAAATTTCATGTCTGAGGGAGCGTATGTGGATGGGCAGGGGTGGTGCGGAAGCTGGGCAAGGGGCTGTGGGTGGGTGCGTGTGGGGCTGCGCTGCTGGTGACTGCGCTGGGCGTGCTCCCCCTCATGGCAGGCCTGCTCTGCGACCTCGTGCTGGCCCCCTTCAGGTGACGCCTGCAGCTGCCTCATTTTGCGCATATATCCTAATTATTATTAATATTACATGCTTTTCCTCCTACCCCCTATTGAATACACCAGGTCCAAGCAAGACCGAATTAAGTGTGGGCACGGTGCTCGGTGCTTATACCGCCCCCTGTCAGCCGGGGCCAATCTACTAATGTGCTGGGGTTTCTTTAAACATTCTGAGGCACGACATCTTGGCCTGCTCACATGCAAAGACAACCGTGCTCATGTGCACAGGAGTGCTCATCTGCAGGACCGTTGCATGGTTCCAGTGCCGAAAGGTTGTGGGCAGTATCCATGTGCGGTGTGGTTGTCCATGTGTGCAGGGTGCCGCCGAGGGCAATGCCGGCGCTGCTGCTGCAGCAGGACTGGGCGCTGGGACTGATCGGGCTCAAGTTTGCGCACCACATGGTGGCCGGCATCCCCAACGGCCGCCACGGGCTCCTGGGGCGTCCCCTGCGCGACACCTTCGCGCAGCTCGTGGCGCCCCCCCTGCAGGCCACCGCTGCACTGCTGGCCGTCCCCTACCTGCTCACGCGCGGCCTCCTGCCCCTCACCGGCCTCCCGGCTGCCGCTCTCCATGTGCGTGCCCTGCTGCAGCCCCTGATGCCCCTTATTCAAGCCCCTTGCCCAGCCGCCATGTTTGCCCTGTCTATCCTGTCCATGTCACTAGCCCCTTGTTGACTGGCAAAGGTCTTATGCTTCTCTCTCTGCCAAGTCTGGCGCTCTATGAAAACAAGAGGACGTCCGTGAGAATTTCTTGGTGCTCAAGGAGTGATGGAGGTGGGTGTTGTCATTGTTCAGGTGTGCTGGACGTGGGCGTACTTTGTGGAGGTGGTGGGGCTGCTGGTTGCGGTTGGGGTGAGGTGTGCGGCGCTGAAGGTGCAGCAGCTGCGGCGCTCTATTCATGAGGAGCGCTACCTTGTGGGCCGCCAACTGAACAACCTGATTCCCGCGGGCGCTCCTGCCGAGTCCTGAGCGTGCCTCTTGTATGTATACATGAATGTCTCCAGACGCAACAGTGAGGGTGTGTGTATATCGACGGAGTGATCTCGATTTGTCGATGATGTCGTGTTTTGTGCAGACAAGTCCTGTCAGATTTTGTGATTGTAGAATTACATGAGAGCCGGTCATATGGCCGGGGTGATGAGCAACTGATGTCACCATGTGCAATAAATGGCTAGTGAGAGGAATAGTCTTTGCCAGAATCAAGCCCATTGACTATATTACAGCTGGTGTAACAGAAGGCATTCTTGTGAGTCCGTTCATTTGCTATCGTCAAAGATGTCAAAACATTGCGCATGCGTTTATAATTCTAGTGCCCTAGTGCACCCTGCGTGTGACGTGGCTTCACTGACGGCTACGTGAACGCTCTTATCAAATTTTATAGCATGTCCCATGACAACTTGAAATTGCACAGCACCATCGACAAGCAATAGCAACATCGCAAGCATCGATCCCAACGCCAAGGTCATTTGAATTTGACAATTTTGGATCTCTCTTAGATGACAACCATCATTCCATTTGGGCCCCAGGACATTATTGTTCACGGTCTAGCATGCTTCTCAAATATCATATGCTCTACACGTAGAGGATGAGTGCTACAGAATTGTAGCTCTGGCCAGACCATGGAAAGCGCTCCACGCTATTCTCTAAATCAGCAAATCCCAATTATACGTTCCCACACCCTAAGGTATCCTATCAAATGTGCAAAGGCTCCTGCTGCTTGCTCATGGCAGCTTGCAAGGAAAGATTGATTGAGCGATGAAGAATTGCAGGCAAATGTAGCAAATTGTAATGAATTGCTGGTAGAATCTCCACCCAGACAGATAGGCACCATGCCTCATTCAGATGAATCCGGTCGTCACTGTGTGCGCAGGAGGGCTGCTCTTGGAGGGCTGTGGTTCGGCGGGGGCCTCGAAAAAGTCTCCTGCACGATCCAAGACACACCCATGAGCAATCATATAAACCCCAAAGTCTTGGTTGTATTGGGCGCCAGAGAATACACTCGAGCACAATGCACAGGCGCCTTGACTGCTTCACTACATCCTACGCTCTTTGCAGGCGATAGCACCGCTTGCAAGGAAGTGACCAAAGGGTCATGGAGGGAAGCAAAGAACAAAGGACGCCAAATGGGGAGGAGAGGTCCGTGCTGCACCTGGCAGGGGAGGGAACTCGAGGGAGGGCAGCGCGGGGGCCAGGGAGAGCAGGTTGCCAGGGGCTGAGCGGGGGCCAGCCTCGATGGCGGCGGCTGCGGAGGGGTGTGCGGAAGGGTCGCGCAGCTCCTCGGCCACCAGCCGCGACAGCAGCAGCGGGTCAGGCGGCAGTGGGTACGCATCCACCAGCAGTCGCGCGTCCTGCAACGGCGTCAGCACCTGCTGCCAGCAAGGTTGACCGTCACTTCACAGATGTCCTACAGCTATGGCAGTGCTTATGTGTGATGCTAGATCCATACTGCTGCACATGCCCCTGGCAGGCTATCAATTCGTTGTAGTGTCAATCACCCACACCACAATACACCCACGTGCAGAGACAAGTTGGTGCGCAGAACTGTTCAATGCTGACAAGAGAACAATGAAAACAGGTGCCTGAACTCTGGACTCATCAGCTGGACCAAGCATGTCCTTGCGCCTGTCACGTTGCCTGTCACGTAGCGACCACCAAGTGAAAACCCCTTGCTAGGCTGTGCTGATGGAGGACCCGCCTGCTGCAAGTAGCGTAGAGAGTGGAGGGACAGGGGCGCACCTCGCGGATGCCGTACTGCGCGAGGCCGTAGGCTTCCTGGTGCTCCTGAATGAGCGCGCGCAGGTGGCCCTCCTGCGCGATGCTGGCCTCTGTGAAGGCGTTGAGGCCGGCGATGTCGTCGTAGGACTCGGGCATGGCTGCCCGCAGCGCCGCGGCCGCCACCGCGCGGCTGTGCTGGATGCCCTGCAGCCGCCCCAGGAACTGACGCCGCAGCGCCACTATCCGGAACTTCTGGTCCATCGACAGCCCCAGCGACGCCTGCGCCATGTCCGCACACCCTCACGCTTGCACTGACATGATTGTTAGACAGATGCTCTTGACGATGTCCAGTCATTTTCATACAGCACTCACAATCCCCCTCGCAGCATTTCTGCCCCTCGGTCCTGTCTTCAGATCTCTGGAAAATAGAATACAGGCACGTCAATGACTCCAGGTCCCACTTTCTCAGCTAGGCAGGGGGACTTCAGGATGGGAGCTGGTGAGGCACGCACCAGTAGGGAGCGGGCGGCCTCGACGGAGCGGAAGTGGGTGGAGCCCTCACGGCGCACGTCCAGGCTGATCTTCATCAGCTTAGACATGTCGTTCTTGCCGTACCTGATCAGAAACCGACTTATAATCTAAGGACTTCAGGACCAATCTAAAATTGATATGGAAAGGTAGCTTTCAGGTGGTTTCAGAAATTTTCAAGATATCTTTGGTAACTTACCACTGCACAGCCCAGCGCTGCGCCTCGACCAGTTCATGGATCTGCGCCAGCGCTGCCCCGTCCCCGCCCTCCTCGGACGCCAGCAGCAGGTGCGTCAGCTTGTTTATGTAATCCTGCACACACCATGCATGCCAAAATTTGCTTCTTACAAGCTTGCAATCTAATGTGCCTGCATGATGGCTGGCCCCAGCTTGGTGGGTTAAAGTACAAATCTTTCAAGATCAAACTTGAGTCCAATGCCTTTATCCCAAGGAGGATCCCTTCAACTGCAGCACAACTTGGTTCGCACATCATTAGCTGCCTGAAAACATTGCCCTGAACGAGTTCCTGCAGCAAAATTCACCAGAAAGCCATCTCCTCATGAAGATTGTTTTATTTCACCAAGAAATACTCTTTGCCGCTCAGCTGAGGACAGGCTGCGCACCCGCCACACTTTCTTGTAGTCCTCGGGCGTCATGTTGTCCATGTGCTCCTTCCTGATCGAACTCTCCAGGCCGCGCCCCGGATACACCAGACCCAAAAATGTCGCCGATGCCGTCACATGGTCCGGCACCGCCGCTGGCATGTCCAAAGCCTGCACCCACAAAATTGATGAATGCGGCAGACAAGGAAACAATCACACAAGTGCTCGTTGAGCCTGCGCCCTGCTGGGCTGAGGAAAAGGTGGGGGCAATGCATGACAAGGGAGGAGGCAAGCAGACCTGCGATGAGGCAGCGTCGCCGCCGCTACCGCGCACTTGGACCACCTTTTCCAAGAGGCTGTTGCGGTTCTGCAGGTTGTTCCTCTCGGCCGTGAGGCTGCTGAGGCGATTCGAAAGTTCCTCTATCTGTTTCTTCAGCTCCTCGGACTCGGCCTGCATAGAGTACACCATGCTCAAGCACGATGCGTTGAGTGAACTTAACGGGCTATTCAGGCACTTTATTAAAGTACTACTGTGCAAAGAACCCTCGGCACCTTTTTCCTCTCCCTGTATCTTCTCTGCGCTCGCTTGGACTTCTCCTGCAGTGCTTTCTTCTTCTTCATTGCTTTGTCTGCAAGGAAACATACAACACGTAATCCATCATATTAATGGCAGCATGCAGATGAGTCAATTTCCACTAGGTAGCGTGCTCAGCTGAGCAAGACTCCTGTTCCAGAATATTGCACCGTGAAGAAGGACACACAAGGGTCACAAGAATAACAGCTCGGGAACAAAACAGTGCAATTATGATGAGGAGTGGCAGTGCATGCCTGTCATATCATCGCTGTCGATCCCGAAATGGCTATGATCTGTGCTTGTCCTGTTCAGTGCCATGTAACCAGGCCCATTAATGGCACCATGCATGCCTCCAGCAGATGGAAAGGCACCACTGATCGTCGGCAGCATGCCTGACATGGCCTCACTCGATCCTAACTGCATGAATGTGCTTGTCATAATCGGGACATCGTCGAAAATAGTTCGAAGGCCCACAGAACTGGCGTCTCCACTAGTTGCGTCACTGGGTGGCTCCGTCATTAAACTGACTCTTTAAGTGTGATGTCAGTAATATTCCCTTTGCTTGTACGTGTGAATGATGGGACTTCTTCGCTTTGATGGCCGAAAAACCAATTTTGTGTGGCAGAGGGTCGACCCCATCGTAATTGCTGTTCCATAATGCCCTGCAGGGTTTCTGAATGATTTCCTCAGCTGTTTCGTTTCTTCATACATAATGAAAAAAGAGAAGATGCAGATGCTATAGTAGATCGATATAGAGACCGGTATTGTTGCTATTGCTCATTTGCGAGTGGCAAATGTCTTGGGAAGATTTGCAGCAGAGTTGATCGACAGGAGCAAGATGCGGCATACCTCCCTTGATCTACGGGGGGCAATCCTTCTCATACTGTCAATCTCATTTTTGGTAGCAAATGCCAGCGAGGTATGGGTTGTGAAGTATCTGAAGCCCGTCTTGGGCGATTGATCTGTCACTTTTGTGATTGTGCCTGACGCAGGAATTGCTCAAAGTCTAAGGCCCTGCTGGTTGGACCAGTACAGCATTTAGATTATCTAAGAGAAAACTCATGGAAATACACAGGTATACACATCTGAGGACGAAACAGCGTTGAGGAACCTTGTCTTGTCAAAGGCGGGATCATCAGGGGATTTTGGAGCGAGGTGAAACACCAGAAGTGTTTTGGAAACATTTATTTGTATCAATCTACAGCACCTCTGCCTAAACACTACATTCCACGTTGGACTGGTAGCATCCACCGCCACATGTCATTGGGATGTTCTGTCCTGCAGCTTGAAGGATGCCTACTTTGGATCTGGGGCTCTAGCGGTCTTGGGCGCGACAGACATGCTTCAAAAGGGTGCTTTATGCAACCTGGCCAGCTCACAACTAGCGTCTGAGTCGACTGACCTTGAGACGGCCTTCTATGCCAGCCAGCTTCAAGGCATAGCCGGGTGTGTGACAGAACCCCGCATTCCCACATCCTTATAAAAAGCATCCCAATCCTCCTTGCCACTGCATCACACCACGCCACAGTCTATTTGTCCACACGAAAGGCTCGAGCATGTCATGGCTGCAGGTGTGGTGACAAGAAGGCGGCGGCGAGCGCGGAGAAGGTGGCGGTGGCCAGTCTGGAGTCGGGGGTGAGCGACATCAGGAGCGCGTACTACGCGCTGAGCACGCTGGCAGTGCTGGGCCGCAAAGCACCCGCCAAGGCCCTGGACAGCGCGCTGGCGCTGCTGCAGAAGCTGAAGGCCAGTAAGGGGCGGCTGAGGGACACCCCCAAGGGCGCCGCCAGCCTGACTGCCACCGCGCACGGTTACCTCGCAGCGGCTGCTGCGCAGAAGGCCGGCACCATCAGCAGCCAGCACATGCCCGCTGTGGAAGGCCTGCTGTCCGGCATCCCCCAGGTGGTGCATTTTAAGACTTCATACATGCCCAACATCTTCAATGGACTGTGACTCACAATATCGTTATTCACCACAGCCGGCTGCATGCCGTGACATGTCAAAATTCCCCAGTACCTTCAGAGGTCAAGTAAAATTATGGTGCAGGTGCTTGAGACGGTGGGGGGCAGCAGCTTCTTCTCGGATGCTGACGGGGACGCTCTGGAGGCAATCGCCCGCTTTGTGCAGGGCACCGAAGCCACCTGCTCAGACGAATGCAGTCTCGACAAGCTGCAGGTGGGAGCACTGGTCACCTGCTGCACATCAGATTCTTTCCTATTGTTCCATTCAGGAACACCTTTGTCTCTTGGGCGCATCCGCCTTCTGGTGGGTTGGAACATGCCAGTTTGTTCATAACTCTTTGGTTTGAACAGTGCTGTGTTGCAATGCAGCTTGGAGCGCTGGCCAAGATGCTGGTGAGGGCGAAAGAGGCCAGCTCTGTGCAAGACGCCTACTATGTGCTGAGTGCCCTTGCGCTTCTGACCAACGCTGGGAAATTGCCGAAGGCTGTGACAATTTCTCTGCTGTCTGCCTCCGTGCCTATCAGCAGCGTGAGTCCCGATCTCAAGCAGGACAAAAACTGTAGAGGGTGAAGGTTTTTGTAAGCTTAGGGAGCTGCACGCAATGAGCTGCTGCATGAAGATATTCACTTGCATGAAGTGCTGCTTCTGCTAGTACGCAAATATCAAGGTGGCAACCTGTGGGGTGCAGCCCGAGGTGGAAGTTCTGGTGCAAGACTTTGAGGGCAAACCTGCGGCCGTGTCTGGAGTCGAGGGAAGCATCAGCAGGGGGGCCAAGGGGAACGCAAAGCCCATCAAGTTTGTGTCAAAGGGGCAGGGCTCATTTAAGGCGTCCCTGACTGGCCTTGATGTCTCTCTGGGGACCTACCGGTGCGCATCTTGCCTTTTTTTTACCCAATCCGTTGCCCTGGCTTCATGCATGCAAAGCATGAGCAATGCTGACCTCAAACATCAGACATGAGGATGTCACACCTTGACAGCTGCAATGCGAATATCATATAAGAGGGCGTTGGCATTGAAGACTGCGCATGCTGCTGCAGGGTGAGTGTGGCGGCCACCGAGGAAGGCAGCAAGGCCAAGGTGGCATCAGCCACCTTCCCCATTGCCCTGACTGGCAGTGTCGAGGTTGTTGAGGCGACACTGACTGTTAAAGGGAGTGACACGTCCACAGTGAAGAGCAAGAAGACCCTGCCCTACCCCAACAAGCTCGACAAAGCCCTTGACCTGGACCCCAACAGTCAGTTCAAGGTGTGAATGTTTCCATATTCTTCATGTTCTGTACTGGTCTCCGTTTAAACGCAACCATCGCTGACAAGCATGCTGAAGTTGGTCTGACATGAGTATGAGTGGGTGGTATGTCTTGGGTCAGGTGACTTTCACTGCGAAGTTCCCAGAAAGCGCCCAGTCCTTCACGCCACAGCAGGCATTCATCAGCCTGAAGAGCCGAGTGAGCGGGGCCCTGGTGATTGTGGCCGCCAAGGCTGTGCAGTCCAGCCCTGATGACTTCAGTGCCACCTTCAGCCCCAACACTGTCGTGAAGCAGATCGGCACTCAGGTAGGCCATCTTCGCTGCACCTTCTCATGGAGCTCTTGGATATTTCGCAACTTGCAATACCTTGCAACATCTGGCAATTTGACCAGTGCCATTTGTGGACACAGTTGATTGGGTCTTGCGGATCCAACAAGGGGTAGGATTATGGCAGCCTTTACCTGCAACTTGACTGCAGACGCATCATCACGTAGCAGGAAAAGCGTGAAGCAGTTAGAATATCAACTTCAGACATGTGAAGGATGAGACATCTGATCCAGAGTCAATCACTGAAAGGTCGGAGTAACCCTCGCAGGCAGGCCTGTTTGACGTGACGCTGTCAGTTGGTGACGAGGCGCTGGCGGAGGCGCTGGTGTGGCCGCTGGGCGCGGTGAGCGTGAGCCACGCGCCGGCGGGAGAGGGAACGGCCGCGCCGACGCAGCCGCCGCCGTCAGCTGCGGCGCTGGAGGCTGCGCGCAAGCCGCCCATCCAGCACATGTTCCGCCAGCCCGACAAGCGCCCGCCCGCCGTCGTGTCTTTGGCATTCGCCGCACTTTCCGCCACTCCGCTGCTGTTCCTGCTCGTCCGGCTGTCCCAGATGGGCGTCAATCTCAAGGTAAGCCTTGACTGCTTATGTGCATCAATGTGCTCGATGGGTCACAGCTGCTGATGACTTGGGCCAGGTGGGGCCAAATCTTGTCGTCAGAGTGCAATATGTGCCTTCCGAAATTTGCATGGTCCTGCGTTGTGTGCTTTTCTTTGATGTAAGAGTTATGGAGAGAGAGTACTTGTGAATGAAGGTTTCACCGTTTACATGTGCCTGTCTGTTGCTGTCTCAGGGCTTCCCATCGGGCGGTGCGGCAACCTATGCCTTGGCATTCCACGGCGGCCTGGCGAGCATCCTGGTACTGTACACCGTGTTCTGGCTGCGGCTGTCGCTCATTGACACGCTCCTGCCTCTGACGGGGCTCAGTCTGTTCACCTTCTGGACGGGCTTCAAAGCCTTGTCGCAGCATGCCAGGGTAGACATCAAGAAGGAGTGACACAGTTAACACATTTTGTCCTGAACTGGGGGGTCTGCATGCAGTCGAGTGTCGGCTTTCAAGATTCTTTCTTGCTATGTTAGAATTGAGTAGCCCACGAAATGATTAGGCCATTTGAAAACACCGTTCCTTGCAAGTCGGGCCTGTAATTATGATACAATAATACAAAGCATGCATTTCCAATGCACCTCTTGGATCAGACTGGCACACACTAGGTCACAGATCACAACTTCAGACACTGAGTCGTCACAATTTCATTCGTTCAATACTATTATTGGATGTACTTGGCAGCGAGGACAGCAGGCTGAAACCAGCCTTGTAGCTCTGAACTGACAGTCAGTCTGAAGGCCTCATGCACCCGTCAAAAAACCATATGGAACCTCCACATGCTGTCCCCTGGCACAAAATAGAACAAGTAAACTGAGATATGAGCTACAACCCTCCAGAAGTGTACAACAATGTTATTGATTAAAAAAAATGGCAGAAATGAGGGTTCAAAAGGCACACCTGTTGGCTGTTGGGTCCATGTCCTCCTCCAGCAGTGCTCTGAGGGAAAGTGCAATGATGCCCACCTCGGGAGTAGGTTTTGTCTGCAGAAACTCCTTGTCATCCCATTGGATGACAGGCATCACCTTGCGCAAGAGAACACCATTAAACATGAGAGGTGAATCGTTGACGTGCCCAATGAACTTCCACTTGGCAAGAGGCTCTGGTTGCAGATAGGATCCAGTGACACACCACAGTGCTGCTGCCAACCATGAAGGCCTCTTTCGCCTGTTTTGCTTCCTCCAATTTGAATGGTCTCTGGCTGACCTTCTTTATGAAGCCCAGCACATCTGCATCACCCCTGTCAAGGACCTGCACATCCACAAGTTGTGCCCTTTTCAGCCGTCGCCTTACTTGATAAACTATAATTAAGAACTCTACCATTGCAACAGGATCAGCCAAGTTTATTCCTATGACAGGGGCGATGGTCAGATACGACAGTCTAATCAAAAGCTTTTGCTTCATGCGAAAGATGGTGATTGTGTATGATTTTCTCATCATTCCATGCCCCTGTCACATCCCACTTGTTTGACAGCTCTTCAAAACCTCACTGCCTCTTTCAATCCTTGCCAACTTACTCCTTGCATGCCTTATCATAACCCACCGGATTTCACAAGATTTTTTTACAAGATTCCAAGATCTGTGTATACTAATGTACAGGAGATGCAGAAGCATGCCTCTCTGGTAAGGTGCAGGAGCCGCTGCAGAGTGACGCCTGCGAGCGTCTGCTCAAAGGGGGGCACAACCATCTCACCCCCATGTGTGATGATTCCAATATTCATGACTGGCCCCTCTGCCACGTAGCCTTCACTGTCCACAAACACCCCCTGCACACGTCCCATGCTGCTGCTTCAGCACCATGGATGGGGCGGAGCAATATGTCCCAAGCCAGGCAAAGTTGCATGCCTCTTAACCAAAATCGATGCACTAATGTCCTGTTGACGTGCAAACAATGGTAAGGCCGCAGACAGAGCAAAATAGAGGAGCAGCAATGCTTGCTGACTTGTGAGGGAAGAAAGCAAGTTTGAGTACCTGATCGAAGCCCTCCAGCTGAGCATCCAGGGCCACCAATGCATTTGCCAGGTAGTTTGTGGATTTGAGGGTGGCGAAATATGGGTCCTTAATTGGCACGGGTGAAGTCTTCACTTTCCAGCCTATCCTGGGATCTGGCGGTGCTGCATTCTTGTATGCTACACAGTAGAAACTGGTCTGCAGGCATTCAAGGGGCGAGATGCCAAAGCCGCCGCGCCCAGCACTTAGCCAATACCTGATGCTTCCTGCCAAAGCCAACAGCACCCTTCAACAACAATTGCTTGCAGCTCTGGGGAGTACCAGACACAGTCCTGCAAGTAATGATATTTTCTGAAACTAAACACACCCGTGAGGCTGCGACAGGACGCTAGTTTTCAAGGAGGGAGATGCAGAAGCACCTTCAAAGCATTTGGTGGCTGCTGCTGTTTCAAGGATGATCCGGCGGATCTGATTTCTAGGGAATGGAGGTGTCAAGGCTGCCTTGGAAGCCGAGCTGTAGAAGCGGTCCAAGTGATCATCCAGCTGATACAAGTAGCCTTTTGTTAATGTGGCAGTGTCGAAAACGGCATGCCCTCTGTGGACCATGTGGTCGTCAACAGAGACGATCATCAGGGCCGGATCCGTGACAATCCCGCCAAGCTCTGATGAGTAGAATGCCATGTAATTGCTGATCGCATTGTTGTGGACTCCAGCATACAAGGCATCAATCACCTGGCAGCCAAAATTATCCGAATCACTTAATGCAAAGTAACACATATAAATTATCTATAAAACAAAATAGAAAGCAGACTGAGCACCTCTTGAGAGGTTAGAAGCTGTGTTGGTCGCGAGAATGGTTCAACAAGACCTCCCAATGTCTGCTGCACAAGAGACCCAGAGAGCCCTATCGTCTCAAACTCTGTGTCATTTGCTGAGGCGTGGAGTCGTTCAACGCTCTCGACTTTCAATCTTCCAAGACCGCTAAAAAGAAGTGCAGGCGCCCTTACACCAGATTGGCAGCCAAGCTCTCTCTGCACAGCGCCATGACAGAAAGTCTGACGCCAAGTGCCACTCAACAGTGCTTCCATGGTATGATCTATCACATTTGTGTCATCAAGTATGGAGCGGCTTAGGGCACCTTAAACTACAATCTAAGCGTGTCAATCTCTCATGGATTCAGATGAAATCTGCTGGCCGCCGAACCCTTCAACCCTTGAACTGGTTCCGGAACTATTTACGGAACATTGTTTTCCGAGAAAATCAATTCTTCTCTCTTAAAAGGAATATTCAAATTCAAAGAAGATATAATCAAGTAAAGTACGTTCACTCGATATGTTGGTCAAAGGCGCATCCGCCTGTTTTACCCGAATCCCTGCAAGGAGTGCTTTCTCTACTGGCACCAATGGGAGAAGGCCTCAGAAAGCACGATCGGTCTTTGGGCCATGCAGACATCATCTTAGATACCAAAAATGTCAGTTTCAAGTGATGCAGGCTCAGAGTTCAGATACATCAGCAGGCGAGGATGAGGTGAGGTCATGTTGATCTCTGGAGTGCCTGCAGCTATCTTGTGAGATAGCGTGTTAGAACAAACCTGATGAAAACTCTGGTGTGACAGGAATTTGAGGGACTGACGGAAGAGGAAGACTGGGTGGTGAGTGAGATCTTCCATGTACTGCATATCCATATCTGAAGCACTGCGCGAGGCGAGGCCAATTGATGCTGCAGGTGCCAGGTGGTAGCAACGACTCTTTGACTTCAAACACTCAATTAGGCCAGGCTGTGCGTGAAGCATGCGATGAGCTAGAAACACTTGCGGCCTTGGTGAGTTGACAATCCCATGCAGATCCTTTCACGTCTGTCATTTTGCTGGCGCAAATCTTAGGAGGGGTTCCAAGAGTACCAGCAACATACTCTTCCATCCAATCTTCGGCTCGATGATATTTATCTGGTGCCACTGCAGGAGAGGGAGTCACTGAGTGAGGCGCAGCAACTCCTGGAAAAGCTGGGCTACAAGGGGAATGTGCTCCATAGCGGTGGACAGAGCCTCGGGAGTGCACCTGCACGAGTCATAGATGTTTTGGAACCAACCAAACGGGAAGAGGAATAAGGAGATAATGTTCTGCGGCCATATCCAAAGAATCTTTGTTGTTTGAATCACTGTGCACCATCATCACTAACGGTAACAGGAATTATAAACAGGTTGTCTTGCAATTACTGCAGTGATCTCCAAAATTTTAGAGTGCAGATGAACCACAATTTTATGAAGGAGTGTTTACATTGACTTGATCCATATGGTGCAACTTGAAATTATACTTGGAAAACGCGTGTAGACGGGGTGGCCCAATTTTGTGATAGCTGGTGCTGGTGATGCAGCCAACGTGAGAATACCTCAGAAACGTTATTTTCATGTCCCAAGTCAGGAATCCCAGCAACCTGTACAAAGCCCAGCAACCAACTCTTTGGGGCTCTCTTTCAGGCCCCAAAGAGGCCAAGCCTCGAGCGAGAGGCAACAGGGGTCCTGGAGGCAAATCCCTTGGGTGCAGGGGTGAGGCCTGGTGTCTTGGACGGCTGAGGAGCCTGCATCGGTGTTGTCAGCGCCCTCCCTCTGCTCTCATGTGCACACCACTTGTGCAGGTCTTTCAGCAGGTGCAGCAGGTCCGGTGTCTGCTGCAGCTCGGCTATATGTGTCCCAAGGCGCGACCGCACATAGTTCAAGTACCGGAACATTTGCTGCATGCAACACAAACACATCAGCTACTGTAGAGACAAGAATAATTGGGTTCACTAGTGTCTGTTGGCTGGATAGAACTCAGGGCAATAACAAAGCGAGTGAAGGTCCAAATGGCATAGATGCACGCACCTCGTTGGCCTGGTGAATGAGATCCACCTGCACAAAGCCAAACATTGTAAGAGCCCAAATTGCGTGATAGTATGGGTTCAGGCAAGCACCATGACACTTTCAGGCACTGTGCCAAAACAGGGCTCACCTCTTTCTCAGCAATCCTGATGTTGTTAGCAGCCTGCGCACGGTCTTGTGCCAGCTGCTGCACATGCGAGCGCAGAAGAGTCAGCTCCTGCTGCGCTTTGGCGGCAGCTGCTCCGCATGGGGCGTGTGCCTCTGTCACCTTCTTGAGCTGCGCAACAACAAGCAGACACTGCTCAAAACTTTGTGGAAGGTTGGAAAGTGTGGATGCCGTGAATGTGGATGTGAATGTGGATGTGGATGCCGTGAAATGGCCTGGTAGATTGTGACATGTGACAGGCCACAAAGTCGTCAACTACATTTCTTCATCTGTCTATTATTGAGAGATGACTTGCTGGACATAAAGCCAATAGAGCACCTCAGACTGTGTAGTGCGCAAGGAGGCCTGCGCATCTGCAGCTTCCTTGCGCGCTCCATCCAGTGCTGCTGTCTGCTCTGCCAGCCTGGCCTCCAGCTGTGCGATCTGGCTGCCGACAGAACTCTCTGCGTCTGCAGCTGCCTTGTGTTCAAGCGAGGCAAACTCCGTCAACTCCTGCCTCTGCCTTACCTGCATGAGGAACATGTCCACTGTGTGACAAGCTGAGACTCCAGGTTGCAAGATGCCGCATCTGTCCTGTCCCAGGTAACACTGTACAAGGTCTCTGAGGACTGCCAAAACAGGAGGAGGCAATCCCGGACCTCGTTCTCTGCAATCTGAGCCAGCTCCTTGTTGCGAGCCTCTGTGTCATACACAAGCTTAACAGCCCTGGACATGCACCTCCTTCTTCAGTACCTAAAAGTTGCGGCGAGTCTGAGACAATAGACATGAGGATGCAGTGAGCCAGCAAGGTATTTGCTCGATATCTTACTTCTTTGCTTTTGCTTGCAGATTGACCCTCTCAATCCTGCAACGCTCTGGAGTAACGCCTGTTTGACTCTGGAGCTGGTCTCGCTCGGCTTGCAGTTGCAAGCATCGGGCCTGCACACCAGCAGTTGTTTGATCAGTACCTGCCAGCAGCAAATGCATTGCGAAGATTTTATTACCCGAGCAGCACTTGTCCTATTTGATGAGCTCACCTTGGTGGTTTCCAATTCCACTATCGTGGCTTGCAGCCTTTTCTCTCCAGAACTGATGGCTCCCTCCAGCTGCACTGAAAAATACCAACATCCATACAAGGGATACAATACAGTGCGCAAATTAGGGTAGATGAACAATATAATATTCTATCGCACCTTTGCTATCCTGCCCTTGTACTGTCCCTGCTGGCGTGCTAGGTCGTCCCTCGATGCCTCCATCCACCGCAGCTGCTCGACAGCACAATCTCGCTCCTCCACGAGCTGTTGCCTCTCGTTGCTGCATGTCATTGATTGAGAATGTTGCGCCTCAGTGACTGAGTATGCAAACTCTCAGGCCAAGCAGAATTGCAGAAAAACACGCCACACCTAGTCAGATTGTAGATGTCTGTGCTTGCACAGGAATGGCTCAAATCCATCCGTGCAGATGCCGTATCAATAGCACATGCGCGTACTGTCTCCAGTTCCTGGCCACAGTCGCTCGATTTTTCAAGTCCGAGCTTGGCAAAGCAAACGGTCGCATGAGTACAAAGAGGCTTGCAAGAGCACTTACGTTTATACAGCTTGCGCCCTCTATGTTCTCCTTCTCTTCTGCTCCCTGCTGATTATATACTAGGCTCATAATGTCTCACGAGAATTTTTGCAGTGTATTAAGTTATGCAGGGGTGGGGGGGGAAGAAAGCCCTGCCATGGATCTTTGGCAGCCTGTCTCTTTGACACACGGATTAATTGTACAGATTAGAGAGGAAGGACAGATGCATGCAAGTTCCTCACGTCTCCAGACAAGAATGGTGCTTCACAAACAGCTCAGCAAAGGCTGTCGCTGACATTTCTTGAATAAGGTTCAATATATATCACCCTGAGGGTTTTAGCTGGGGCTTGAGGTAGATGCGGTGAAGAATGAATGCATTGATCCGCTCGCTAGCGTGGGACGGCCTACTTCCTGTGCCAGGCTTGAGTCGTGATGATCGGGCCGGCATCAAACCCGGTTTCAGGACGACTTGTTGGATTTGTGACCTGGTGAAATGAGTGTAAGGTGCTACAAAGTTTGGTCGGCTGAGGAGGAGGAAGCCCTCCGAAAAGGGGTCCAGAAGCACGGAATAGGTTCCTGGGAGATAATTCGTCAGGATGCCAACTACCGACATCTTTTAGCGTAAGGACATACTCGGAAGTCGATTTTTGCTGCTTACGCTGCTGACGATCTGAGTGCCTAGGGTTGTTCAATGCTAAAGACAACTTTCTGTTTCCTAATCTTGCATGCGTCGTGCTCAAAGTTTTGTTCCAGCAACCTAAGTTTTTTACTTTTAAAAAAAACTTGTAAGCCTTTCCTCGTTCCATGCACCTAATGCAAAGCTCTTGTCGTCTGAACACACATGTGTGTGGACCCTGGTACCAGTGACCGAACAGGAGTGCAGCTCAAGGACAAATGGCGCAATCTCGTGAAATTCAAGCACGTCTCGAGGGTGGAGGCGGATGTCGCTGCATCCAAAAGTGCAACCATCAATTCCAGGTGTGCTTTTAGAGTATTTTTACTAGTATTCTGCCACTGTCCAGCGCAGGTGTTTCTTCAGCTTGAGCGCTTTGAATATCCTCACTTGATCAGCAAGAACTTTTGTGTACACTGCAGGCGTGCTTCCGGGGGATCGGACAGAAGGTATGGACAGTCTTGCATGCCAGAGTGACATACCTGGACAGAGCCATTTTTGACATGCTGCTCATGGTTGATGTGATGTGCAAAGGGGGAGGAGTGGTGACTGCAGGGGTCGGACGGCGTCTGCGGAGCCTATGGTGGAGATCGAAAGACAGCGGCAAGAAAACATTGCTCGCAACAAGTGCGCGCACTGGACACCTTCCGGCTTGCTTGCTGTGTTGAAGCTCCAAATTGCCCAAGAGCACTTGAGCTAGTGAGCCTTTTAACAGGAACTTCATAGTGTAATTATTTCTACAAAGGGAGCCCATTTCTTATGGAGCCTTGTTGCATGCGTGGGCGACAGGCAAGCACTGGCGGCTCTGATGAGCAATGTGGAGCAGCCACAGGCCAGCACAGCGCGCAGGCGAAGACCTCCAGTCTCCAATGGCGATCAGTGGCAGGAAGTGCAGGAGCAGCTGCTGCAGGCATTTGATGCTCTGGCGGTGTGTGACCTGCTGCTCAATGCCTGCAGCACATTCAATCTCACTTCCCCAGGGTGATGTTGGATTAGTGGAACTTTAGGATCGAGCATGGGGCGCTGGTTGCAGGGAACTGTGGGCGAGAATGTGGTAGCGGAAGCAGCTGCTCTGGCATGCTCAGAGGCAGCGGACTGTGCCTCTCCACCGCAGTCGGCACAGGAGGACTGCAGGGTGGCTGTCAGGTGGCAGCAGGAGTGCGCCAGGAAGATCCAGGCCGCGGAAGCTGTGAGTTGCCCTGCATCCAGTCAGTGCTTTTCAGATGATGAGTTCCTTTGGGCAATCAACATGCGCAGTGGCATTGAGAAGGGGAAGCTGAGGCGAGGTGGTGCGTGGACAGGATGTGAGGGAAGCAGAGGATGCCTGCCAGGCGGCTGCTGAGGCGGAAGCTGCTGCGGCAGCTGCGCGGCATGCGCGGCGGCAGCGGCAGGCCAGCCCGCAAAGGCCCCAGGCATGCCTCCTCCCCTGGCTGCTACAGTAGAAAGTATCTGGCTTACCGTGGTTCTGGTGCATAGGTTACCTCAGACCTCAGTCAATGGAATGTGACGCTGTCCTGTGGCGTGCTGATGCAGCGTGCCTCCAAGCGCATGGCGGCTCTGGAGCGGAAGCGCTACTCTGACTACGAGTATGACGTGGACCTTGAGGGCGACGATGGCGCTGCCAGCCCCACAGAGAGCTCGTCACCCAAGCGCTTCCGACACACGCGCTTCACCACAGAGGACCGGCGATTCGGTGCGCACAGGCCTCTTCTCCTTCGCAATGCGGAGCACCCCTGGTGTCGCAAAGCAACCTTCACTGTGTCCTACATGTGTGGCTCGCTTGGGTGTGTTGTGAGTGCGCCAATAGAGTCATGCATGCAATACGCGGAAGCCACCAGACCTGATCAGGGCAGGTCTGATGCTTCTGTTGGTTGCACAGGCATCTACGATGAGAGGCGCTACCAGGCGAACGGCATGCTGCAGCATGCCAGGACGTCTCCCAGGCCGCGGCCTGCGCCGGCGCCCAGCAAGGCGGCTACAGTGGGGAAGCAGGAGGACCGGGACAGCGGGATGGTGGACTGCCCCTGCGGAGTCACCTTTGATGATGGCCAGGCCATGATCGAGTGCGAGCGCTGCAAGGTACCCCCTCAAGCCACCTTTGGCCTTGCAGCTGGCCTCGATTGCATCCTGATGATCTCCTATATGGTGGATCACTTTCATTACACATAAATTGGTCAATGCTTGATATCCTATCAAAGCAAATGTGTCTGAGACAGATCTCTTGTTGGTTGTGCAGGTGTGGGCGCACCTGGTGTGCCTGCAGGTGCAGATGAGCCAGCACCCGCGCCACTTCCACTACAACTTCTCCCACTACATGTGCGACCTGTGCCAGCACGAGCTGCGCGTGCAGGCGGCCCAGGTCGGCTCGCGCTCCGGCCGAGTCTCGCCGCGCTCCACATCCTCCATCGCCCACCGCAAGGGGGCCCCTGCATGCACCCGCCCCGAGGTACACACCCCTGCAGCACTCACACACCCTTTTTAGTGATATGTATTCTCTGGCCTTTGTTAACCAGACGACCTCCAGGTGGGGTAACCTTTTACAGCATGTATAGCAGGTATGTGCAAAAGGCAAGCCCGGCTCGATTCATAATATACAGATGGAGACAACCCTGACTTCAATCTTGCTAGATCAAAATGTTGAGTTTTCAACTCATTGGAGGAATGAGGACACACGGGGAGTAGCAGTGCACTTTCTTTGCCTGAGTGGTGGAGCAGGCGTTTTATTTGATGGTGAAGACTGGTGTGGTGGCCGTGCAGGCGTTTTCCAGCAGCCTACCGCCGGCGCAGCCGTCGCTGAGCAGTGCGAGAGTGCACCGCGTGGTGCCCAGCAGCGGCGGGCAGCCCCTGGCATCAGGATCCCCCTTTGCCAAGGCGTCCCACAGCGCCAAGAGGGAGCGAAAGAACGGGCATGACAGCTGGGGAACCTCTGCGGCCCGAAAGGTGAGCACCTCCATGAATTTCCCGAGTTCTACGCTCCAGCAGACTGACGTTCTGCAAAACAGCATGCACGACGTCACAGGCTTGACAATGTTCTGGCGCGCAGCAGGCGGATGGGTACAGCGGGGACGAGAAGCCAGCGTCAGAGAGGCTGGGCGGCCGCGGCCGCAGCAACGGGGCAAAGGGCGGCCGATCGGGCCGCGGGCGAGCGCAGGAGGCGGCCGAGGCGCAGCAGCACCCGGCGCGGCTGCTGGACAACGAGGACGCGCGCCACTACTCGGGCTTCCTCGGCCACATGTCCGGCAGTGACGAGCTATCCATGGACGTCCCCGACCTGCTCGCCTCGCTGCTGGAGCTCGGCGGCGCCGTGCCCAACGCGGCCGCTAGGGGCGCGTCCCCCGCTCCTCCGCCTGCGCGCGGCCCCAAAGCTGCAGCGAGCGGTCACTGGGAGTCCAGCGCTGAGGGCCCGGCGGCCAGGCGCGGCCGGGACCGGCAGCACCGGCACTCGGCAGAGCACGTGCCGCACTCACGAGGCGGGCACCACTGGGACGGCGGCAAAGAGCAGTGGGAGACGCCCACGGTGCACCACCATCACAGCAGCCGCCGTCCAAGCGACACGTCCCTGCCCCTGCACGAGGCCTGGATGCAGCACGAGGCGGAGTGGGCCAACATGCACGGCCTGCGCCACCCCGCTCCTGCCCAGGTGCGGCTGCTCCGCATGCATGCCGAGCTTTTTAATCTCAAAGTGATGTAAGATCTGTACCTGTGCGAGGGCTGCATGCGAGCAAGTTATGGGGTGCGCAGGAGGGCGTGAGGACGGACTCATTGAAATGGGGGGAGAGGAATCTGCGCACGCCGCGCCAGCCGCGCACCAGCCGAGTGCTGTGGCCGTCCTGCCTGGAGCCCTTGGTGACCAGGCCAGGGCCGGCCTCTGGACGCGTGAATGCTGCTCCTCCCAGCCTGTGGGAGCCCTCACCCAAGAAACCCCGCAAGGTGCGCTGGCAACCCAATCTTAATTCTGCACAGCCCAATTTGTGGCGGATACCTGGAAGGCAACTCATTGGCTCATGCCTGGTGCCCAACGCCTGTGCCTGCATTGCTGCTTGCTGCCAGGCCGAGGCACAGCTTGAGAGGCGTGTCCTGGTTGCGCAGGCGAACCACCATGTGCAGCAAGCGAGCAGCAGCAGCCAAAGCCCACACAGCCCCAACGAGAGCTCGGGGCAGCTGCAGCTGCATCACGGGCGGCACATGCGGGACAACCACCGCCGCCTCTCCCCTGGCGAGCCGCAGTTCACGTCGCGCCGCCTGCCGCACTCGCGATCCCACCGCGACATGAACGGCCGACGGCACAGCAGCCACGGCCGCGGCGACAGCCCGCCCTCTCGCCACCCCAATTCCACCCCCGGGTATGGGTGAACACCACTCCCAATATCACCTCTTCCTGCCCAGTGAAGGATGCAGTCGGCACCTGCTGCACTGCCCTGCTCTGCAAGCACTTAATCGCACCACATCTCATGTCCCTGCATGCTCTGGTCAGATTCGCTAGCGTTGAAGGGTGCAGTGGAGGTGTGTAAGGCGCTGATGGGTGTCTGGCGCGCAGGAGGGGGTCGGGGATGGAGCACCGCGGGGGGCAGCTGGGCCATCTGAATGGGCCAATGACGCTGCCGCTTGGGGACATGCCCATGGAGGCCCTGGACGCGGCGCTGGCCGGCCTGGACGAGCACGACCCACACCACGAGCTCGCCCTCGACCAAGCCGCCATGGACCTCCACGACAACGACGAGGCACGCCCCCTCTGCTCTTTGAGTCCACCCTCTACGTTGCTACTGCTGCTTCACCACCAATTATCGCTCAGCCGTCCTGCGTGCATCTCTCTTCATAATGGTCCTTATGATGATTCTGCAAGTGGGGCTTTCTGTTAAGGTCAGGGGCCTGATGATGTGCTCCTTTGTGGGCTAGAGTCATATAATGCATCAGGCGATGGTCCGAGGAGAGTGAAGAGCAGCGCTGTGGGGGGTGTGTTGGTGAGTGTATCCTGGGGCGGCAGGTGGCGGCGGGTGAGCTGGAGCAGGTGGTGAGTGGGGCGAGCGAGGGCAGCGGCGGGCAGCTGGCGCGCACCAGCAGCCACTACATGGGCCCCGTCGCCTCCGACTCTCTCGCGCACACCTGGATGCACCACGCCTGGGCCGATGCCGGCCACGTCCTCAACAGGTACACATCCACCTTTACCGTTATAATCACAATTACCAGGAAACTCAGTGGCTGCCTGTTTGCATCGTCACAATGGGAGGACGGCCAGCAGGCTTAAGAAGGTCGCCCTTGCCAGTGCGTGCTGAGAGTGGTGAGGGCCTGTTTGCAGGCAGCCTCTGCCGCCCAAAAAGGCGGCAGCAGCGGCGGCATCGGCGGCTGCAGAGGCGCAGGCGGCGGCGGACGCTGCGGCAGAGGCGGTGGGCGTGGCCTTTGGCGCCGAGGACATGGGGGGCAATCTGGGAGTCAGTGAGCTCGACAGCCGCCCAGAGTCCCCATCCCCCAAAGACGAGGTGCGCACGCATCCCCTTCTTTTTCGTCTTGGCCTTTCCGTGGGTGGTTGTCCAGCGTGCAGAAACGTCCTCTGCCGTGGTGCGGTTGTGTTGCCCGCCTGTCATACAGAGTGAGTCACAGAAAGACCAAGTTGTCCTTTGAGCAGTGCATGAAGTGTATGCGCGCGGGCGTGTTCCACAGGGGTTGGGAGACCTGGCAGCGCACCTGGTGGCCTTCCACAACATGGGGGCATCGCCGTCGCACGACGACCCCTTTGTCTCGGGCGGCAAGGTCAGTTTTGACGACGGGGACCCCCCCGAGGGCGGCGACGGCGCCCAGAGCCCCCACGCGCACAACAGCCAGGCCTACAACACCTCCCCCCTCCTCGAGCAGGACCGCGCCTTCGACGGCTCCGACAGGGTGCGACTGCGCCGCAGCTCCCGACCTTCAAAATTGTCCCTGTCGCTTCCACCCCCGGCTGCCCAAGCTGCACTGTTTTCATGTGAAGAGAAGTAGTTTGAGACAGAATGCGACACACGAAAGGCAGTGCCAGCATGAATGATTAGAGGGAGCAATTTATGTGATTATTGTGGTTAAGGAGGCGTTTTTTCTGGTATGGGTTCTCAGCCTGAGGTGGGTTTGATGGTGCGCAGGCCACTCCGTTGGGGCTTCAGGATGCGCAGGAGGGCGAGGGTGAGATGTTTGCAGAGGTTGACCAGATGCTCAACGTCAACCAGGACGCTGACTTGGAGGGTGATGGATACAGCGACACCAATGACGCTCAGCCTGACCCGCTGGAAAGTGCTTGAGGTCTTCAGCAAATGCAGGGATTCAACCCTTCGCTGGCACTGCCGAGGGTACAGAAGAAGATTTACGTGACACCCTGCACGATTTCTGCTTGATGGGGATGAGCAGTCCAATTTTGGATATTTTCAAGAGTCGACAGCGAGATGCATCAGTGCTTCCTTCTGTTGGTGGGTCTCAGTTCAGTGCCTGATGACATGCAAGTATGCACATCTCTCCCTGCTAATAATTCATGAGACTGCACCATTGTGTAGATTTTCCCTCAGTCTGCCAGCTTTCAAACTCGGGATGCACATACTATTGAATGACAAAATGCTAACATCAAGTTGGTCAAGCAAATGGCAGACAAGTTTCAGATGAAGCGGATTCTTGAGATTGGTAGGAGCTTGTAAGCCTCATGAGATTGTTCTTGACATCATAAGGATCTTTGGGCGTTTGTGCTGGCATGGTTAACCCCGGGGACTGAAGTGCAAACCTCGGTGGATCCTTTACATGCAATGTCCCGCCTACTCATGGCCTGACAGATGCCTAGATCTATGGATTAACTGGAACACAGGTTGCAGTTTTTCTCCCCTGATCGGGTGTTGCAAGCTTTACCAAATCTAGCCAAACGATTGCAAACATCCTTGAGCATTGCTTGCGAGCATATCTTACGCACTCATTGTAAAATCAGAGTGCTATCTGCATCAGTGCATCACTTGCCTGCGAACCACATTTGTCGCGCAGCACATCTACATGGGAGTTCAATACCTACTGCATGCATATCATTTCACTGGAGACAGCGATAGAGCTTGTCGATCCAGATACCTATGCCAGACATCGATGTTGACCGAGTGATGCTGCCTAGACAATCATGTAAGACCAATACGGGACTTCAGCTTATCAGCATCACCATCAAAAACAAGCGCATAACGAACCTTTGCTATATGATAAGCCAATCCGGAACTTCACCCCCGCATGCCTCGCGGACTTCCTTCTTGCCAGCCCTCCAGTAAAAATTATGCTTGTCTAGAGCCCTGCCAACCCACCAATATGGTATCTGATGCCAGTCCGACGTGCCAACCAGAAGTATGATGATTTCCATTCAATCTGGTTGCAGACTGGCTGTCATGCTACGGAAAGGCAGTCTCTACTGGTTGCTAAACAATTCACTGCCATGACCCAAGGCCCGCTAAACCTTATTGGGGACAGAAAACCAGTACATCGCACCAACATGAAGATGGATGTCCCATAGCTCAAGGATATATTTTCCACGTCCTCTCAAGATCTGAGCTGGCAATCATCTTCAACGCATCTCACAAAGTCTTCAAAAAGAAATCTTATCTTATCCTACCATCCTAGTCTCTAGATCCATCCAGCCTAAGGAAAACTTTGAGTGGGACACATCGACCTAGATGAGGGGACAGATGAGCCCTTGGCATGCACCATCTGGGGAGATGATGCGAGCCTCCAACAATTCCTCACCCCATCATGTTACAATGGAGCACCCTGATCGCTGCCATCCCACCAAGGGAAGGACACAGGCAACCGATGTTCCTGCACCTGCAATCCAAGATAAATCACAGAATCTGACACCTTGGGAGTGAGAGGCTTGATCAGAAGCCAGCTGTTCTTCACTGAGGCGACGACTTCATGCTAGTCTTGCCAGAGAACAGGCACCCGTGACTAAGATTATGGGTGCGGCTCTGCTGCTGCTCTGCTGCGGCCATTCCGTTGCTGACGCGCAGCTCAGCTGGTGTCTCCTCTCAACCACTTTCAGGCACCTCATTGGCCCCAGCATGGCGGCTTATCCTGCATTTGCACAATGGAAGATGGTCAAGTATTCGGCCTCTGGCTCCAAGCCCATTTCAGGTAGCATGGCAGAGGGGCAAGAAGCCACAGGCAACTGAGTGGGATTCTCTTTGGCTGCCTGGCAACAGTGGCATCAGTGACTGTACTTCCTGTCCATGATGACCAGCAACAACCGACAAGCCTCGAGCACTCACCCAGGTGTTCTCCTTGGTATTGTGGTTGTAGTAGTATGCCTGCCCATCAGGTGCTCTGTACTCTGTCCAGCCTTCTGGTCCAATCACAGGGGCATACGCAGGCACCTGCCAACAGCCAGCCAAGCACTTCAGGCACTCCACAAACATTGAAAAACGTACATTGTCCTGTTGGCCTGGTACAGGCAGCGGTGAAGGGCAGTTTTCACCTGACCACCCCAGGCATCGCCCCGGCCGTTCACTCCCCCTGGCCGCTGCCCAGGATTTGAAGCGCTCACAATCTCGCGAGGATGACCGCCATAGCCGCCAACTGAAGGGCCGCCCAGGCCCCCACCTTGCCCAGGGTTGCCGAAGCCAGCGCCATAGCCGCCGCTGTATCCGGCCCCATAGCTATTGAAGCCGGCTGGCCCCTGCCAAAGGGTACCACGTGGATCAAATGACACTCTCGACTGGTCGAACCAGGGAAGGGGGGCCTCATGCCTGCCTGGACTCAACAACGTTCCCATTGAGCGCTGCCAGAACCTGGTACCCATGGTCACGCTGGTATACTTGTAGCAAGTGCCCCCATTGTTCCTTGTCATGCTGAACTGCCACACATGTGCTCCAACAAAATTGCAAGAAAGCTGTAGGAGAGAACCTGGCCCGTTCAGAATTGGGGATGGTAATCTCAGTGCAGGCAAAATGGTAATCCATCTTCCGAGAGGGGCGTCTTGATATGTATGATATCTGAATAGCCGAGAGTGTGTTCGCCCATCGTTAGGTGATTTCCCTTCTTCCCCCACTTTTGAAAAGCAAGGGCACGTTTAATTGATGGTGACGAAGGGTTTGCCGCGAACGCGATCACGACAGGATTTCGGTCATTTCCAGAACGATTAAGTCTATTCGGAGGATTATCGCACCGAGCTGCGCTGGGGGTATCCACCGCCTTCAAAGCTGCCTCGAAAGTCTGATTGCCCGCCGTACGGGCCCGGTCCCTGGAAGCCGTTCCCTCGAGCTGGAAGCTTGCGGAGCTCCTCCTCTCCGTGTGCGAAATTGCAGCGCTCACCAAATCTACAATGCCCGTTTTTCCACCTGCGTGACGCAATCGCCCCGTTCAAGTCCAAAGCCCTGGTGTTGGAAGACGGCCAGGAACGTGCCCTCCAGGGCGAGCTCCTCACCTCATACACAGCTTTGTTTTGGCATTCTCTGCATTTCCTCGGAATCCCTTTCTCTGCTCTGCGTACTCCGCGCCGGCGTCAAAGCCTTCACCTTTGGTGCCGCTGGGGAAAGCTCCATCCATCTGGAGTCGGCTTAACTCTTCGTCCTGGCCCCGCTGAAAGGGCTGCGTGCCAGCTAAACCTCACAAGCCTCCTCACGACAATACGCAAGTGGTGTTCAAGCCAGACACACCAAAATTTACGCCGAGTGCAGATGATGAAGGAGATCTTGCCTGTCGGCAGTCCACAAAAAAAGCGAACTGACTCAAAATTACGAATTGATCTCCCACGTGCGAGTGGGCACCAGAAAGCCATCGAGTCACGTCTGCGGGAGATTCCGCGTACACCAAAAGCGTTCCAGCTCTACAAAACGTGTAAGATAGTTCTTTCTGCATAACGATCTATGCTGTAAAAAAATTGCGTTGATTGCACCGGACCTAGCCCAGCCGATGCTGCCTTAGAAGAGAACACAAGGACTAACCTTCTTAAGAATCGTGTGCAAAGAAAAAAGATTGATCCGTTTGTGGCATTCCACTTAGGAGACGGCGAGAATAGCAGAGCAACGGGTGGGAACCGTCCGAATTATCGATGCCCCCCACCAGCTGCAAGGAGACTACAGTCTTCCGTAGCAAGTTGAGAATGAGTTAGGGTATGTTTGCAATTAAAGGGGGGAATTTCGGGGAAAGAGATCTCCACAGAAGGCAACGAGAAGCAGAGAGGATGCCAGTGTGGTTCCTCAAGGCAGTGAGATAGGCTTGAGGCAGGCCGTCTGTCATGGTTGAGGCGCGGTCTGCCGTTGCGCAAGCCAGAGAATGGCATGGGATCCAAAAAGCCCAGGAGCGGCTGCCCATTGCAGAGGCGCGCAAGCAGCTGATTGATCTGGTGAAGGCCCACCAGACACTGGTGCTTGTTGGCGAGACGGGGAGCGGCAAGTCAACACAGCTGCCGCAATTCTTGCATAGAGCAGGCCTGGCAGAGGTGGGGAGAGCGCAGTAAGCATCCAAGAGGTAGTTCCGGCATCAAATACAATCGCATGCTTATTTGACCATGCCTGGGTGCAGGGGAAAAGCATTGCCGTGACACAGCCTCGGCGGGTGGCAGCTATTGCCGTTGCCCGACGAGTCGCACAGGAGATGGGGGTCCAACTCGGGGCTGAGGTGCAACTCCTGTCATATTGGCCCAGACCGTAGGCAAGGTGTCGCCGTGCCAGTGAGAGGCCATCTGCTGATAGATGTCATGTCTGCACAAGCTTGCCTGCAACGTCTGGGGCTTCAGGGGTATTGGACAATGCCTGCATTGTCATGCATATTGTCAGTCCTTGATGGTCGAGCAATGGGAAGCACCAATTTGGAGCTGGCTTGAATCAAGGTGTTTGATGTGCGGCAGGTGGGCTATGCGGTTCGTTTTGATGACCGGAGTTCAGCCGCAACGCGCATCAAGTACTTGACGGATGGCATGCTCGTGCGAGAGGCCCTCATAGACCCCACCCTCTCCCGTTACAAGGTCTGGTGACTTGTCCATGCAATTGTGTGCCTGCTGAGCTCGACGGCCATCTCTCAGGTGTTGCTTGCTGCAGCAGCTGGAATTAGGGACACAGCTGCATGAGCGTGCAAGCAACTATGTGCTAAGAGGTCTGTACTGACATGCTTCTGGGCAGATTGTGGTGCTGGATGAAGCCCACGAACGCACGCTACCGACCGAAATCCTCTTTGGCCTCATGAAGCAGATCCAGGTGATCTTGTTGACTCACCTGACTCATAGCCAGCATGAACTGCAAAGGCCTCCGGTGTGCAGCCCAAGTTGCAAGCGCGCTGTTACAAGTCGTCGTGCGCGAGCAGGCTCAGCGGAAGGGGGGGATGAAGCTCATAATCATGTCGGCCACACTGGACGCTGCAAAGTTTGCGCACTTCTTCGACGGTGCCAAAGTGATCTACCTGCAGGTGCCACCTTCCCCCCTACGCCCCTGACTGGTTCCAATTATGCCCATGTACATCCTCACATTTGGGATACGTGATTTCTCCACTCATCCGGAGCACTGAGTGAGCTGGTTATTCTGCTTGACATCATGGGAGCATCTGCTCTGCAGAATCTGCCAAATTTCGGGGGAGGTGTGAATGTGGGATCTCGCTGTGCAGGGACGGCAGTTCTCCGTGGACACTATGTATGTGCCGGAGCCAGTGGACAGCTATCTGGATGCCGTGCTGCGCACCGTGCTGCAAATCCATGTGGATGAGCCTGAGGGTGACATTCTGGCCTTTCTGACTGGCCAGGAGGAAATAGAGACCCTGCAGCGCCTCATCCCTGAGAGGTGCCAGCGCCTGCCCTGCCCTTAATATTGATCATGTCCAACCGTTATGTCTGAGCGGTCTTAAAGAACTTTGTTGGTCAGGTTGCCGCAGCTGGAGGGCGCTGAGAGCCTTGGGAAGCTTCTGGTGGTGCCCATCTACGCAGCGCTGCAACCAGAGCAGCAGGCCAAAGTCTTTGAACCCACGCCTGCAGGCATGCGCAAGGTGCGCTCTGGCCTTCTTGACAATTAGTTCCTGTCCTCACAGCATGCGAGTAAGCTGACGCAGTCTCAATATTGGCGGTCAGGTGATCCTGGCCACCAACATAGCGGAGACGTCCATCACAGTGCCGGGCGTGCGCTACGTGGTGGATGCAGGCTTTGTCAAGGCGCGCAGCTACAACGCGCGGCTGCAGTCCGACTCGCTGCAGGTGGTGCCCATCTCCAAGGCCCAGGCCCGCCAGCGCAGCGGCCGCGCTGGTGCGCCCACGGCCCTCACATCTCCTTTTTCACCTCCGCGGCCCTCATCTGAGGTTATCCTTCGGAGAGCATCCCGCATTGAGCCCCTTGTCATTGTTCGGTGGGAAGTCTTGTTGCCCTCCTGAAGCAAGGTCTACAAAGGGACTCAGAAGGCAAATTTGCGGTGCATGCAGGTCCTTTGCTGAGCACGGGAGTTTTAGAGGTTCTAAATGACTGAGGATTGCCTGATTCATCTTTCTTGATTTGAAAGCCCCTGGGGGTTTCGGTCATAGGGGGGGTCGCTGCGGCGCAGGGCGCGAGGCGGCGGGCAAGGCATTCCGGCTGTACACGGAGGCAGCATTCCTGGGCCTGCAGGCGGCGAGCGCGCCGGAGATCCAGCGCGTAAGCCTGGCGTCGCTGGTGCTGCAGCTGAAGCAGCTGGGCGTGGCGGACATGACGGCGTTCCCTTTCATGGACGCGCCCCCCAAGGCAGCTCTCCTGCGCGCGCTCGAGCTGCTGCTGGCTCTGGGCGCACTCGACGCCGACGGCGCCCTCTCAAAGCCGCTGGGCGCGCAGCTCGTGCGGCTGCCGCTCGAGCCGGCCTTCGGCAAGGTGTGTGCCCGCATGGCCCTGCCACGTCACCCTTGGGACATTATTATATTATATTATTATTACACGCTTTTTCTGCCAATAGGCAAGGCACGTCCTGTAGACAACCTGAGTTGCACGATGCCATAATCCTACTCCTTGATGGACTCGCCCAGATCCAAGCAAGACTCAATCAACCGTGGGCACGGTGCTCAGAATTCAGGGTTTGCTCATTTACACGTTGATAATGAGGTGTAACAAGGCACAAATCTGGCAGCAGTTATGAGAGTGTGGCCCATTGCTGTGAGCCCTGCTGGCGTGGCCTGTGCGTTAAGGAGTTGGGATCTGTTGGCGCAGCTGCTGCTGTCAGGCGGAGCAATGTCCTGCAGCGAGGAAGCGCTGTCTGTGGTGTCGATGACAAGCACAGACCCAGTGTTTCTGAATACAAGGTGTGTTCAGCTGTGTTTTAATCCCCATCTCTGCCTCTTGGTCTAATGCTAGACCCATGTCCTGCCAGGCAATTGAAGTCTGCTCAAGGTGGGCATGCAGCGTGCAATGATGTGATTGCAGGAACAAGCAGGAGGCGGCGACAGAAATGCGTAAGCAGTTTCTGTCCCCACTCGGCGACCACATCACCCTTCTGAATGTCCTGACAGCGTACATGAAGGTTCCTTCTGGGTTTCCTGTGTTGCTCCTGCAACAATGCATGATTTCATTCACTGCCATACACCATATGTAGGACCCCATGCCAGGATGCTTGAAGCAAGCTCAACTGAATGTCTGGTGGGCAGGTAAAGAAGAATGAGAGAGGCCGGTGGTGTGGGGAGCGGCTGCTGAATGCGCGCTCCATGCGCAAAGCGCTGGAGATCCGTGCCCAGCTGCGCGAGCACCTTCTCAGCCTCAAGGTGCAAATTCTGCCATATAGCCAATCTTCCCCCACTATGTGAGTGCTGATGCATTGTTGCGCTCTTGCTGTGCTCAAGAGTTGAGAAAGCAGTGATTGAAAGTAAGAATGACCTCTTGCTGGGGGTGCAGGTGCCTCTGAAGAGTTGCGAGAATGACATGGACCCGCTTCAACGCGCCATTTTGTCCGGCCTCTTCATGCATGCCGCCATTCTGCTGCCTGACAGTACGTAGCTGCCTCCTCCCTTTAATTTCTATCATTTCAAAAATGTATTACCCAAAACACTGTCCTATGAGTCGACTTGCAGAGGTAATCCTGCATGCTGATGGGGGCTGGAATGTATGCTGCGCAATGCATGATGCAAAACAAACTCAAGAGTCTGCTATGTGTGTGCGCAGACACATACAAAGTGATTGCGAGCGGCCAAATAGTGTCCATCCACCCCTCGTCTGTGCTGAGCGGCCGCAAGCCGCGATGCATTGTATTTGATGAGATCCTCAGAACTACACGCAACTATGCGCGAAACGTGACCGTGATGGAGCCCTCATGGCTGCCAGAGGTGGTGCCAGCCTTCTTCAGAAAAATGGAATCTTCAGGAAGTCTTTGAGAGCGGTTATTTACCAGTAACTTAGTAAGAGAACGGATTTTATTTACATGTTGGTCTGTGATGAGCAAGAGCCCATGCACCGTAGCCGGCACACCACATCATGTCCAAGTCAAAACAATGCCGATGGGTGCAACTCGCATCATGCAAGTCGCCTGAAGTACTGCTTAATAAGGTTCATTGTGATTCGTCCCTGCAGAGCTTGTGCCATAGCAGGAGCTTTGACAGGGTTAGCTGACATGAAAAATGTCACAGCACTGAAACACCAACGAAGTTTTGTGGTGTCTGCACATGTGGTTCGCAGAATACAACCCTTTCCCTGTAGAATCTTTCCAAAGCCCTCTGCTGTGAATTTGACAGTTAGCATGCTGATTGAAAGGCCTAGCACAAACAGAACTAATGCTGAAAATAACTCAATCCGCTCACAAGCCGAGACCTTCCTCCTACAAAAGGTTTGCGCATAGTAGCCATCAACTCTTGGTCTTATGGTGCGCACTTTTGTGTTTCTGGAGTGCACGCCACTAAGCTGACTGTGGCAGTCTGTCTCCTTCCTGCTGCTAGTTCTTCTTGCTCGAGAATGTGAGCTCTTCACACATGCGATCAAGCTCCTCCTTCGCACCAACGGCCTCCAACTCCTGAGGCCCCAAAAACATGCCCCAGGGAATCCCGCCATACTTCTCGCTGTGGTGCAGCTGATGTGCCACTGCGCACCGCTTCAGGTAGGGAACATCTGCTAGAGGGCCCACCTGACATGGCATGCCATAGCACAATCAGCACTTCATCGCTATAGCACCTCAATTAGATCCTTTGAGCCCTGGGAGAGCCAGGGATGGTTCTCATGCAGGTCAACATTTGAAGCATAGTACTGGTAAGCAGCTACTTCTGATCTGATCTATGTTGAGGAGCAAGGAGCGCACAGGGAATCGGCGGTGCACCAAGCCATCATGGATGAACATGTACATGATGCCAAAGAGGGTGATGCCCAGGCCAGCTCCAAAGCACACTCCGCCCATCAGCGTCGGCGTCAAGAACCTGCGCATTTAAAGAAGTCCATCGTGGCCGTTATGAGAATGAGACTTAAGCTGGACTAGCATCCTTATGGCTGAGTGTGCAGGACTACAGGAGGGCAGAGACCCACCCATACAAGCACAGGCCCATGGCAGGGACTGCATTGGCGATGGCATAGATGTCATTGGCCTCAAAGGGCCCCACTCGAGGCACATGGTGGGACTTGTGCAGAGACCAGCCCGCCTCATTCTCATGCCACAATGCCTTGTGCGCCCACCTGGCCCACATTTCCATGCCCACCTGCGAACAAGGAATATAAAGTATGTCACCAAGCGGTGTCAGGTCGCACAGCCTTATTGAAAACCAATCAGGGCAACAGCAGCTGGTACCTCATGCAAGCAATTGCTCAAAATGACTCATGGCACGCCAGTCATTTGGGAGTGCGGTAACATTGGTCAGGATCATACCACGCCGCCAAATGTGAGCAGCAGCGTTGCTGCCGCTTCCAAAATTGGAAACTCTGCGCCGTCCCTCATGTGCCATGTAAAACGGAGATGTACTGCTGTGATGGCCATTGCTGTGATTCCCGTGGATGCAAGGATCGCTGCCATTTTGTAGGTGGTCTGCTCCCTGTGCAAACGGCCATCAGGTCCGTTAGTATCAAGAGGCAGCGGTATGCAAATCCACTGGGATGCCAAATAATGGGCCATGGCGGGGCGCCTGGATGCTTGCAACTTGCAACATGCAAGCTCAAGCAACAAGCACCTTGCTCGTGACTGCTGGCGTTCAAATCGCCTAGCAGTCAAAGCATCTTGTGCGACTGCCTGCACTGCAGCCGTCACGTCCTGGGCAGCGCCACTCGCCGCATCTAGAATCCCACTAGAGCCGGCACTCAATGCCTCTGCAATGCTGTCCTGACCACGCAGCTCCACAGAAAATCTGTCGGACACACTGCACTCCTCTGCCTCTGGTGCACAAGGCATCCCCTGCAGCCACAGGTACAAGAAAGAATTAGCAGTGTCCGGCTTTGCTCCTCCTTGCCGCGATAGTATCCCCACGCAGAGTTTGATGACGGTTTTGCAGGTTAGCCTTATTGCAATAGATGTATAGGACTGAGGCGTTGCACAAATATGGATGTCCCAAAATTGTGGCACTCCAGCCCACCCCTCGCAAGGCTATCGTGCCACAACACGGTTGCAAAATCTCCACACAACTCTTGTTGCTAAATAATCTTCTCAAGGTTCGATAGAATGACATCTCCGCGACTTACAAGATTGACACATGCAGCGCTTTGCTGTTCCAAAAGTGCGGCTACTCAGCACAGCTGCTCGATAGTCAACCTACCGTAACTGAAACTCTCTGAAGATCTATCGAAGAAGGTGAGACGATGCATCTTTGCGACTGCCGTCTCCTGTAGGTTACGTGGGACGCGCGCGGCTGAGCTCCTGAGTTGCAACGATGGCCGACTGTTACACCCCTCCCGACAATTCCCCCATAAGACGCACTTGTATGGCTACTGAAAACCATCTGGTCTGGAGATCAGCTACCAAGTCGTCAGAAATGAGAAAAGGACACCCGGTGTTGGCTCAAGTCAGGGAGCGTGGGCTGCGTGAGCAAGTGTGCAACCTAATCTCACCGAGCTGGCCCGCACAACAGCTCTAAGTACTGCAAACTAAAGAAACATATGAATGGCTAGTTAGAACTCATAAAAACACCTGCCAACATTGCCTGGCGACAGTATTCCGGGATGGTGATTGAATTGGTCTGATTGGTGCATTGTCAAATTGGGCAGGCCATGATGTTTATCTATTGTGGCATAATGAGGAAGCCACAGAAAAAGCAGAATGTGGTGCCTGGGTACCGCCTTGCATGCTCCAACAGTGGGAGCTGAAGTTGTCCCTGGTCATGCCTCAACCATTACGGGCGTGATGATGGCCCTGGATCATGATCCTAACACAGTCATTCGTGATTAGCCCCAATTCCAAAGAAATCAAGGCTTGACAGCTACAACAGCCGCCGCGCCACTGCAGCACCAATACTTTGTGCAACACTTGTGTAGGTTACATGATGCTCTGAATATGCAGGTATTGCATACATGGTAATCATCGCCTTTGGCTTGCTCCGTGGCTGCCCATTCGCTAACACTGGTAAGCTGACCCATTGTGTACGAGTCATAATCAACGAAATCAGCAGACTCCTGCAGAAGTCTGATGGCATGTCAATGACACTTCATGTTTGCTCTAATGAGTCTCCCAACGGGCGAGCCTCCAGGGAGGTCTTGGACAACCTCACAACTTTTGCAGCTTTGTTATCATTATTATCATAAGGGCCAGGACACAGAGCAATTAGCCACTCGCGGACCTGTGCATGCATGGGTGCTTTGTTACCCAATATGAGAAGCAATTTTGCCTCTGCATGCAATGTGCTTTAGCATGCCTCATCAGGTTCCTTGCTGTATGCCCTCAACAGACTACTTACTAGCGATCGTCTTCTCTCATTTCCTGACACTCCTACTCCTTATCGTTTTCTGGTCGTCGGGCCACAGCGAACGGCCGGCCTCATTTGCAGTACGGCTGGTCGATCTTGGCCCAGCCAAAGATGGTCTCATACTCGGCAGCCGCCTTGTCCCAGGTGGAGTTGCGCTCCATGCCCCTCTGCTGCAGCGCCTTGAACGAGTCTGGATGCTCGCGGAACGTCTCCAGCGTGTTTCTGAGTGCCCCAGTGAAGGCATCTGTCGTGCAAGGGGAGAAGGTCCACCCGGTGCCAGTGCCTGCACAGCCAGCTCCCCTACTCAAAACCAGATGATTGCACTCCAAAGTCTTGCAATGTGGTCAGGCGCAGAGAGCGTTAGCGCAATCTGCGTTAGAAAACCAAAACAACTCGCAGGTCGATCAAGCGTGTGCGCTAGCGCTTAGAGAACACGTTCACGCCTTGCTGAGGAGGCAGGGGGTGAGCAGCGCACCATCCCAGGGGTTGAAGGGGAGGACTGTGTCGCGCAGGCCTCCAGTGGCGTGTGCGACGGGCACAGTGCCGTAGGCCATGGCATAGAGCTGGTTGAGGCCGCATGGCTCAAAGCGCGAGGGCATGAGCAGGATGTCTGCGGCCGCCGTGATTTTGTGGCTCATGGGCACGTTGAAGCCCACCCAGCCGCGCGCCCTGTCTGGGTAGGTGTTCTCCATCCACCTCATGCCCGCCTGCGGAGCAGCGCAATCTGAGGGTGAGAGACACCGCCCTTTGACAGAGGTGATACCAGGCGATTTCCAAGCATTTGCCAGGACCTCCTAAGAGTATGCCGGTCAGAATGAGATCAAGAAATACAGGCTGCCATCTGACATCTAATGAATATGGAAAGATTAAACATGGCGATGTCCAGAGGGGTATTTTTGTGTGCTGACCTCGAGGCTGACGTCGCCGGTGCCGAGGCAGACCAGCTGCACGTCCTGCTCCATGAGCCAGGGCAGCACGCCCAGCACCAGGTCCGCTCCCTTCTGGTAGTCCAGCCGCCCAATGAAGCCAATCAGCGGCACCTGCCGGCACATGCTGCCGTCAGCATTGGAGGTCATGCACGCTGTTACTGCACTTGTCAGGAGTGGGCATGTGGATTGAATGAGGGAACATCATGTTTGCCTGGGCACGGGTCCGACCTCGGGGCGCTCAGGCAAATCCAGCTCCTTCTGCAGCGCGGCCTTGTTTGCAGCCTGCGGCCAAACGAAGAATGCTTCTCAAATCACTCTAATCAGCAATTGGGCAGAAACCAATACGAGGACGACAGCAATGCTGTGCTGGAAAGCTCTACGCACCTTGCCGCGCGAGAAGTTAGAGACGGAGAACTTCTGCGCCAGGTGCTTGTCGTGCTGGGGGTTCCAGTCGTGGTTGTCAATGCCATTGAGGACGCCGTTGAGGGCGTACGCGCGGCTGCCCAGCATCTGCTCCATGCCCCAGCCGCCCTCCGGCGTCAGGATCTCCCAGGCATACCCCGGGCTCACGGTCACTATCCTGTCCGCCGTGCTGATGCCGCCCTGAATGATCCCCAGCAGATATGTCATCCCAGAGACATTCGCAAACCAATGGGTCCCCCCAGCAGGCTGCATGTCAGTTACCGTGTAATGTCGGTGGTGTGCTTCGGCACAATATTATGGACCCACCTTCATGGTGTTCACAGCGCGGCCTTCCTCTTCGTAGCTGCCCTGGCGCTGGTGTGGAGGGTACTGCCACTCGAGCGCGCCATACCAGTGCCCAGGCAGCCCGTACGTCGCAAAAGTCTTGGGCGGGAACACGCCCTGAGCCACAGATCACCAAGACGCCATCAACCTTCAGGGCCACAAGGAAAGGAACGAAAGGGTCAGAGTTAGCAAATGCCGGCAAATTGATATATGTTCTGTCCATGAAATCGCGGCAGACCTGGTGCCGGAGGTTGTGGATGGCGAGCACTGAGCGCGCATTCCCATACACGCCGCCAGGTCTGTACTTGGCAGCAAGGTAGACGGGTGTCATGGCAGCGTGCCAGTCATTGGCAATGAATATGCAGTCATCGCCGAAGGTGCTCCCCTCAATCTGCAGCTGCAGCGGAGCCTCCAGGCCCGCCAGGCACAGGAGTGTGTAGCGGTACTGCACAGCCCCAAGAACAGTACTTAGTGGAATGTCCACTAGCTGTGCCCCTGGTGGCCCCTGGTGGTAAAGGACAGCACAATCAAGGAGGGCACATGCTCATGTACCTGGTTGTCTCCATACACCCCAAAGGCGTCAGCATAGAGCCCGCCTGGTCTGGGGTATGATGGGTGGTCCACAAACACCCAGTCCACACCCTTGCTGCGGTGGTGGTACAAGCCCACCTCTGTGTCTAAGACAGAAACCTTCATCTGAGGACCCTGCAAGAGAAAGAGGACACGTTGCCAAGACTCATCCCTGCACAAGAGATGTGCATGCAAAGCTTGACGGACAGGGAAGAAACACTCACCTTTGAATCCGGTACAACATCGTAGTTTGCATATCGCGGAGACACAACCATGACCCTGTGGCCCCTAGCTGCCAGTGCGGGGGGCAGAGATCCACACACATCACCCAGGCCCCCGGTCTTTGACCATGGCGCTACCTGTGCAGAGTGAGCGATCTTTATTTCTTCCTTCATCTCAACATGCATTGAAATTTACCCCGTGTGCCCAGCTGCACAGCTATCGCCCCTCACCAAGCAAAGGTTGACTGTGTCCAGGCTTCAGTCAGGGTGCATCTATAACACACTGGTTCAGTCTGAGGAGAGTCACCTCAGCAGTGACAAACACTATGTTGTATGTGGCCCGCGCAGTCTCTGTTGCTCCCCTCACTTCCTTGTGGTGGGTGGAGTCAGGAGTGCTGGCTGCCTGGGCAGCTGAAGATCGCCTTTCATTCAAGGACTGCTCATCGATGACTGTAGAAGCGACTGACTCGGCAGCCTTTGGAGCATGTGGTCTCAAGCTCCACTTTCGACAGTGCAACAACTGCTTTGCTACAGACTTGGGCGCCTGCAGGATCCAGCAACAATGAGCGTCGTCAACGATCGGCCCAATCACGCAAATTTCTTTTCTCTGAAATCTTGCCTGGTCAGTTGTGTTAAACGTGTGAGGGCTGCTGAAACTTTGGTCCATTGGCAATATAGATATTGATGTGCTTGGCACCATTAGAGACAACGCAGCAGCTTGGATCACCAATCACTCACCTGAAAGGTCTGTTTGCTGCTTGCTGGTCTCCCTGCGGTAGAAAAGGGAGACGCATGAAGCAAGCTTGGCCGCATGGGGCCTGAACAGCACCAGCAGTGCGGGCCCCCTCTGTTCTACGGAGCTCTATCTATGTTGCCAAGCCCGACATGCCTCAATCAGGGGAACATCTGGCGGTCTTCCGTGTCGAGCATCAAACCAGCATCTGTCTCTTCGAAGCAGATCGGGATGGAGAGCAGGGAGCCCCTTGTTGCAGCTTCCCCAGGCATCCGGGTGAACCCTAACCTGATACCCCTCCTTCCAGTGCTTTTAATGCGAGATATTTTGGGGTTCATATCTTCATCATTACTTTATGGCTTTTCATTATTATTATTACAGTGTCGGCAAACCCAAAGCCCGAAGGCCATAGGGCATGTTGGCTTCATGTTCGCTTTTCAGCAGGTCTTGCACCCTGGACGTGAAGCTTAATCTACAATGCGTCCACTGGCAGTGGCCACCGGGTGCTGGTGGTGCTGCATGCATGACACCCTCAACGTCACCTCCCAAAGGGGGGTGTTGCGTTGCTGGCAGGCCAGAAGCATCGGTAACAGAGGGGCGCTCAACCGATGCAGGGAGTGCATGCAATTGTTGCGTGATGACATGATTGACAGGCTGCAGACTTTTGTAGGCCCGGGCCCCGCGGAAGTGGCTGCAGACGCTCTGCGTGTATGCCCTATGGCCTCTGGCTTTGGGTTCGCCGACCTTGTAATAATAAGTAATAATTATATGCATGCACGAAGTCGGGCACATGCATGCTGGCGCCGGCGCTCTTTTGCCGCAGCGCTGCGGTGCGGCACCTGGGCACCGGTGAGTCATGACTGGAATCGCTGCAAGTGTTGTTGATGATGCAAGCCCGATCGCGATGCATGCGTGATGCTGCTGTGTGGACCCTGAGCTTCCCATAATGAGGTTCACAGTGCAAGAGGCATCATGCTGCAGGATGTTTTCCAATGATGCATCCATCAAAGTTGATGATCAACATTTTGTCAGAAATTGGATCGTCTACTTACAGCATCAGTGCGCACTGCATTGACACTTCATATTGAGGTTTAGCTGCTAGCTGTACTGGGAGCCTCACGATAAATATTAATTCAAAATTCTCTCTGGCTCTTTGATTTTTTTCAGACTAGCCATTCATTGACACCCACTAGTAGCTGTCTTCTCTTGCTGAACATATCACACATGTAATGTTCTATACGGAGCATGCTGGCCATCATCTCTTTATCGGCTTGTCCTGCCACAACTCAGTTTTTTTTTGTCAGACGCTATCTATAAAGGCCAGATGTATCCACAAGCACTACAGCGGATCTGCAAAGAGTTGGTGACCACTGTGGCGCGGGCACACGATATACTTCTTTGATAGGACTGTGCACTGCTGGTGCCTGCATCTGGCATGGTAGGCCACGGGGCACCTGCGGCACTGCAGCATGGCCACTGAGTCACCGCTGAGGCCGCATCGCGCGCAGTAGTGCGCCGGGCACCGGAAGGCGCCGCCGGACGCGCCCCACTTGGTCAGCGGGCACGCCGTCGCGCAGCTGCGGTGGTAGAAGTGCCCGCAGCGGCCCATGCTGCACTTGACCAGCTCCCCAAGCGGCCCTGAAGCCTTGCAGTGGAAGCACACGCGCCTGCAATACATCGTTGATCACCCAGCTTGGTGAAGCAACTATAGTGCAAGAAGAGACAGTTGAGTGAAAAGAGACGAGACATGAAGGCAGTGCAATGAAAAGCAAATGCTACAAGAAGAATACTTTAGAAAGCAAGGAAAAACATACCCCATTGAAGGAGAAGCGCACCGGTCAGAGGCGCATTGAGTGCACCTCAACATGCCGGTAGGCGCAGAGCACGCATGGTGGAAGAACTGGCAGCACTGCCCCGAGCAAGCCCACACGACCTGCCCGGCCAAAACTGGCCGCTCGCATGTCGCGCAGACAGCGCCGGGGTGACCCTTCAGCCGAGCCGCTGCCTGAGCTGCACTGGTGTTCGCCTGAGCAGCCAGAGCAGGCCCCTCGCTGGGAAGCCCGGCTGAGAGCGGCACAGCTGCATCGCCTGCTCGGGGCTTGTCGGCCATCTGTGGGGGTGCGTACGCATCGCCAAAGCTATCGAGCTGCGAGGCAGCCGCCGGCAGCCGTTGCAACAGCGGCCGGAGGTAGTGCAGCAACCGCTGCTGCTCGCTGGGTGCCAGTTTCCTGATGCTCTCACCCACAACCTCTTCAGACGCTGCCAGCAGCAGGCCCCTCAGCAGCTGCTCTGTGTCGCTGCTCTGCCCTCCAGCAGCTGCAGCGTTTGCCTGACAAGGCTGTAGCGGCAGCGGCAGCATCTGTGTAACGACGGGTGCTGTCTCGTTGCCCTGCTGGGAGGTCTGCAGCACCGGGGACGGTGCCGGGGCTGCCGCAGGAATGGGGGCAGGCAGTGGCACGCTGGCAGTGCCTGTTGCTGAGCAGGGTGGAGTCCGCAAGCTGCTTGACAGCTGCTCCTCGATCCATTTCAGGCGCTTGGCATTGCTGAACACCATGCGCGCTAGTGGGGCCTTCCTCTTCAGGCCAATATTTGCAGCCTAAGATGTATTGCACAGCCACATATCAGAGGGGAAGCTCCAGCCAAACAGAGCATCAAACATCCGTTTTGTAGGAACCTTTTGTTGATGCTCTCATAAATAAGAGTGTCACGACACTTGACAGTGGCAGCAGTACTTGCCTGGCTGTATGAGGAGGGGATGGTACTTTCTTTTGGGAGGTGCTCCAAATAGTGCTGGCATTCCACCTGGACATTCAGAAAGTCCATATCAGTGCCTTTTCAGAACTTTGTCATGAGTGCTACAGCAAACCGAGGAAAAACGCAGATACCTTGGAGATGATGGTGTCAAGGACGCGCGCGACTTGAGACTCAACCCCAAACTTAGGCAGCCACAGAGGTGACTCCAAGCGCTGAATGCATCGGTCCAGGACGCTCCAGCACTCCCGCTCAATTACAGACGCAGGCAATTCCCTGAGTCCCAATCAATCACATTTGGTGATTCTGCACTTGCTGTGACAGGCTTTAAATGCACGCTGAAGCATCAAATATTGAAGCAACGACAGGCAACACCAGCATTAGGCTGTAGAGGAGGAGAGGGTCCAATACCTAGAGTCTGCCGAGGGAGGCACTGGAGGAGTTGGTGCATCTCTCATGGACCACCCCCTCAACATCTGCAGCGTCTGCGTTTCAAAAAGGGCCCGTGCTTGCTCCATGCAACCAGGGTTGATGTGACGCATGATGAGCGCTGCAGATTTGCCTGGCACATGACACATTCTTCAGCTGAGATGCATGCAGCTCATTTGCCCGCAAAGTGCAAGCTTTACACTGTTTCCCATGCATGGAGAAGATTGAAATGCAGGATGCATGAGGACTTGGGGAATGGGCGATGGCATGCAGCAAGCACCTGCCAGGTCAGCAGGCCGCACGCAGTGCTTCACTCCTTCCACAGCATAGCCACCCGCCTCCATGACTGTGATGCAACCGCGTGGCATGTCCACAGTAAACGCTCCATTTGTGTACCTGTAAGTCAAGATGCACTTGTCAGATATGAGCCCTGCTCACACATAAGTCATTGCATAATGTCCCCTTAAGGTGGTCTGCTCACATCTGTGCAATGCACAGCTGTTTGAGTTAAACATAGAAGACAAGTGAGATATGAGCTCTCACCCATATAGCTGGGTGCCAAAGGACAGGCGCGAGTCAGAGAAGAGCCTGACAGAGAAGATGGGCCGGGAGAAGCGAGTGCCATCGTCAAAGTGGGACTGGATGCCCTCGCTCCCATCGTGGTACAGGTTGAGGGCCTGCAGCCAAGGCAACAGCACCTCAGCACACTTGCTGTTACTTTACATGTCTGCGATGAAAGCAGGAAACGCATGATCAGGGCCAAAGGAGTCTGCTCACCCAGGCGTCAAAGAAGTCCTTCGGTACGAGCCCTGTCTCCACCAACGGCTTCTCGGCCAGAGCCTGCATCCATGTGGGAGCAGGTGGCACGTCCAGCCTCACACCGGCAGCCAGGCGCGAAGCTGGATCCGCCGCTTGCTCTGCTGTCCACAGGTCTGCACCACATGCAGTGCTCTCAGAGCCCAGACATGGCTTTGTCATCTGCTGAGCAGTGGACCGCTGACACCATCAGTCACTGGCTTTTCATCTGTGGGCAGTTATCACAATTGACCCACGCATGCGAGGCGCGTCATGCTCTGACGAGTCCAAAGGATGCTTATGCGCATGATTACATGCAACTCACATCTGGCGCCAAAGAAGAATTTGGTCCTCTTGAGCCCTCCGCCGCGGCCGCGCGTCTCGTGGAAGCACGTCTGCGGCATTCGCCCTTCCCTGGCCTTGGCGTGCACCACATCTGCGCCGGCCTCCATCTGTCGCAGCTCCTCTGCTGTGTAGAACTGTGCAAGCAGCAGCTTCAATCACAGCCGAGTTGCAGCTTGCTTCGATTTGTAAGAATCAAAAAGATTGGGTGAACAACAAAGCTGGGCGCACTCACGTTGGTGTAGGTGCAGATGCCTGCAGGCAACAGTCTGGCTGATGGTAGCTGAGGGCAGTCAGGCCGGCTGGAGGCGGTCTCTGGCGCTCCAGAGTTGGCGCCGCTGGCTTCCATGCTCTGCAGGCACGCACAGTTGACATCTTGTGTTTACATCTGGCAAAAAGAGGGAAAACAATCGAAAAACATAGAGAGCGTGAAGGCATTCGACCCGAGAGTTCACAGCGCACCACAGCCGGGGCAAGCGCTGCTGGACTTTGTTGGGCCTCCTCTGCCTGCCTATCTTCGGCACAGATTGAAAGGACATCGGCAGCTCCTTCCTGTGTTGTTTTTGATGGGGCAGGAGCGAGCAATATCCGCTCCACTGGCTCGCAAGCGTGTGGAGGTCCTGTTGGTCTGCATGCGCTTTGCTGCTGGCCCTTCACCACCTGCGTGCAATCGTGCTCCAATCACCAACCACAAACGGGCGCGCCCTTCACAGGTCATATCAAGCTGAGAAGAACATTCATAACTGGAAAAGAAAGAGCACCTCGTTGTAGTTCTCCGGGACATGGTCGGGGCGGAAGAGGTACTCTGTCTTCAGGCAGCTCCGGCCATTGAAGTCCACCTGCACCAGGCCATGTGTCACCCCTTACATTGATTCAATGATCTGGACATGGTCTCTCGAGCAGTGACACAAACTTCTGTCTTTGGCAGCACAGAATACATTAAGGAAAAGAGAGGGCACTGAAGACAGACCTGCTTGCTCTCGGCGTGCAGGTGGTACTTGAAGCTGTCTCGGGTGCCTATCAGGTACAACGGCCATGGCACCGGCCCTGCACTGGACAGCATGCCCAGGGTTGTCAGGGCGGAGGACGCAGCGGAGGCCAGGACGAGGGCAGATGCGGCAACCCCCGGTGCGCACATGCCGGCAGCCCGTGGCTGGATGCTGGCTGCCTTGGGCGGGCCAGGGACATGTGCGGTAGGCGGAGCCCCATTGAGCACAGCCATGTGGGCTGCTGCTGCTGCCAGGGCTGCAGTGGGAGGCCTGGCAGGTGGAGTGGCCGGCGGTGCTGCTGCTTGATTGCTGCCAGGGCTGCAGCTGCTGGGGCTCTGTGGGGTGACAGCGGGCGCAACAGACGGCTGCACCTGTGCCCTTGGCACTTCTCCGATCTTCAACGCAGCTTGCAAGTCCTTTGACTCCCCAGTTCCGGGAAAATGAGGGCCCTGCTGTCGGTGGCGTGTGGGCAGGCATGCTTTCCCACAGCTTCCTTCGCCCTGCTCGACTGCACTGCTGTCTCCTGCATTCCCTCCACTGGCTCCCATGGATGGCAGCTGCTGCGTGACTGTGTGCGCAGGCGCTCCCCGAAGCAGCTGATGCAAAAATGCCAGTGCTGCTGCAGGAGTGGGCCAAGCAGGTGGCGCCTGCGCTTTGGCTGGCAAAGGGGATGGCTGCAAACAGGGTATTCCCATGACGAGGCGGCCACCCGGTGAGTCAACCTGTAGCTTCGCTTCCCTTGCGCTTGGCGTGCTTGGGGCAGCTAAGCCGGGCAGCTGCTCCTGTCGTGCGCTGACACTGACCTGCGAGCCAGCTGCTGGTGTGGCTGTAGTAGGGGCTGCCGGCAAGACGCATGGCACAGGCAACGCTGGGTTCTGGGCCTCTGTGCGCTGCTGCACGCCTGGCACCGCCATGGCAACCGCTGCACAGGGCGCGTGGCGCGGGAGCAACCTAGGCAAGGCTGCCTGTGGCTGTCTTGCATGCAGCTGCGGACCCATCCCCACTTGTGCTGCCCCAGCGGGGGCTGCATTGGGTGCAGGTAGAGGTCTGACTACCGCTGGCGGGGCGGCTGCCTGCTGCATCTGGGCCTGTTGCAGCGCGAGGTCGACGCTGGCTGTCAGCTTCTGCGCATAGGCAGTCAGCGCCTCATAGTTCCACCGCGCAAACAGGCATGAGGTATGCCTTTCCAAGCCCTGAACTGCCCCGAGGAGGGCTGCCTGCTGGTCCCTGCACCAAAGTATGCTAGATTACACAGAGGTATGGACTGGCAGAAAATGCAGTGCTATGCAATACAGCAGCACAGTCAGTCTTAAGGGCGCCTGAAAAGAAGCTTGTACATGCCCTGAGTCAGTGAAATTTCATTGGCGTGGGAATGGCTGTTGGTGATGCTGACCGTGACAGAGCCATCCAGGTGTGCTGGGCGCAGTACATCTCCAGGCGGCAGCTCTGAGTGTACAGCCGAACGCGCGGCTCGCTACTTGTAGATACTGCCTGATCTGCTCTCGGGATATTGAGGCCCTCTGCGTTCAGCTGCCCTTCAGCCGCATCCCTGTGCATGAAAAAAGTCTTCACGTCAGCATTGTGCATGGCGACAGCAGCCACAAAAATGGCTACACAAATCATTGCATCTGCAGCAATAGGGGAACAGACGCACTGCGCCATGTCGGCACTGTTCTCAAGCACATCGTCGAGTTCTGCATTGGCAGACTCTGTCATGGCCTCAGCAGCCGAAGAATCTCCTCCTACACTGGGCCCCGAGGCAGATCCTGGGCTTCTAATCTGGTCACCTGCAAGCAACAATAATATGCAGTCCCACTTGTCATGCGCTGGTACAAAACCAGTTGCAAGTGCCAGGCTGTCACCTTGCTGCGTGTGGATTTGGAGCGGATGGCGATGGCCGGCCAGGTGCAGATGCATCTCACGCTCAACCGACATTCTGCCAAGAACGCCTTGCCTGTAGAGTCTCCTTGCAGCCTGTGCAAACACAGTATAAAAGTCCTCCTCCAACAGGGTACTGATAAGGAACCACAGAAGCCTGCTAGCTGTCAGGGAGCGCACTCACAGCTCTGGCAGATGACGTCCCGCCAATGCCCTTGCGCACCAGCAGGCCTATCTGGACGTTGCTGTCTGCCACAGTCCACCTGCCAGAGCCAGAGTCAAAGGCTGGAGTCCATCCAATCTTGAGAGGGAGACCTGAGCGGTCATATAAGTATGAGGTGGGCATGCTTAAAGCTGATGGGGACTACCTTCTGTCAGTGTTGGGAGCTTCTTCTGGCGCTGGTCCGTTTGAAGGTAGCAGAGTGGTTGGCTGAATCGGCTGTTGAGGCGGTAGACCAGCCACCTCTTGGACTGGAGGAAGAGCTGCCAGAGTGCAAGGCACCAGCTGGCAGTCCTCGCTGAGGCGGTAATGCAAGCACGTGAAGGTGCGGTCTGCCAGGCACTGCTTCAGCTCAGCTGGGTGGAGCAGTCTGAATGGACTGTTGTTTTGGGCAGCCATGGCCGTCCTTTCCTCAGGCTTGTTCAGATAGTCCTTGATGGCACCCTCGCTGTGTGCTGGCATGACCAGAGCTATTGCTGCCTGTTTACAACAGAGACAGTGCTCCAGAACAGACCTACCTCTGTTCAAATTGAGGTTTGCATGAGATGAAGAATGGAGAAACTGAGTGTTTGCATGGTACCCAATGCAGACATGCAACACAGCAGCGCGCCTGATCTCTGAGCACGGACACGAGGCATTCCACTGCTGGCCCAGTGACAGCTTCCGGGTAAGCTGGACGCATTGTCACATGCGGTAGAGCCAGATTGCTTGGCACAACGTAGGAGACTCCAGCCGTTACCCGCTCCTGCAGCCACAACAATGATTGCTTCACAAGTAATCTGGTTCTCATGGTCATGTGTGTGGGCAGCTGGTCTGTGTCAGTGTCTGAAAATTCGCATATCTACTTGCAAGAAAGGCTTGACTCACCAGGCTGTATGGCAGTGTGCAGCAAGACTGCAAGGAATCCGTGAGTGCTTGAACGCCAGCCTTGATGTTCAGCAAAGCTGACACACGCTCTTCTTGGCCGCCCTGCCCACCTGGAGCACAGGTGTCATCACAACTTTTCTCACATATCTTATCTACTCACTAAAGCAGACAAACGGGTGCACCACCCGCTGCAAGCATGCCTGTGAAAGTATGATGGCATCAGCAAGGAATGGGCGATACCTATTGTGCTGTCCTGTACCTTTGCAGCAGGGGACTCTAAACTAACCCTGTAGAGTCCCCTGTTTGCAGGTCCACAAGGGGGTGATGCTGTTGCAATGGCATCCTTTGCAGTCTCCCTGTGACTGTGCAGCATTGTCAAAAGAATGGGTACATGATTCTTGATATTGGTCTCTACGGGTTTTAGATAAACTGCAAATTCATCAATTCAAACAGCATGCGGAGAAGGGATGACTTACGCGGCTGGGACTGTAATGATGCTGGCACTGAGCTGAGCTTGAGAGGCGCCAGCTTGTGATGTAGGGACCACTTCAGCAGCACCTCTGACATCAGGAGTGTTCAGTATGATAGTGTCTTGCTGCTGCTGTGGCAGCAGACTTCCCGGCTCCTGCATCTGCTCTTTGCCTTGAGGTCCCAGCTCCAGTGTTGCCTCACCTTGACTTTCCTGGTCAGATAGAAGAACACATTTAATATCTGAGAATGTCTATTGACTATCCAAGCACAACGTCCTCTTCTATGTTGGGAGGTGCGACCGAGCATCACTGTCAACAGGCAGCAAACCTGATTGGATGCAGCCTGCCCAGCTGCCCAGTTCTCATTCTCGTGTGTAGCTCTTACCTCCTCCCCTGATTCTGGCCCCTCGTGTTGCACTGTAACGGGCTGAGTGTGGTCCTCTGCTACTTTTGCAAGCGGAGGAGCAGGTTTCTTTGCGGGCACGGAGCTGCACTCGGCTCCTGCAATTGGCACCCAGCTATGACCAATTATAAGCATGCAAGGCCTCTGCCTTGGAGACTGCATGTTTGATGCAACCCAACAAGCAGGGGGGCAAAGCGAAGAAGGTTGCTGCTCACCCTTATTTTTGCGGCTGTCATCGGAATTCGACAGGGTCACAACAGGTACTCTCAAACGGCGAGAGCCGCCCCTTGTGGGCAATCTGTGCTCCTGTTGCAGCACCAGCTTGCATTTGGCGCCTATTCTGAGGCTCTTTCTTGCTGGCACTGCTGGTACCCGCGGCTTTCTCACAGGAGAGCAATATGCGGATCCTGTCACAGGCTTCTGTTGTGCTGAAAGCCTCCTCGATCTGAACTGCCGCAGCAATGACACAACACCCGGCTTAGGTGTGAGTGGGCGCGGCCCATTTGGTGCTTGCAGGCTCTTTTTGTTCTTCCTCTGGGTCTCTGTGAGCCAGAACTTGGGCTGCTGGCCCTTGACTGGTTTGCTGCGCAAGTTATACCCCTGCTCATGTTGTGCATGTGTGGTTTTTGGGCGCTTCGTGCTGTGTGTCTGTTCCCTGAACAGTAATAGATCCCCTGTGGGCTTCCGCTTGCTGCTGGTCCTCAATTTCATTCTACTCTCTCATGAGCGCACGCGGGCGATCAAATGTAGCTAATTGAAATCAGCAGTCTAGTAAATGTGCTCCTTCCACATGACTCTGCGTATCCATGCAGATGATTAGATATTGAATCATGTAGGCACGGTACTGTTACTCCCAATGTTTCATAGGATTCGGACATGGGCAACGCATCGCAGAAAGCCCTTGCTGTCAATTCTCACCTAGTCATCAAGTAGCATGCCATCTGGTGCACTTGTCTTAATGCTGGGTACTATTAGCGATCTCAGCTCCAAATGAACCTTTTTATAATTCAAGTCAATCAGGGTGATCGAATTCACGGGATTAGTACTTTAGTCTAAAGCCAGCATGAGCTTCGGCCGTGCGCAGATGCTAGATGCACAACTCAGCGTATTGCCCCGCGTTCATTCAGGCTGTCCCGCATCTATAGATCTCCAGACAGAATCAGTGCAGTTTCGCTAGTACTCCAATTAATCTTCTTCTCCTTGATTGAGATCCCGGAAATGTGAAACCCCTGGCAGAGCGGCCCTATAGGCCCTAGATAGCTATATAGGGTCCAAAAGCAAATAGCACATGATGCGGCACTTCATCAGAATTCTTGAATGACAGTGGTGGGGCTCCATCTTTGCGGCCCGTTCGCGCCGAAACATTGTGATGATGGCAATTACTTGTTGACCGCTGTTCTGCACGCACTGTAAAGAAAAAGCTCTAATACGCAAAATGGCAAACAAGAATCTCGATGCTAAGCATGAAAAGATCCTCAAGGCGCTGTTACGATTGCCCGAGAATAAGAGATGCGCAGTCTGTGATACTTTGGTGCGTTTCCTGGGTCTGCTTTGTGGGCCTTGCTTGCGACAAGCGTTAAGTAATATTGTACTTCTGGACCTCAAGCATGCTTTCTCCCTTTGCAGGGGCCTCAGTACGTTGTGGTCAACTTCAGTACGTTTGTCTGTACGATTTGCAGCGGAGTGCAGTAAGTTTCCTCATTTCATGCCGTCTGCAGAGAGCACTTTTACTCTCCTGTCTTGTCACTGAGCGTTTGCTCTTGCAGCTGTTGTTTTGTTACTTTCTGATGCTCATTATTTGCCGTGCAGCCGGCAATTCAGCCATCGATGCAAGGGCATATCTATGGCAACGTTCAAGCCAGAAGAAATTCGGGCTCTTGAAGAGGGTGGCAATGGGGTATGAGAACGCACTGTTTTGCTTTCCTCGAGATCCTGGGCATTAGGGGATGGCATTTTAAAAGTATGCTCATTTTCCTCTGTATTCATCTGGACCGCTGCGCAGGTTGCTCTGGCATGCTTTCTTGCGAAGTGGACCCCCAGAGACGCTCCAAAGCCGGTGGACAGGTAAGCTCCTGCCCAGAGCACATGACCTGTCACTTGTGCCCTTTGGAGATGACCACCAAATTTCCCTGGTCTTTGTGCAGGAACGTTGCAAAGATCCGCGACTGGATTGACCTGATTTTTGTGAAAAGGCGCTATTACAGCAAGGACATTGCATATGTGCCACCAGTGTCCCGCACACAGGTACCAAAAGATTGATGTGTCTCCCAGTGAACTTCTGCTAGGTTACCCTGTCACAAGGTTGCATTGCTTCCTTGTTGCAAAAGATCCTGAGGGCTACCTTTTCCTGCCGCAGTCCACCAGCAGTGCTCGATCTACTGCCTCTCGCGAGAATGACATGAGCTTGAAGATCGGAGCTGGGTTCTCCAGCAATGGACCCGTGTCTCAGGTGAGAGGTCATGCAGACCATTCCTTCACCTGATGTTAGTATTCTCTCCCTGAAAATGCAATGATGCCAAGATAGGCCACCGAAAGCGCTGTTAAGTGCTTGGTTTGCTGTGCATCAGGGGCCCTCAGAGACAGCGCGCACGACATCAGAGGCCGGCAGCTTGATTGATCTGGAGCTGTCGCCGAGCACGGCGGCCCCTGTTGCCAATGTGGCCCAGCCCAGCAATGTTCCGGCAGCCCAACCTGCCATGCCAGCCCACAATGGATGGGACACATTTGGGAACTCCGCGGGTGAGGCACATGAGTCATTCAATGTCTGTCTGCATGCGTGGCACAGACGGCGTGGGGCGCAGTAAGCTTAGCGTTGTAATTAGCACTGGCTTGATTGTTGGCAATGCCAAATGGTCCCACTCTCTTGTGAGCGCTGTGCTGTGGGTTCTGCCGACAGGTAGTGCACCCGCGGTGGCGCCAGCTGCGCCTGCAATTCAGCAGCCGCAGGAGGAGGGGTGGTCCACCTTTGAGGAGCCCAGGGTGTCCACCACGCCTGCGCCTGAAGTCAGCACAAGCAGCAGCGCGAGCGGTGCTTTCCACGGATGGCAGGCCTTTGACACTCCCCAGCCGCCGACTCCTCCGCCCTCCACCGTGCCAGAGCCCCCTTCGCCCCATGGCCCTGTCATGAAGGAGCTGCCCAGCGTGAGCACCACTGCACTCCGGCAAATGTGAAACATTGCAGGAGCGGTCTTTTGCTTGAGATTGTATATGTCAGGACCCCTCTCATGCTTGAATGGAATATTAAATGGAAAATGCAACTAAATGGAAATGGCAACATGGGCTCTTCCTTGTCACACTTTTTGCAGCAATTGCAGTGCATGAGCAAGCTTGCTGCTGCGTGCAGGATCTGTTCTCGGAGATGGTTGCTCCGCAGCCCAAGGTGCAGCAGCAGATGCCAGGGGCGCAGCCATATAGGCAGCTGGGCACCCCGCTGGGGCAGGCAGGCCTGCTGGTGCACCCCGGCTTTGCGCCTGGTATGATGGCATATCCCCTGCAGCCGGGCGCTGTGCCGCCGGGCTACCTCAGCCTTGACCAGCACTACTTCCTGTCCAGCCCTGGCGTCGGCGCCGCGCCTCCTGTGCAGCTTGTGGCGGACGCGCCAGGCCCCGGCAGCAGCCCTGCAGCAGCGGTGTCGCAGCCTGCACCTCCCCCAGAGAACGACGTCTTCTCAAGCCTGGTCCCTGGCTTGCGAAGCACCCTTCCCACCGCGCAGTTGCCGCCGCCAATCGCTGCGGCCCCCACAGCCTCCTTCACCGGCGGCGCGTCGCCGTATCTGCCGCAGTATAACGCCGCTCAGCAGCCTCTGCAATTCCAGCCTTACGGCGCCATGGGCATGCAGCAATACGGACAGCCGGCAGCCGCACAGAGCAACGGAGGGTTTGAGGGTGCCCACAGCAGTGGCGACCCCTTCTTCCAAGGCACAGCGCAACCGGGCAGCAGCTTTGCTGGCGGCCTCCCAGGGCATGCAGCATTTGGGGCGCCTTCAGAGGCGAGGCCCAAACGGGCAGGCGGCAATCCATTCGCGTGAGGCCGAGGTTGACAGAAGGGGTATTGTCTCTGTGGGAGTCGCTCAGTGGGGGTATCCTGCTCATTGCTGTCTGAGAATGTAACTGTTAGCGTGTCTTTAGGGTCTTGTCCAGGAACATTGCCTGCTTGAACTCCTCAGAACTTGGATATAGTTTGGCGCTTTTTCAAATATGCTCCCCAGTTTGAAACTTTATGCCTGGGGTACCATAGTCACTGTCTGATCGAGGATTCTAATAGATTGTAGTTGCAGTCTCCGAGAGTCTGACGGTAAGCACTGTGCAGCAGCCGGCTCAGCTGGCTGCTGCAGTGCCATTGTGTGCTTGTTGTCCTAAGCGCGTCATGTACCTTATCATGGTGGCACCGATTCCTCATTGTGAACCACTGTTCTAGATGAAATCCAAAACTTCATTCTCATTGGATGGCCATGTATTCCATAGTAGTGACGTCACAATGACTCTGAACACAATGCTCCAGAGGAGGATGGGAGAGGAGACGGTCCTCCATGATGGAGATCTGAAAAAATCAAAGGGATTTTCGTCAAAGACACATTCTGAGTGCTCGAGCAGCTTCGTGTGTCAGCACAAACAGCCCATCCCCTACCTTTGTTTTATGGCTAATAATCGAGGTCCCAAGCGTAAGGCCATAGATGAGGATCATGACAATGCACCTGCTCTTCGTCGTAAATTGCTCGATCATCCAGGATTTCTAGGCCACTGCTTTCCTGAAGAGCCTCGATTTGGAGCTTTTCTTCCAAGCCAGTCTACCGATGGAAAAGCTGAGAAGTCTAGCTCAGCTCCGCAGCGTCGAAAGCTCAAACTTCCACACAAGCTTGGAAGGCCAGCATTACTCGATCAGGCAAAAGAAAGACCGTTTGCTAACACCAGCCAAGCAGTGCAAGACGTCCTAGAGTGGGAAGCGCCCGAATTTGTGGAAGGGTCCAGCACACCTTGTCTTGGTCCAGCCTCTGGATCTGGAGCAGAGAAACATGTGGATATGCCTGCGCAACAGGCAGGCCTTCCAAGCAGCCATCCAGCACTGCCTGCTGCAGCTGTCAGTTCGCCGGTGTTAGCAGGTGAAGGTGGACTCGGGCGCATTGCATTGCTGGGCAATGATCTGGGCACTCCATCAGGCACAGCACCAGCACATGTGCCTGCGTCTGTATTCACAGCGCCAGATGCTGGCCCCAACTCCACAAGCAGCCCGGCAGCCGCTGCACCCATAGTACCAGGGCAAAATGTGATCAGCGCAGCACAACAGACTGACGCACCAGTGTTGCAACCACAGCATGCACCACAACAGACAATTCTGCCAGGAGCCACATTTGGGCAGCCAATACCAGAGCAGGTATTTGTGTCCCGCAGTACATTCCTTGTAGTGCGATCATGGTTGACGCAAGGGTGTAAGGATGGCACTGGCTGCTTTACTGAAATTAATTGTGTGGGACAGGCGGCAGGATTTGCTGCAGGGGCGCCTCAAGGTCAGCCACGGAAAATGGTTCGTGCAAAGCGCTTCAGTCGCAGATGACTCTGGGCACATGCATGTCTGTCTCCAGCACTGTCATTTGGACATTTCCGTCATGTCGGGTTCAATGTGTTCTGGAAAATAATTGTCAAAAGTTCAAAGGGCTTGTTGGTTAGCTGTGTGTGGCAGCTCATCACAACCTCAATGTTGTTCGCAACCTGGAATTTTTATCTGGGCAAGGAATCTCCATCGGATGCAGTAGATTTACAGTAAATTTTCCAATTTGGTGTTATCACAAATCTTTCCAGAGCTGCTGTTGACATCAACACCGTCACAGTGTTGCGTGAAGCAAACCGCAATACAGATAATATATGCCCAGTCTCCACAAGCACATTAGTTCAGAGTTATGTGTACTTGGCCTTCTTCCAATGTACAGCTGAATCAGGTTGCATCTAGAAGGGAGCATGCCACACACTTCCAAGCGAGAGACCTACACCCATGCCACAACAGAATTGCTCTACTGCAAATTGTCGATCAAGTATCGCTATCCTTGGCGGTCGATGAGAATCCACCACCCTGATGATGGCCAGAAGGCGACCCCATGCTGTTCATGATGGCCTGGTGCATCAGCATGGCTCCTGCCTCAAAGGTCTCAAGATCCGCATCCCGGCTGGCATTGAAGGCATTTGCGGGGTTGGCACCAGGGCTTTGCAGTGCAACGTGGGTCCAGTCACCCTTCCTGGCAGCATGGCTGGCGGCCTTACTGCCATGTGGTGATGTCGGTCGACTTGTGGGTCGACTGCCTGCACCATGGTGATGCCCTGACGGGCCCTGGCCTGGGCTCTTAGAGTGGGGCTGAGCCTTTGACGGGGACGCCGGTAGGCTTGGGTGCTGCTGCGCAGTCGCATGCGGAGAGGGCGCGTGTTGAGGGGAGTGCCCCTCCAGATGGCCTGTGCTGCCGGGCACCTTCACGGCAAGCGGCCGGTCCTTCACTGGCGGGATGGTCTGACATGGACTGGCTGCATCTCTGCTGTCCAGCGATCTTTTGGCTGAGCTGTTTGGAGATCCTTGTGTTGACCTTTGGAAGGGCTCTGCAAGTGTGGTGCCATTGATGGCTGCGGGCAAAGTGGGGGCCGTCGGCTCCACGGCCGTCGGCTCTGCACAGGGCCCAGTCTGGGCTCCTGGCGGGCAAGCATCAGTGGTGTAGTACAGCGGCAGGGCAGCAGCCATGGATGACCACTCCCAGTCAAAATCAGCGTTGTCGCTGTGGGCCTCAGCAGGCGGTGGTGCCACTGAGGGGGCCTCCTGTTGCCTTATAGTCTGCCAATTGATGCCTGCGCATTGTGTAACCCATCGGTAACCGTGCAGCTCATAATCCAGAGCATTTAAAGAAGGTTCAGCTTTGGAAGTGCGCATGAAAAGGTTCGAGACCTCACCAGAAAAGAAATCATGTTCTTTCACCTCTTGCAAACCTCTGTCTCCAGCACCTGCACACAGAAATGAATTAAGTTGTCTATAATCCATGCATGAAACATGCTGTGGCACCTGCGAAAAGCAGAGCAGGTGCAAAAATGACATAATGATGGTCAGTGTGCTCACAGAAAAGTGCACTCACCAAGTCGGTCTGACGGGTCGCCTGCCAGCAGCGATTTGATAAGGTCTTGGGCAGCCTCAGGCACATTGCTTGGGAAGGAATATTCCCCAGCAGAGATGAGCTGAAAGGTCAAGTATTCTGAGGCGCCTTTGAAGGGAGGTCTGCCAACAAGCATGTGGAACAGCAAGCATCCAAACGCCCACAAATCCACTGCATATCCTACTGGCTCATTCCTAAGCACCTGGACAGCGAGGCTGAGACTTGTGATCGTTGCTCATCATCATTGAATCAAAATGGATGGGAGGCTCCTAAGATTGCAAGAGGCAAGGAGAAAAATAGAGGTTGAGGATTTACAAGCACACCTCCGGAGCCAGATACTCAGCAGTGCCAACCATGGAAGCCGAACGTGTGTTTTTATGGAGGGGGCTGCTAGCCGCTGAAGACGCAGGGTTCTGCTTGACTGCCAGGTTCTTGGCGCAGCCAAAGTCGATCAATTGGAGATGACCTTTTGCACTCAGCAGCAAGTTCTCAGGTTTCAGGTCACGATGGATAACCTGCAATCATCATTGCAGATTTCAGGCTGGAATCTACAAGACTGGGTCTGCATGGAACATACTAAAAACATTGCTTTGATAGAGCAGGCACTTGCCTGTTGCCCACGCAGGTACTCCAGGATGAGGAGGATCTCTGCTCCATAGAATCTGGCATCTTTCAGGCAGAGGCATCCCTTCCGCTGTATCTGATCGTACAGCTCCCCTGCATCAATCCTCCTTCATGAGTGTGATTCTTCAGCATCTGTGACCACTTGTTGCATTTGACTACATGGACCGCTATGTTCTTGTTTACCATTGGGGCAAAGCTCTAGTCCAAAGTACAGGCTGGTTGCATCTTGGAAGGTGAAGTGCAGGCGCACAATGCCTTCAGTATCAAACTGATCAAGCAAATTTCGCTCATTGCTGATGTACTCGGTCTGCTTGTGTTTCAGAATCAAGTGCTTGTCCACAACTTTCAGTGCATATCTCCGTCCAGTATCTTTCTGCTGTACTTGCACCACCTGCGCGCTCCAGTACATACGTCAGCACACGAGATTCTGCACCCTGGGATGCTCTGAGCTCTGGAATTCATTAGCACACTATTCTTTCCAAGACCTTTGAAGAAGAGCTGAGTAGACCTGAGCGAAGCTGCCCTCACCCAGCCGTTTCTCGAGGTTGAAATCGCCCAAGCTCAGGTTAACCCTACGTGGCAATTGGGCAGCGTCAGATCCCTCCTAGTCGCGTGGAACGATGTGCCATCACTCAGCAGATGTCCAGAATTGAGACAGTGAACCTTGGAGCCCTATACTGTGCTTGGCCTCCATCTCCATCGTTGTCTTTGCGTGCCATTCTATTCAAATGGAATTCAAGTTATCATCCCTGCATCGATATCAGCCGCGACGTGTTCGCTGAGAACGCTTGAGAAATCAGATGCAAAATGGACACAGATACTCAATGGCAGACCAGATAGATGGTGCGTGCTCTTCAAGGAATCCAGGAACGAAAGAATAGGGGACAGAGGCAGAGCACGAACACAGGAAGCAATTGCTGCCGTTTCGGAAAATTTCAGGGCTTCGATGTAAAGATACCCTTACAATAATATAATACAAGGGCGCTGACTGATATCCTGTTTAAGCACCGAATCACAGCTTCATCCTGCTTATCTTTTGGAGTTGATCGGCCAGTGGATGCTTGTCGGCCTTCGATTTCATCGAAAATTAGCTCGACAACATGGCGTCCACCACCATGATGATGAAGAGCGCTGCTCACGTGCAGGTGTAGCTCTCGCGAGCCTGTTGGCCTGTTACCCAAGATCCCCAGCGTTGACGTTGTCCCGGAGCATAGTCCTCATTGACATTTGAGCTAATGAAAGCCTGCTTGCAGGCGTTGAAGCCCCGGTTGTCTGGAAAGCCAGTCACGTTTGCACCTGCTGGAGTGCGGAGTGCTCGCCTTCCCGTCCGTGTTCGCGCTGAGGAGGAGAGCACATCTGTCACAAAGGTAGGCCAGGGCAGCCAGCAGGACTTGCATGCCAATGTCCTTTGATGTTCCAAGTATCTTAAATACATCTGGTCAGATTTGCACCTCCTGCTGTAGCTGCAGTCCTGTTGTAACTGATGGAGTATAAATCGTAGGCAACCAACAGTACCTACTGCAGGAATCGAGCAAATTATGTGATACGGGGTGTCAAATTCACATGTGCACCTCCTGCTGTCTGTGTTTTGTGTGCCATTTGGCATATCAGCTGTGAGACGCGACGCTGCAAACAGCAGTAGAGAGGACCGACCAGCAGAAGTACTATACCTCATGTAGTGTATGGGGTTCCATCGAGTGCCGCGGCAGCGATTGAGGCGTGTCTCTGATGCATTGCGGGGACAGGAGACAGCGGACCGCTCAAAGGACACGCTCCTGTTTGCGAGCGACCAGTCCCTGTCATACCTGACGGGAGCACTCCCTGCAGACTACGGCTTTGACCCCCTGGGCCTGTTGGACCCCGAGGGCAAGGGTGCCGGCTTTGTGTCACCGGCATGGCTGCAGTACTCTGAGGTCATCCACGCCAGGTGCAGCTTCACGCTCTCCTTCACTGTGTACTGTCAACAGTAATAGTCAGTCATGCTGGGTGGCAGATGGAGAGCGAGGCCACAGGTGCACGAGCGTCACTATGCTTCCGCTGTGCTTCATACCGTGTGGTTAAATCCTGCATGCATGATCAGTCTAGCGCAGCTCTGATAGACTGTGGAGGTGATGAGGGGCTTTGTTGTAGGTGGGCCATGCTTGGCGCGGCCGGCTGCATCGCGCCAGAGATCCTGGCCACAGCTGGTGTCATCCCACAGACTCCGGATGAGGTCATCTGGTTCAAGAGCGGCGTCATCCCTCCTGCAGGAGTCTACGACAAGTGAGCCCGATCAGTCACTTTTGCACTTGCTTACTCAGCTCTGGAAATGACACATTGCCCAAGTATACTAAGATGACCTGATCTATAACCTCGCTGCGTCTGACCAGGCTTGTGCATATCCAGGTACTGGTTGGACCCCTACTCCCTGTTCTTCATTGAGGTCATCCTAGTGCAGTTCGCTGAGTTGAGGCGCTGGCAAGACTTCCGCAACCCAGGCAGCCAGGGCAAGCAGTACTTCCTGGGCCTGGAGGAGGTGCTCAAGGGCTCCGGCGACCCATCCTACCCAGGCAAGTTCTCCTGCCTATTCCTCCTAACGAGTGCCTGCAGGAATGACTCTTTCAGCTCAACCTCATCAGGCTTGTCGCAATCCATCGAGCAAATGTGACACATATTTTGCATGTGAGCAGGTGGCCAGTTCTTCAACCTTTTCAACCTTGGAAAGTCAGACCTCAAGGAGCTGAAGACAAAGGAGCTGAAGAATGGCCGGCTTGCCATGCTTGCAGGTTTGTAACACTCCTCCAGCTGTGCTCTGTTGTCACATGCAAAGATTCTGCCTGTCATCTGAGCTTCTTGCATGTGTAGACTCTTGACTCCTTCTGTGTTTGCAGTTTTCGGATACGGCGCACAGGCCGTCATCACAGCAGAGGGCCCCTTCAAGAACCTCACTGACCACCTTTCAGACCCCACAGGCCACAACATCCTCACCAACTTTGGCCACCCCGCTCTCTAGAGAGTGGACAGTGATTAATCAGCTGCAGGCTGACCAGCGCATGCGCATTGTGACATTCACGGGTCATGATCTGATTGGTGTGCACGAAGGGATTTTCCTGTCTTGGTGGACAGTGGTGCCGAATTGTTGGTGTCACCCTGTACTTTTGCAGTGCTTATTGAATCCACATCTGTATTGAGAGGGTCTGCAGTATGAAGTGCATAGACGTTCATCTTGCCGAGAAGAAAATGTAACAAGATCACCCTTACTGTGACATTCCCCTGCTGTGACAATTCCCTGCAGTATAGACGTTCGCTACGGTAGCATTACTACCCTGTCATTGGAAAACACGCCAGACATAACAGCGTGACAGCATATCCCCAAGTAGGTGCTAAATGCACGGCATGCATGCACATGCTTGCCACAAACACCTTCCTCCATAAGAGCTTTGAGCCTTCGATCTGTTGAGGTGCTGATATACTACTTCCAACGTGAGGCAAAGCCATCATGATTGAATGCCTTCCTGCATAGAAGAGCCCTGACATCCCGGCGCTGGGCTCAATTCAATGATCACTGCAGTTGCTGTACTTGATTATTACCCAAAGATAATCCTTGCAGCTCTGCATCAACGCCCATGAGGGCGCAGACGAATTAGCCAGAAGAGTAACCCAGTGACTTGCTACGTTGCAACATTTCTTGCAGTCGAGAAGTCTTTAACACAGACTCCACATTTGTAAGCACAAGGCCCCCCACCCCTGGAATGCTATGCTCGCATTCTGCCTTCCCAGCGCCCCAGTGACAAGCAGTGTCTGTCGAGAAAATGTGGCGTTTTCATCACAATTAGACATCAAGTGCAGCTTTTCACGCCGGTGGATCTGTGTGGGGACGAGGTAATCTATTATATTTCAGCACGCGCAGAAGAGTTTCTTGATCAACTGCATATCTTCCCGCCAGCTGCTCCAGAACCTCCACAGAAACACACCCTTGCTGATTGAGCTTTCCATGCTCGCGTAGAAGTGCGCGGACAGCTGGCAACTTCAGCCGTGCACTTGGCTCTGCTGGCCTGTGAATGTAAGAGCCTTGGGTTCTTTCCTGCACATGCGCAGGAGGACCTGATCAACAGAACAGAAGACTTTTCCATAGCAAGCAGCCGTTTGCAGGATATTAGAGCACAAAGTACATTCTATCCTCTTACCTGTTCGTTGGGCAAGGCCCTGCCTGTGATGGCCCCACCAAGCTTGTCCAGCACTGATCCAAAATCGACATCCTTTTGCTCATCGTTGTCTAATCCACTGTTGGACAATTTGTTTAAGACTTCCTTATCTCCACCTGCAATCCAAGATACGATGTCACACTAGATCAACAGAATCGAATGTCCGTCAGCAGGTTTCCCAGAAAAGATGTTCCCTCACCGTTTGCACTTTCAGGGACACTGTTTCTGACCAGAGATCCCTCAGTTTTCCTCAGCATTCCCTTTGCAGGGTACTGTCGACGAGCGAGGTGCGAGGCACTGTTGCCCATTGCGGTTGCAGATGATTGAGGCCAATTAAGCGGAACAACGAGAGTCCATGTCCAAAACTCTTGAAAGATTTGTACTAAAGTCCGCAAGATTTGTCGTTACCCAAAATTTCGCTGTACAGAAAGCTTTGCTACTTCATATGGATTAAGCCACTCTCAAGGCTTGACAAAGCCACGTGTCACATGCATTTATTGATGCAATCTTGATGCATGGCATTGCAAAATTTTATTCACCTGGCTAGCATCCTTTGTAACAGCTTGAATTATATGTCTGGTCAGCCATACAGATGCACTCGGCCGGCTGGTTGCAGTTCGTTATGGCTAGTCACAGGTAGGGCAAAACCTCTGAGAACGACATTTTCCACCAAGTGCCATCAGCACCCCCAAGTGGCCCTCGCCTGGGTAGACATCCACCAACTGCTGGGAGGCAATTTGGTGAGCTGTCTGGTGGACGTTTCAAGGGGGCACGTGCACTTCATGCAAACTTTAAAGCAATCACTAACTAGCTGCCAGCGCTGGCGGCAACAGAGTGCACATGTTCAATCATCCCGTCACCATAACGATAATAAAATTTTAAAAGTACAAGAGTGAGCTGCAGTGCACTTGCTTAGGTGTCCTCAAGTTTGATGAAAACCTCTCCTGTGGGGGTAGCTGTCCACAATATTGTATGTACTAGGGTATGTGGAAGGTGCGCATGCTGCCTTATCGTTTACAGGAGAGCCTGAGGTCAGTGAGCAATTGCATGTCACAAGGAATACAGACTATTTGACTTTGTAGTCCCTTTTCCCCTATAATCCCTTCACAGAGATGATTACCATGCACACTACCTTGCCCTCCGACGCCCGCTAACTTTCTTGTATTGCACCCTAAGCCTGCACCATTCTATCCGGAGAATGGCAATTTGCATTAAGATACTCTACAAAAGCCTGTTGTTTACGAGGAGCACCCAGCAGGCTGTAGCAGCATGTAGCTGTACAATGTGGGCCCGATACACGAAAACAGGAATTTTACCTGAAGCGAACTATCAGATGACTACCAGAAGATTAAGAAGCTATGCTGCTGGCATCTAGGACAAAAACTCATCACTTCATGCGGCTGTGCGGCCCTGCTTGGTCTGCAGCGTCACGCACAGACCCCAGAGTGCCCTCCCCTGTCAGGTTGTCACCTCCCCAGCCCTGAGCAGTCTTGCTCAGGATGTCAGTTGCTCCAATTTTCTGCACAGATGCCACAGCACCTCTCAGACACAACACATGGATGTGCTCAAAATCTTTCTTAGGTTCAAAATTGCAAGCACAGAAATAACTCCCCGATATTTTGAGTGTGAGTTTACCATGCCCTCCACATCCTCGTGGTCAGCGACGGTGACCTTCTGAGCAAACTCCTGCTCCTTCAGAAGGTCTGCAGTGTTTGACGGGATTCCCCCCTCAGCCTGCACCAGCCGACAAATGCATCGGAATGGGGTGTACTCAACACACGTCAAGATAGTGCAAGCCATCACACATCTGATAGTCTGGATGGTAAAAGACAATGACACCATGGCGGCACAGGCAACGCAGGGAGGGGTTGACCTGGATGGCCTCCTCAGCGGTCTTGGGCTCCACTGCCTCGGCGGCATCTCGCAGGGAGGCTTTGGCAGACTCCACAGTTTCCTTCACCCTGTCATTCACAGCAGATGCATCCAAAATCAGCATGACACCTCCTCTGCAATGTCAACATGAAAATTTTGCGGACACATCCGTAATGACTGCCCAATTTCTTATTCTATTTTCTTGCAGCTGTGGTTTTCAACCATAGTCATACTCAAAAGTAAGCGAGCTGCTCACCTGTCCTGCGCCTCTTCGAGAGTGCCCTTCGCCTTCTGATGAGCATTCTCAGAGTGGACTGTGTCTGTCTTGTCGCCTGAATTGAATGCGTCCTTGATCGATGCGAAGAGACCCTTGGATTGCTCCTTGGTCTCTTCGGCGGCGGCTGAGGCCCTGTACGAAGCGTTCTGCGCGGCGGCGCTGACCTTGTCTGCAGCCCGGGAGGTCTCCTCCTTTGCACTGTCCTTCAGCTCCTCGTCCTTCCCTTCTTCACCGCTCACAGGTGCTGTCAGGCGGCCCTTGACATAGCTCAGCCCTCCCACCACGGTATCCCTGCAGACATAAACAGAAAAGGATTGTAAACCACCAACACAACCCAAGTGTAGCCAGTGCCATCACTTTTCCTCAGGACCGCAATATACAGGAGCAGAAGGCTATTATTAACTGAGGCCTGTTTCTACAGGCAGGTATGAGACCAATTGAGGGTGCATACTTTGTGTGGATAGCGGCATCCTTGGCGGAGTCCAAAGCCTTCTGGCCCTCCTCCTTCACGTCTTCCTTGCCACTGGCGTTCTCATAGGCCTCCTGCTGCTTCTCCTGGGCTTTGTCCAATCCTTTGTTGACCTTATTGGCTGCCTTGTGGGCAGCATCAGTTCTGCGGTCGGTAAACACAGAAAATTCAGACAAGATCGTTCCCCAGCTCTTGCTGACAACCAAGTGTTAGGACTGCCAGCGCAAGAATAGCATCACACAGACTTCCACAAGAAGCTTGGCTTACCCTGATGCTTCCTCGCTCTTGTTGCCACCAAATAGATTGCCAAATGAACTCTTGATCTTGCCATATGCAGTCTTGGCTTCATTGGCAGCCTCATTCCCTTTCTCTTGGGCCTTGTCCGCAACAGAGTCTGCCTTGGCCTTGGCGCTCTCCTTTGCTTCCTTCGCGCTGCCCCTCACATGCTGGTCAGGGTGATCCTCTCCAGCAACTGGGGCAGTGAGCCTGGTCAAATGACACCAATGAGTCAGCAACACCATTCCTTGAGAACATTGGAACGAAAACAGATCTTGGCAAGGCACGCAAAGCAACCACACTGGGAGGTATCATACCTTTGGCCAACATACTTGGCAGCATCAGCAGCCTGCTGCCCAGCAGCACGTAGGTCGTGGCCCACTGTGGAAGCTGCAGATGCTGCGTGCTGGCCAGCTGCATTCACATCGTCTCTAGAGTTGGATGCGTGCTGCCTGGCCTTCCTCATATACTCATCAGAAGTGTTTGCCATCTGCGAACAGAAAAATTTCAGGACAATTGGAGATCGATCCAATTTCTAGTAACAGAAGCCATAACAGAGTTCTTGCATATATTCCAGTAGTTGCACGCGTGCGAGCCGCTCGGTTTCTTCAGTTGCTATCTCATCCGCAGACCGTACCTTGAAGGTTGGCTGTCTGTCTGTGCACTTTCTCCTGTATGATAGCCCTGAGGGTAGCAGGCAGTCTTCAGCTCTTACACTTAAGCCCAGACCAGTCCGGACGGTGTGATTGGGAGCAGTCGTTCTCGGGACACTTCCCTGGCGCGTTCCACTCACAGAAGCCTATCCTTACCTTACGAGAGTAATGAAGGCGTCCTTGTCCACGTCGAAGTTGAAGTCGTAAAAAGGTCGAGAATGGATACCCGATGCTGCGCTTGATGAATAGTGTGCCGTGACAAGGCTCTGCAGCTTCGCGGAAGGTGTGGTGGAGCTGGAAGCCAGGGGAGATAATTCAATAAATAAAAAGTTGGTAACGAACGAAGCACGAGGGATTCCTGCTGAAGCACCCACCTGACGCAATTGCTTCCTGCATTCATATGCACATCTCAATCCACCTGCGAGAAGGTGCCTCTAGTTCGGCCATATTTCTGTGCGTATTCAGATATGCATGGTACCGGTATTCTGGACATATGCATGCATGCATACCGTCACGGTACATACGGTATGCTAGCGCTGTGACAGCGTTACTTCTTGACATGCATCGGCTGGCGGGCGCCAGTATAAATTCTGAGCACCATGCCCACGGTTGATTGGGCTTGCTTGGATCTAGCGAGCCCATCTAGGAATAGGATTTTTGCAGCCTTTACCGCAGCTTGTCTGCAGACGAACCTTGCTTCTGGCAAGAAAGGCGTATAATATTATTAATGACACAGCTTTAAGACAGCCGCAGCATCTGACCACCATGATGGTATCCACAGTGTGCCTGCCGCTGGCTTCCAATTTGCCACCCGGCCGTGCCAGGCTAGCATGACACCGCATGCAAGCTCCGCAATTCTGCCATCATGGTACTCAGGATGAGGGGAACACTATCCAGTGGTTTTGTACTTGTAAGTGCCTTTGCCTTCCCTTCCACGCTCTGCTTGTATGGCTCTTTACATCTCCGCTCCTCTCTCAATGAACTGGGCTACAGACGATAAAGAGCGCCACACAGGTCAATGAGCATACAATCTGCATCTTGGAATATTCGGTAACAAAGCTTGACGTCGACAAAATGGGTCAAGGCTATGAGCAATCAGCGTGACCTGAGCCACAAAGGACGCAATTGGATGAGCTGACAGAGGTCAGCTGAACCTGCCGACCATTCATTGCTGTGCAAATGACATCATGAGTTGGGACCAAAAGCGCCTGTGGCTCCCCAGATACCCGGATATTTATTGTAGTAGTCATTCTAAAACCCGCACCCTCGGCGGTGCGGGTAATTTTTCAAAGCAACTTTCAGGGTCTTCCTGACTTGAAATACACCAGGTTCATGCTCCATGGGATTGGGCTTGTCAAGAGCTTTCCGAATCTGGTCTCAAAATAATCAGAGGTTTCATATTTTGGGAGATAGGGTCTTATTCATCCACCCTTTTTGGCCAAAAATGATTATTTACTGCGGGTTTTAGAATACTACTACAGTAGCTTTGTGTCCGTCAAATGTGGTGGAGGGCACTAAGACAGATGGCCTGCAGTCAAATCCGCAGAAACCCGGCAGATCACGAACCCGTATGACAGCACTGGACTCTCAAGACCTGAAACAAATAAATTGCTCTCGCACGCTCATATTTAAAGCTGTCCTCGCTCAACAGTACAATTGCTTGATTGGAGACATCGGCCATCTCAGACCTATTGGGTCAGGCGCTCCAACAATCGAGTGCGCATGGCAATATCCTGGCAGCAGGCTCCGCGGGCGGCCATTGTGATGGTGCTGCTGGCATGCTTCTCAACTCCACGAGCAACCATGCACATGTGGGAAGCCTCACAAACCACCAGTGTACCGGCAGCACCTGAAGCAAGCGACAACAGAGAATATAAGAATATCTCAAGCCCGCCAAAGTCAGTTATGAAATAGAAGCACAGAGTACAAATGCATAGCGTGACACACCTGCTGCGTTATGCACAGCATCAGTGATCTGCTGGGTCAGGCGCTCTTGTATCTGGAGTCGTCGGGAGTAGGTCCACAACAATGACTGCATTGCCTCGACTGATAGCCTGTGCCCTGACATCCCAGGTACGTACGCGATGTGCAGCACACCGTGGAAGGGCAGCATATGATGCTCACAGTGCGACATGAAATTGAGGTGCAATTCCTCTGCTGCAGCAGCTGCATGCAACTCTGCAGCGCCATCTGCTTGGCACGAGGCCTCTGCTGTGCTTCTGAGGGCAGGCAGCCTGCAGCCAGCTGTGGATGCCAGCAGGAACTTCACATATTGCCCTGCACTGCCCTGCAGTCCCTACAAGCCCACACATAGCGTGATTGAGCACAACTGCGGCGCTGCAGAGCAAATGAACAGCAGTATGCCAGGCAGGTGGACGGGGTCTGACAGACTGCAGCACCTCTCTATTCGGGTCCTCGCCAATCTCCCTCAATACGGACAGCACGGCATTCTCAAGAGCTTCAGGCACTGGTGCGCGGTTTGCTTCTTCCATGCACTCTGTCAAGCCGTTAGTGGCTGCTGGACACAGCTGGGGCTGTCGTTCAGGGCGCGCATAGCTGCCTTGCTGCGCACCAACTGGCTTGCCCTGTGCCTGCCTTGGTCCCGGAAGCCTCAGCAGGGCAAGATACTCCTGCAGGCACCATGAAAGTCATGTGAAATAGCGCTTGAGGACTTGCTTACCGCCATGCAGACCAACTGTGCTGTTGAAACTGCACGGAATGCCAATCAATTCACCTGCATGACATGCTCCTGCAAAAACGAGCCGCTTCTAGCCATGGTGACAACAGCATCCGCCCTCCTGCCGTACTCCAACTGTTGTGCCTCTATGACAACAGCGCACCCCTGCACCACAGCAAGGTGATCAAGCCTGGAGTTTTGGGCAGACATGCAGAAATACATTTTGTGCACAGAAGGAGGCTGTATGCACCTGAGGAAGAACTTCTGCCTCGAACGCCGCCAGCAGTTCTTGTGTGAAGCGTTCTTGCGTCTGCAGTCGCCTGGCAAACATTGTCACGAGCCGTGCCACCTTGCTGAGGCCCAGTACGATGCCCTGGCTGGGCATGTAGCCTATATGACATCTTCCATAGAAGGGAAGGAGGCTGCTCTCAGAGGTGGACGCGAAGTCTACGTCGCGCACAATTACAAGCCCGCTGGATGCTGTGGCCACTTCTGGCTCGTGAAATAGAGCGCCACCGACCACACTGTAGATCAGTGAAGTTTGCATTGGTACGAGCGGGAATGATGTCAATAGCCCAACTCTTGCCCACGTCCACTTCTTCAAAGCAACCATAAGTGCAGATGATCACCTTCGTGCCGTCTGTCTGTAGCCCCATGATGCATCTAGCCAGGCCTTCGCCACCCGCTGCAAGAAATTCAGCAGCACATACGTAAAGTAAAGGCCGACTCGTTTGAGGCAAAAACCAGGAACAGACTCCCGCACATGACCCACCTTTGGAGTGTCCCTAAGACCTTCACGAGTGACGTCCTCTCCAATCCCCACTATAATGCTCCGCACAGCATCCTGTAGACTTTCAAGTCTCTCAGACGATGGAATTGGACTTTGCTGATCCAGACAAGATTCTGAAGCATCCGCTGACAGATCTGTACCAGAAGATAGCGCACTCCCTCCCATTTTATTTTACACAGTCCACAATTCCACAAATTCAGCACGGCATCGATTTGGGAAGGCGTGAGCATCTCACGACCATTGACAGTAGGGAGGAACGCCGTATGCCTGATGACACTTGACAGGGCGGCGCATGCAGCACAGAGCGCAATGTACATTGAAGCACTGAACGCGATGGCGCCCTCTCAGCTAGTGTGGCAGCTCGTTAAGAACTACAACTGCTTCCTGCACAAGGGCCTCAATGGCTCGCAATTTTCTGCGGAGCCGGGCAATCTTTACAATCTGAACTCCTACAAGTACTCAGGTGAGGCTTACACATTCAGAAAGGCACGCCCGATTGGTTACACTAAAGGATATGTGGCGATCGTGTTAGAAGATCAGATCTCGTGATAGAACACATATGATCTTTGAACTTTTGCTGCCTCAGTACGATCTGTGAGAAAAGCTGCTGTATAGTTTTGTTTTCAAAGACTCCACATGAATACATAAGACCACAGAATGGAAGTCTCCTACTCCTGGACTGAACTGTGGGTAATTGTGTGTTATTGCAGGGATTGCTAACGAGAAGATTGTGCACGTTGAGGCTGCTGAGGAGGGCTCATTTGCTGTGACTCGGAACATCCCAAAGAATTCCAACAAGCCCAGGGACTCGCGGTCCAAAGCCACCAAGAAGAACAAGAACTTCAGGCGGGCAGCAATAAGGCTAGGAAAGGAGGTTCACACAGTCAGGCCAGACCTGAAGGTAAGTTACCTGGGGCTCGCAAACAGTTTACTGGGAGAGCAGAAGATTGGTGTCAGCCATTAGTGTATTAATGCATAGACTGCATTCGCTATGATCCAGATGGAGCTGCTTTGTTTCCTTATATGATACACAATGCAGGAATGCTGACATGAGTGATTCTCACTGCAGAAAGCAGCATTGGCTCGGGCCAGCGCGGTGAACAAGAGCCAGCGTACCACAGCAGCCAAATCGTCTTAGACAAGTATGTGGGACCAGTGTGAACATTTGAGGGAACTCCAACACTGCACGCCAGAAAGACAATGTGAGAGTGAGATAATGTAGCTGTAAAGAGGTGTACCGGTATCTGCTGGTCGGTTCCATCCTGAATCATGATCACTTGCTCTGCGGACAAGGTGGTGAGACACATAATCTATAAATGACTATTCTCAATTCGCTTCATTTCTGTGTTCCTCTTTAAAACCATCTCTTGACTACAGTATCCCAAAATAGTTATCCCAATCATTGGTGCACAAGCACAATGTTCATCAAGGCTTTTCATGACATTGGCGTGCATGTGCTATCAATACTGCCTTTTGTGAACCATTGCATGGACTTATTGAGAATAGTCATTTACTACTGAAGCAGATTTTCTCCTTTACACCCATTTCCAACAAAATTATAGTTTGTGCATGCAAACAAACACAGGTGAGCAGAACTGATGTAGACCAAAGTCCCTCTCGCAGCTTAAAAAGCATATACTGTCTGGAAATCCTGACAAGTACTGACTTGCGCAAGATCTTTGGCAAGTCCAAGTTCAGGTCACTTTGACTGATTGAGGGGCACATGCTGATGAAACAAGAGACAGAGGTAAGACGACCTAACACTACTGGTAACCATTCTAGGACACTCTACCTGGAGGCCGAAATTGGGAGCAACCTAATGGATCTACGACAAACTGAGATACTCTCAAGAGTCTGGTCAGCACATTGGAAAGCATGCACCAGTTTGGACTCACAGCTCAGACCGCACATCAGCCCACTTCTTCTCGATGGCTGCGCGAGAGGAGACATACGAGCTCTCAAGCTGGCGCTCAGCTTCCAGGATCTTCTTGTTGATGTCTGCGCGCAGCGCCTGCACAGACACAGTGTATGTGACATAAGCAAATGATCACTACCATCTCTTGAGCAATATTTGCCACATCTGCATGCAGTCAAAGCAGACTTTCTGAATACACCTTCATGTCCATTACCTGGGCATTGTCCCACTGCTTCTGAGCTGTGGAGCGGTTGTCGCCCGTGGCTGACTGCCATGCCTTCTGCGCCTTCTGCCACTGCTGCTCAGCTGTCAGGCGTGCCTCCTCCAGCTGCCCAGAAGCACTGTCGCGAGCAGCGTTGAGCCGGTTGGTCACAGCATCAGACGCGCTCTTTGTTGTTGCCGCCGAGCTGTCCTTGGTAGCAGTGACTTTCTCGCTCGCCAGCTTCTTCAGGTTCTGCAGAGGCAAACAGGTTCCATCAAACAGATGCTTGTGTGACCAGCAAAATGGGCATCAACAAGCCTGCTTCACGTGCTGTGATGCGGTCCTGCAGTGATCTAGCAAAGACACTGCTGGACGCGGTGGTCAAGTGGATGTACCTCAGTGGAAGAGCGCCCGGAGTTCTGCAGGTCCACAGCCTTCTGCTTGGCCCACTGCATGTATTCGGCTATTGTGTCTGCGGCATTTCCAGCAGCTGCCTGGGCGGCATCAGCAGCGTCTTTCCCTTTCTCCTTCACCTTCTGAGCTGTGTCTGCTGCAGCGTCATATGCCCCGCTTCCAGCCTGCTTCGTTTTCTCACTTGCCTTCTGTGCTGTGTCTGCTGCAGTGTCATAGGCAGCACGCCCAGCCTTCTTTGTCTTGTCACTTGCCTTCTGTGCTGTGTCTGCTGCAGTGTCATAGGCAGCACGCCCAGCCTTCTTTGTCTTGTCACTTGCCGTCTGTGCTGTGTCTGCTGCAGTGTCATACGCCACGCTGCCAGCCTGCTTTGTCTTCTCACTTGCCTTCTGCGCAGCGTCTGCTGCAGTGTCATAGGCTGCACGTCCAGCGCCCTTTGTCTTGTCACTGGCCTTTTGTGCTGTCTCAGCTGCTGCATCATAGGCTGCACTGCCCGCGTTCTTGGACTTGTCACTGGCCTTCTGTGCTGTTTCTGCAGCAGTGTTGTATGCTGCATTTGCCTTCTTGGCCCCAGCATCCTTGGCTGAGCCAGCTGCAGCCTGCGCCTGCCGTGCCTTCTCTGATGCTGTCCTGCTTGCTGAATCCACTGCTTCCTCGGCATCCTGGCTGTATCCCGAGGTAGCATGCGCCACCTGCAGCCATCAACACTTACATGTGAGAGAACAGCACTGTTGTCATACCTTTCACTGCAAATTAAAGAAGCCACACTGGCCTCCCACAAATATAGAAGGCCCCACATTTTCATTAAAGGAATAGCACCCACTAAATAGTTTACCTTCTCGTATGCCTGTGACGCTGTGTCTTTCACGCGCTGCCACGTTGACTCGCCCTGCTCCTTGGCATGCTTTGTGGCATCCTGGGCCTGAGAAGCTGTGTCTTGGGCCTGCTGAGAAGCACTTGACGCGGCATCTGATGCCACCTGCTTTGCCTGCTCATACTTCCCAGAAGCGGCGTCACGCGCACCCTTCACTGCCTCTGAAGCTTCTGCTGACTTGTCAGTTGCACCGCCCACAACCTGCACACGTTCAATAGATCAAACATCTCCACAGCCCCAGTTTAACCAAGCATCAGACCAGATACAAGTGGCAACATGGAACGCCAAAATGGACTTACATGCTCATATGCGTCGGTGACAACCTCCTTGACCTTCTGCCAGGCAGTTTCGCTCTGGTGCTGAGCGCTTCCTGCTGTGTCCTTGGCTCCTTGCTGGACTGAGTCTGCTGCATCATAGGTCACATCCTTTGCATGTCCAGCACCCCTTGATGCCTTGTCTTTCAGCATGTCCGAATGCTTCCTGGCTTCCTCAGTCACCTGCTGGCCAAACAGATTCCATTAGATGTCTGCAAATGTCACGGGACCCTAGCTTCCCTTCTATCAACATACACTGGCTGGACAAGCAAGTGAGTGCCCATGCACATTGCTTGCACTAACCTTGTGCCATGCAGAGTCACCAAGCTGCGTGTCGTAAGCAATCTGTGCTTGTTTTGCAATGTCTGACTCCGACATTTGCACCTTGTTTGTGGTCTTGGTGGCTTTGTCGACCTTGGCCTTTCCTTTCTGGCCAGCTGCTGCGGCTGCTTCGCGCACTTGCTGTTCAGCCTCCCTAGCCTTTTCAGCAGCTGTCTCGGATGTTCCGAGCACAGTGTCCTTCACAGCCTGAGAAACACCATAATATTCATCCATGATGCATTTCTCACAAACTGACAGGACTGCCTTACGCATAACATTCGCTGCTCATTCTAAGAAGGCAGCCTTGAGCACCTGCCAGGTGCTCTTCCCCTGATCAGCATTATCCCATTTCTCAGCGTCTTTGACCAAGTGGCTCGCTTCTGCTGCTGCCTTCTCTGCTTCCGCAGCCCTGCAACACAATATTTGCGTCATGCAGAGAATGCGCGGTGTACTCACCACCAGAAGCGTCTTCAAATCCAAGGCAGTGCTCTGTGGGACAGTGCTGCGATCAGGAAACAAAGCTGGAGCAGGTGGTCATACAATTCTGCAAGATTCTAGATGACAATCGGGACCAAACACGTACTTGGCTTTAGCCTGCTCAGTTCGATCATTGAAGACGTTTGTGACCTTGTCGGTCACCTTCTGGAAAATACCCGGCTCCTGCAGACAGTGACATATACATCACAAACGGGCAGGTAGGCCCGTTGAGTGTCACAGTTCGTGAGCATGGCATTACGAGGTACATAATCATGTCTGCGTTCCCCGACTAGTCCGGATTCCGTCCGATTCCCAATTCCATTTTAGCAAGCACGCGTGCACAAAGGATCCATAGCAGCACGTTGTTGTGCCAATGATGAATGATACTTGCCTTCTGTTCATCCGATTTCAGAGCGGCTGCAGAAATCTGGATGCTAGATGGTGCGGCGAGGAGGACGAACAACAGCAAAGCAAGAACTCTTTGCGATGCCATTGGTCCGTCTGTCGGTCGTCGTGCCAGCCCTTGAAAGTTTGCTCCGATGTCTCAGCTTTCAGTTACCCTCAGTCACAGCCTTTACAATCTACCACATAATCCTTTTGGAGTTATGTAGTTTCTAGAGGCATCTTCAACTCATCTCCAAACAGCATTCATTCAAAATTCCGACTCAGCAGCTTCCTGCCTCCGAGAAGGTGGCACAAAAGGTTTTCCCCGAAAGACAGGGATTTCTGGAAAACGAGAGATGGACTACTCCGTATAAGGGGAAGGGGGATCTTGAAGGAATAGGCATCAACAGTCTTGATTGCCATCAACAGCTAGCCGGCAATTGCAAGCATGAATGATACATCAAAGTAAATGGATTATGCTTGCAGCGCTGAGAGTACTACTAGTAGTACTCTACATCGGATGTAATGATGCAACCTGCTGACCTGTGAGTGTCAAGCACTTGTGGCATATCTGTGCTTTGACTATGAGGTACTCCCATCTTGCATTAATGCAAAAATATTTACCTATTTTAGGCAGTTTTGCTCGGACCTGGTGAGTCAATATATGGCAGCTTTGGAATTTCACATGCAGCCTTTCGCAGCTTTCTGGCAGGAACAACGAGTAACACATTAGCTGTCTTGGCAGTTAAACAGCTATGGACATCAAAGACAGCGATTAGTCTTGAAGGCAAGCACCTGTGGAATGGGCAATATCCAAGAATGACTGAAAAAGGTTGTTCAGAATGGTCTGCAATGCTTTACATGACAGTGCCATCATGGTGTTGAAGATCATCATAGTATCGATCCAATCTGATCCGATTCGATGACCAGCTCCTCTGAGAGCAACAAGTGTGCATCTTCATGCGGTATGACCTGCCGCATGGCAGCATCACCTTTGAAGGTGCTACCAGCAGCTGTTGGCATCATGCTGATCACGCTGATCAAGTATGACATCACCACCGTGATATTGGCATAAATATACCCAGCAGCAGCACTGTACACTGCCGCCAGTAAACCTTATCTGCTTTCTGGGAGTCTGTGATGGACTTGAGCCAGGATCCTGGTCAGCAGCGTTGTTGCCTTCGTGCTTCTCAGAAAGGCCAGGCTGGGCCAGGCTGGACATTTGATGGACGTCACAGGCCTGTCCTCTGCATTGCAGAGTCTGCAAGGCAACGCTGCCTGCCTGACTTGGCATTTCAGTCTCAGGAGCATTCCAGCTTTTGATGTAATACAATGTGAAGTCCTAGCGTAGAGCCACTAAGTGAGCTTGCCGCATTTGCCAGCCTGCCAGTCACTGTCACTGCCAGCCTGCCACTGGTAGTCACACGGTGCCTCGGAGGCAGTGCATCACACCCAATCTTGCTGAAGCTGATGCACACATATATCATAAAATGGTGGCATGCATGGAGATACGTACCACAGAAGAGGAAGAAAGAGATTGCACATCACAGTGCCAGCAGTTTTCACAGCACCCTTTGCAGCTGTTTAATCAAGAATTCAACTTGGAAACAAGGGGCCAAAATAAGATATGCTGACTCATAAATATCACTGCCAGCTTCCAGGATGAGGGAAGCTAGTGTATTTTCGGACAACCGAACACATGAGCGAGGGGCAGAGCAAGAATTCTCACAAGTTTTAATCAAAGATTTTAAATTACACAGCATCGATATACACCAAAGCTTTCCAAGCAAAAAAATCATGGCTCTTTCAATGACTTCAGTGCGCGCTCCCGTTGCCTTCCGATCTGCTGCTCTTGCACCGCGTGTGCGTGCCCGCGTCTCGCCTGTGGTTCACCAGCGTCGCAGCTTGGTCGTGCGTGCCGAGGTAAGATTGCTGTACACACTCTTCACCGTCCCTGTTGGGGACGCTGGTCTCTGATGGTGTCCAGGGACACTGGGTTACATGTGTGTCCACCAATCACGTGTCGCTGGACACCAATTTCGCGTGTTGGGAGGCTCCCAGCATCCTAGTGTGCAAGAAGATCGTTGCCAATGTTGACGCGTCCTAGCGCAGACGTGATCTTGACTAGCTTGTCTGTCGTGGGTGCCTTGTTGGTGTGGCTCATCACGCACACAACGGCGCTTCTATAGGCATTGGAAGCTTCAGCGATTCGTCTTGTTTCTGTCTCGTGCATTTCTTTTGGGAGCTAAGCATTGTGCCGATAATCTTAGAAGATTTCCACTGTTCTTGTAGACGCCGAGAAGCTGCTCCACTACTGACTCGATGGCGTGTGGCGTCCGATCCTCCTGTATGCCCTGTCTTACTGATAATTCTCTTGTGCTCTGCAGTCCATCGGCGACAAGGCAAAGAACGCGGCAGAGGACGCCAAGGATGCCGTCAGCGACGCTGCTGGTGCAGTCAAGTCGAAGGCTGGTGATGCCAAGGTGAGCATGATGTCTTTGTAAGAATTTGTCTTGGGCATGACAAGCATCTTGGGCATGACAACATGATGAACAAGTTCTAAAATAAAAGTTGGGAGAAACATTAAATACATTGATTTTTGCTTCGCACAGGACTTCGTGAAGGACAAAGCTGGTGACGCCAAGGGCGCCGCCAAGGACCTTGCGGGCAAGGGGTGAGGAGCCGTTCCATTTGAATGTCAGCTGTGTGTTTTGCACATTCATCTGTGTTTTTATCCCCTCTTCGCTGCTGTGCTCAACTTATTCTGTCAAGCCTTCGAAATAGACACCATGAAGCACGTAAATGGCGTGTGCTGAGTATGAAACTTCTACCTGTGTGCATTGCAGAGAGGACGCTGCTGGAGATGTTGAGAAGAAGGCCAAGAACGCCGCTGACGACACCAAGGGAGCAGCCAAGGATGCGTCCAGGAAGACTGAGCGTGCTGCTGATGATGCCAAGGACTCAGTGAAGAGGAATCTGTGAGCAGGCCATTTTGTAATTTGCAAGTAGGATAGATATTACGCTGAGTGAGAGAGATGGACTTCCAAATGGAAAGCCAATTTTGTGCCCTGCTTTGCGGAACATACTGAAAACTATTATGATGCATACTGGTGATTTTGCTTTGCCACTTTGACCAATCGTCAGATATGGCCTTGTGTAATCATTTTGGATGATCTGCAGAAATATTGGTACCATTCAAGTTGACGCTTTCAAACTCCTTTTCCCTAAAACCATATGATTTGCACTGGGTGTCCAACGGCTTATTACATTCATTGACACTGTCTATGACATATTCCAGATGCCCCTCTCTTATCACTATCACTTTACAGAGCGTGTGTCTCAACAATACACCTCATCTTCTCAAATACTCTTAATCATCCTCTAAGTCTTCCAGATTGTCAGGAACCACAGTGGACAAAACCAGTGCCCGCTTCGTAATGCGCGTGAGCTTTCTGCCTCCCGCGTTCTTCATTGAAGGAGGGTTTGGCACTTTCGCCTGCTGCTCTGTATCTTGCAACAGCTGCATCAGCTCATCATCCTCTGGCCCTCTTTCACCGCTTCCATATAACTCAAATCTGGTCCCCTGCATGTCTTGACGCCTTCCATTTTCCTTGTCTGGTTCATCCAAGCCGCTGTTTGCATCAGATGATGAGCTTGAGAGGGCAGGTGATGCGGCCTTTGCACTACCATCTCCAATCCTCCTGGACTTCTTTCCGGCCTGCAAGCAATGCAATGATCTAAGGTCATCTGAATCTCACAATCAGAAGCCTGACAGGACAATCCTAGTCATTGGTGAGCACCTGGTCTGAAGACGCTTCACTGTCGGTGTGGGATGCGCTGGCGTCAGAGAAGAGGTTGCCCACCCCCCTGCTCGAGTCCTCAGAATCACTGCGCTGTCCACCACCCTGCTTGGCAGCACCATGGCGTCGGGGAAAATATTACAATTGGGGAATACTTTTTGTTCAATGATTTGAAGCTCTGCTTAAAATGGCAAAAGAGACACATCAGACATACAGGCCAAACCCCAGATTGTTTCTCTTATCGTATGCATGATTCTAAACTCCCAAGCACAGTGCTAAGTCCGGCCAAATGAGCACCATGTGCAGAGGGGTGAGAAGTGGCACCATACCTGCTCCTGTCCAGCACCACTCTGTTTCAGCTGCAGCCCAAGGCGGCGCAGCTGGGTCCGGATCTGCCCTTTGCTCAGCTGCCCGGGGAGCTCTGCAGCGATCTTCGCCAGGCTGTCACGCTTGCCCTTGTGCGCATGGAACAGCCGCTGCAGCTCGCCCTTCTACGGCACAGCATAGCGCGCTGTGAATACTTTGTGCCGCGCTCACATGACCTCTTTTTATTCTGCTGGAACGCAGCATCTACCACGGCAGAATTTGGATAAGGTGAATAATATACCTGGCGGTCAGTCAGTTGGCCCTTCTTGAGGCCGAGGGCCTTCAGCTGGCGCTGGATCTGGGAGCGCTTGAACCTGTCGCTCATGTCAGTGCGGATGAGGTCAACATAGCCCTTGCTGTTGCCGTGCTTCTCAAAGAGGTCTACCAACAGCGTGCTGTCATCCGCGCTGAAAGCGATCGCAGACCGCGCCCGCTTCCTTCGTTGCCCCTGGGGTGCCGCCGCGTGTGGAGCCGCCGCATCAGAGCCGGATGCATCCGACTGCTCTGCATCCTCCCCAGCCCCGGACTGCTCCTTCCTGTATGTCGCCTGCCGTCACAGCATTGAGCACATGTCTCAGTCAGCCAGTTGATAGGACAGGCACCTGCTGAGGGCACACGCCAATGTCAGTCCAGGGCAGGCTGGTGTCACCCAGTCATGTGGATTGGAATTTAATTCCTAAGGGCTTCAAGGAGCAGCACAGAACCTTCCAGTGGTACTCGTCACGGACTTCTTCGGAGTCGTGGGCGTTCTTCCAGAACAGGAGCTCCACGAACATCATGGCTGCAAGCCCCTTTTGCAGAGCCTTCTCGCAGCCCATCTGCCCATCCTCCCCTTCATCTGCAGATACCACGCCACATATTCTGAGGCAGTTGAGGAGAGTGCCATAACCATCTTGAATTGAAGAAGCCACTCCAGGGGATGCATGCAACCTTGATGGGATGTGCACATGCTTAAAGCAAACGTTGGGAGGCACCTGCAGCGGCACGGCAGGCATCCTCGTCCGCTGGGCCAGGCACCAGCTTTGCAATGACGCTGCGCACTATGCGCGCCGCGAAGGACAGCACCTCAGAGGCGCCAGGCTGTTTGCGGAAGGGCGCGTCCGACAGGACCTGGTGCAAGACACGCAGCACGGACACCTGCGGACATGCGGCCGGCGCTGCCCTGTCAACCTTTGCGTGACAGGCGTCTGACCTGGCAGCCTGTAGGTGCTGAGATACAGACAGCTTCCATGAGGCAGTGTAGGCATGAATCACCTGGTACAGCATGGGCTCCAAGTTGAGGCCATCAGGGTCCGCGATGCGCTGGAGGAAGGTGATAAGACAGTGGTTGACAAAGCGGCTGTTGGTGGCATAACCTGTAAGGCACCACGGCATCTTAATGTCTGCGCTGGTGGTGCAGCAGGAATGTGCGCAGGTGGACTGTTGGCAGTGAAGCTTGAGAGCAGCAGCACGCACCCTGCAGCAGCCACGTGTAGAAGTGCACGATGGCAGGGAACGCAAGCTCCTGGCGCACTCGCTGCCGCAGGTCGCATGCCACCTCCTTGAGCCGATGCTCGAGCTCCTGCTGGTCCTGCATGCGCCCACACAAGATCTGCAATTATCCTGCTCTGGTACAGGAGGTTTCTCTGCCCATGTCCTGACTCTCAATTCTTAAAAGACTGAATGCCCCCATGACCGAGCCAGGCCTGTCTTTGCATCCTGCCCTTCCTACTAGGTGCTTTCAAGCAGATCGAGCTGGCGCCTTAGGGTCCAGTGGATTACAATATGGATGCCCATTGGGGGGATCAAGTCAGGCACATGAAGCTTGCCCGACTTTGCTCTCCACCACCAGAACATGCGGGCGATGCGCTGCGCACCTCTCCCTCCTCCTCCAGCAGCTGTTCCAGGGGGTCCTTGTCGCGGCCTTTCTTCGCGGCCGATGACACCTCGTGCTCTGAGCTGCTGGCATGACCAGCCTGGCGAAGGGGAGTGGCCGGCGTCGCAGGCGTAGCGGCTGGAGCAGCGGTGTCCCCTGCGGCGGCCGTGGGACTTGACTGTCCCTGGTCAGTGCCATCACTAGTGGCAGCCTTCTCCTCGTGGTCGCTGCCTGGCTCCAGGACCGCCTCACTCTGCTTGCTGGCCTTCCTCCGGCGGGCAGCAGCTGTGCGTCTCTGCACCAGGAACCCGCCGGCCTCTGCAACCACAGAATTCTGCTGGACTCTAGCTGCCTTGACTTATGCAAGCCTGGTCTACAGCACCAGAGCACGATGTATTGGCAAGCGATGGGAAGTGCAGTCACCTTGTTTTGACAACCGTTCCAACATGCGCAGGACGAGATGCAGGGCTTGAACCAGGTCACGGGCGTGCTCCTTGGATTGAAATTTGTAAACGAAGTGCTTCACAAGGCAAGCCAAGACTGGCAGGAGACCACTCTCCTTCTGATCGTCATGGAGCAGCCTGCAGCGGGGAGCAGTCAGTGTGTGCAGTGGGTCACCAGTAAGGGCAGGGGAGATGTTGAACGAAATGAACATTTCCAGCACCTGCGCTGCAGCCGGTCTGCAGCTCTCTTGTCGGCCTCGGTACCGGTCCTCTGAGCTATGTCCAGCGTGAACAACATCTCCTTCAGCAAGGCCAGGCTGGCATGCTGCACACGCACAGCTCATCATGACCAGCCAGTCCTCTCCGCATCCAAGGTCTTTAGCATGCTTCACAGACACACATGCGAGGTCTGACGTGCCTGCATGTCCCATTTTGACTCTGGCGCAGCAGCAGGCAGGTCAATGATGGCGTGCCATACAGACTGCACAAGGTAGAACATCTCCCAGCCCATTGTGGCTGAAATGTAGGCGAATGGAGACTCCTCAGAGCCAATGGTTCCATCTACGCCGCTCCTCTGCCGGGTCTTTTGGACCTCTTCCTGCGCACGATCAAGACCAGCATTGACGGCGTTCACATCTCTTGTGAGTCTCTAGGCAGGATTGGGAATGCGTGAGAGCAGCCCCGACGCACCTGCTGTTGGCGAACGAAACAAGTGAAGAAGCCAGCGACTTTGAAGAAGCGCAGAAAGTCTTCTTCGGAGAGCCTGCTGATGTTCAAGCCCGGCTCCAGGTCTCTGCGCAGGCCGCCCATGAGGAGGTTGTAGCTGCTGCTCAGGAACTGCTCCGCGAATCCTTTCAAGATCAGCAGGGCGTTGCTGTCCATGCGAGGCGGCTGCCTGTCCTCCTGCACATGTATCCCTCGTATGTCAGCGTCGTCAGGTCTCTGCTTGGAAGTCATCAAACAACAGGGAGTGTAGAAGGCAGCTACCGTTTTGGAAGCTCTGACCACTGATGCCAGAGGCCCTAGTGGGTCCTGACTGATGGGCCTTCCAATGCTGCACTGGGCCCTGGCGCCATCCGCCCTTGTAGTGAAAACACCTCCGAATCTGGGATGCCGCTGCATGACGGTGCTGGTGGGCGCCAGCCGCGCCCGTTGGTTTGGTGTGGGTGTCGGTTGCTGGACCTCATGAAGTGAGGTCTTGGGCAGTGTTGCTGCCTTGGGCTCATGCTTCCGCAGGACCTCAGCATCACAGTGGTTGAACAGAGCCGCAAAGATCTCGAGAAGTAGGGGAGCATCAGCCTGCAGAGCGCCCTGCAACACCCTTGGTCTGTCAGCGTGTTCTTTGGAAGCAGATGCCATTACACAACCTCTTTCATGCTTAAGCTCGTGACTACGTGACATAGAGCATACCCGCGAGGTGTGCTGGGCCATCACAAGCAACAGCTCAAGCACAGAGTCCTCGTGCAGACGACAAAGCAGCTTTGAGCTCATCCTGCTTTTGTGGCTGCCGCTTGAACCTGCAGTAAGGCGCACGCTCACTCCAACCATTTCTCAAACCTTGATGGCAGAGGTCAGAGTCCTCCACAACAGCACTTTGCAAGAACAATGAGGGAAGGGCAGTGCAGCACCTGATGAGGACCCTGAATCCGGGATGACAATCAAGTTGCGCAGGAAAGTGACCACAAGCTGTACGATGAGCACGTCCCTGTCTGACATGTGGCCATCTGCATGCCGCATGAGGGGCCGGCTGACCAACGCAACCACCACGGCCAGAGCGTCTTGCGCCAGGAACGCATCCTTCACATCATGCATCACCTCCACCTGCACACACGCGCCATATTTCACAAATGGGCGTTCGTGACCGTTCGCAGTTACGTGAGGGTGTCCCAGAACGTCTTGGCAGTTGGCTGTGCAGTTGGCTGTGCTGACCTGGAGGGCGTGGTTGTCGCTTTCAGGGTCGATGGGCATGGTCAGGAAGGTGACCACCTTCACTGAAACAGGCAAACATCTCTTAAATTGGGTTGACAAGCAGCAGCATTAGGTCAGCAACGCTAGAAGTGCTTGAAGGGCCTCACGTGCGTTGTAGACCAGGTCAGTATCGGCTGCATAAGTGGTGATCAATGGCACCAAGTCATTTCGTGCGGTCTTATATCTGCCCACAGTAAAGAAACAATCCCTCGTGCGCTGGTCATCCTGACGCAGGAACCTCTGCAAATCCTTGAGGCAATCTGCACAAGAGAGGTCATCACATCGGGTAATTCACAATATGTGAATAAGGAAAAGTAATTAAAACGAGCATGTTGCCAGGGACACACCAATGCAATCGTCGTCTTTGCTATATATTTGCTGACCGTTATCGAGGCTTTCCCATCGGCCCAGGCCCCCTATTACTGATATGAGAAGGTTGGACTCCAAGATCTCCATGTTGTTTTAGATGTTGTCTTGTCCGTGCAACTGATCGAACATCATTTCTTCTTTTACAAATCAGTCTTATTTGTTGGACGTTGCCAACCTGATTTGAATTCCCTGTGCAAAGCATAGATTAGGGACCCCTGACCCCCTGCAGGGTTCTAATTTGTGACAGGGCTACACGAATGCACGATTGGAAGGCAGGGTTGCCCAGTATGTCTGCATTCTCCGGGGGGGCAACTTGATACATGAGCTTTGCACTGGTTCAGTCTGGGTGATAGGGCATCCCTTGACCATATCAATATCATCCTTGCTGCTGCAGCTGCCCTCATGCGCATGCACGCGTGTGTATGCATATAAAGTTTATATTATAAACCATATGGTTTCAAACAAGTTGTATGCATTGCAGCTACCCTCATCTGTAACAGGAATGCGCGATTGTGATCCCTGTAGGCAGTCCCACTTATATCCACTAGTATGCCAGTGCTTATGGTCCCTTACTTTTGGTGGGGCTTCCTCCCTTCTCGTGAGCAATACTGCAGTGGCACTGTGATCAGCTCCTGCTCGCTAGCTGAACCACTACAGAGCTGCAAGCTAAGCTGAAGCTATGATCGGGGGCCGCAGCATTCGCATCCTGCGCAGCTTGATGCCCAAAATGCTGAGACCATTTCACCTAATCCTACATGTCCTGAAATTCCGGTACTCCTAAAACCTCTCTTGGATCCTAACTCCGGAAAAGGCGCCACAAAGTGCATCAGGGGCTGGTCGACAAGACATGAGCCTTTGTATGACCAGGCCAACATGCCCTCTCATCCAGGGAAAGTTTGGGTTGATAGCAGAACAGCAAGACACACAGCAAGAGACTCTATAACTCAAATTTCTGCTCTTTGCCTGAGCATGAGCCGCTCACTTCCAGGAGAGGTTATTGCCTGAAATGCAAAGTTATCTGGCGCAGTACTTGCGCCCTGTATCACAAGCATTGCCACTGCCCCAGGCATGTACACAAGTGCCACCCATTTTGCTGCGTCACATCCGCAGACTGCCACACTGCAGAGGGGCTTCACTGCCGGGTGACAGTTGATCGCACGGCCTCAGCCACATCCTGCTCGGATATGTCCCCAAGGTCACTGCCCTGCAGCTCCACGCTCAAACCATCCAGAAAACCCTTGAAAAAGTCCTTGGTGCTGGCGTACATCATCTTTGCCTTGATACGAGCAGCATCTGGAGCCCTGTCGTCATCAAGCAAGCAGGTCGAATGCATTGCACTGAAAGATCTTGAAGGGGTGCGGAAGAGGACCCAGATATTTCTTGTATATGCCAGGCGTGAGAGAGTGGAAGGTACCAATTGATGAAGACCAGCTTGTTGAAGATGCAGCCTTCGCTATTCTTGAACTGGTGGTCGTACACTGTATCCACCAGAACAAGATCGAGTCAGTATAAGCGTGCTGCATGTGCAGCAACAATCACATCTCACCAAAGATATTTAGTGTGACAAAGAGGTACCTCCATATCTGCAGTCTGAGCCTGGCAAGACTGCAAGCAGGTCTTGATATGTGGAGTCTTTGGAGCCAAGATCGGCAATGACCACCTGCAAGCACACGGCGATCAGTGGGAAATAATGAAATCCTGCTGTCAGTGGCACCACGTTCTGTGACAGCACACGTCACTGTGGCTGGTCAATGTGGCTGCATGCGAAAGGGCACTGTGCACTACATGTACATTCTTACCTCGTTTCCGTCATTGTTGATCATCCATGTTGCCCATCGATACTGCAGCACATGCAACGACTCTCAGACTTGCTTATCCTGGGAGCAAGGACACATGATCTATTTCTTTTGCTGCCTGGCCCATGTCACACATATTTGGGAGTCAGCTCCTCACCGATGACTTGGCCTTGAGGAAGTAGTACATGTTGACGGCATCCTCCGACACCGAGATCCCGCTCATGGATGTCTGCACCCGCAAATCGGCACTCCATCATCAGACACCATCCTTACTCCACAATACATTGCCGCAAGCCCTTGCAAAGCACAGGCCCTGGCGGTGTCTTACCGCCTGACTCTGCTTTGGCCGCCTCCCACCCAGATTGGGGATGTTCTTCGGCACCTCTGTCCGCCCCAGCCGAACGAGGCCGGAAGTGGCGGCCGGCTGCGGCTGTGCGACGTCTGGCTGCTGTGACGGTGGCCGTTGGGCTGGTGCCGCTGCCGTCACTGATGGAGCAGGAGGGGCAGGGACATGCGGCTGGCTTGTGCTGTTGCTTGGTGTGGGCTGAACAGGTGGCACAGGCTGCGTGCTACGCGAGGGTGCTTGAGACTTTGGCTGCGGCGGTGCCGGAATGGCATTTTGCTTTGCCTGGGCTGCGCTGGTCTCAGCTGGTGGCGCACACCATTGCAGATTAAAAAGGTGAGATATGTGCCAGGAGAAGAGATATGTGCCCAGGCTGATGTTTATTTTAATTAACAAGCGAAACTGTGTACCTGGGAGGACGTGATTTTGGTCATGCGCGTCGGTTGCCTTGCTGCCAATATCCAGAGACTCCAAGAAAGCTCGCTTGACATTTGTGAATTCTGCTTCAGGGATGAAGCCAGCATCCAGCCCAGCCTTGACAAGCAAAAAGCAAGGAGTGACACGATGCAGGATTTAAGTTGCATGACCACAGAAAGAATCGGGCTCACGCCAGCGGCTGATTACGAGATTCCCAGACGCACCTTGATTTGCTGCGCCCTCAAGAAAGAACTTTTGACTGTGTCATAATCAGGCTGGTCAATCAATCCTTCATCCAGGGCAGCCTTAGCGGTGCGTAAAACGTCGTAATTTAAAACAGACATCTGCACGCACGCAAGCAGAGCCCAACAACAGTCTCGTTCCTGTAGCAACGATGTGATGCTCGAGGCAGAGGCTCGATGCAGAGAAGTAAGCGAGCTACGAAAGGGACAAGAATTCAGTGCAGTATCTCCAAGTCAAAAGGCGAGATGATGGATGTGAATCATTCCCTGCACTCCTGAATCAGCAGAATTTCTTTTCCAACGTTTGAAAGATGTCTGGATTTTGGCTTCAGCTAGGTTTACGATAATACCCTCTAAACTTTATAAAATGAATAGAGACAGCCGAAGGGCACAGAACACAGCCAAAGGCCAAGTCTTCGTTTTCTTGGCCGCCAAGAAAACGAATCAGCAGCTGCACAAAATGTACGTGATTGGCGTGTAGTGTAGTGCAGGCAGCCTTGCAATCCCACACTCCCCCGTCTTTCTGGGAACAGTATGATCTGGAAACCCCATTTGTACACATGACCAGTCACAAATGGACACAAATGAACCTCGTCACGACGATTCAAAGGCAATATATTGAGAGAGAGGCCTCCACAGAGGACACATGGCCAAGGGCTATTACCCACTTCTTCTTCACCGTATGGGTAGTAACATTGTAATTATTCGCTCCAAGGCTTTTATGCCATTGACTTCTAGACGATTGTTCTAGAGTTTTTCGCCGCTCTGAGCCTCATGACGTTCTCCGTGATATGTGACAACATTTTGCAGGCGAGCTACTTCCCTGTTCTCCCTGTTCTCAGTTCTCCCACGGCAGGTGGTGTGGTGCAACAATTAACCAGAATAACGCAATATACGTGACGCAGGGCTCCCTGGTGCGGTCCATCTCCCGCAAGGATCAAGATGCGCCGCTTTCAGGAGGGCTTGTTGAAGGAATCAAGCCTAGCAAGGTTGTTGCCTGGCCAGCTTACCAAAAGCTCCTGAAATGGCGCACAAGGCACCTAGCATCCATTTTGCATCGCAGTCTGCTCATTTCTAAGCTCTCACACGGGTCAAGTGCAGCAAAACCCATTCTTAGGTGTGTGAAGTGAATCCTCCTGTAGTAGCTACTGTGAATAAGTGCATAGTCGAACATTTGTATGCAGAATATTACCCTAAATATAGAGTTCCACAAATGCTGCGGGGACAGGTCACTCAGCACGGAGCAGACAGGTGCGGCACTTAAGCGTCAGTGCTGTGCTCTGTGGGTGTGCATAGGCAAGCCAAGGTGCTGGAAGCGGTGGCTTTATGTCGTACAAGCGGGTATTTTGCATTCGCAGGTGTTTCACCCTTCAAGTGCGCTGTATGTTTGTCAGTCACCATGTGCACAGCAGCCTTTGCAATGTACTATATTGGAAGGCGAAGAAGGTGCCAGGTGAGAGACTAGGACAGCGGCAAGCTTGGATTGCATTTCCGAGACAAAGCTGGAGTCCACTTGTCATTTCAGCTAGGTGCACATGCAGCAGAACCATGAATGAGTAAGAGGGACGTCACCAAAGAAGAACTGTACTTGTCGTGGACCACAGGAGTGTTTAAACTTATCAAGCGCTGCAACAGTGGAGATTCAGGACGCGGCGCAGATCTTTGACTGTCAGCAGAAGATGTGCTGAAGCTGAAGGTGATCTCAATGAATCTCTTACATCAGACGCTCGCTAAGACCTACACCTTAATATTAAGGCTGGGGCTCTGCAATTTGCCCTCAGTAGAGAGTCAATCCTGCAGTAGATATCAATTATGGAATTCAAGGAAGGGTTCAGCAGAAGTGAGCCTTATGTACAGGCGGAGAGTAAGGCAAGGGAGAATGACCTGTTGGACCTCCGCCGATGGCCGGATGATGCCCAAGGGCAGCTTCAGAACACACAGACTGCACTAATTCTCAAAGAAATGGAGTGCAGAGCTCTGTTGTATAATATACAAGCAATGCAGGTGAGATAACAGAAGCTGCCAGCACCCAGCTCTAGCCAACACATGGTCTTCATTCAACTTTGGCGGGGCATTATCAGGTTCTTAAACCTTTTTTACTATTTAATTTTATGCAGCATACTCAAGCTCGTGAGAAGTTGCATGGATGTGCCAGGGGATTGCATCTGCTGATGCGGAATGCTGGTGCGCACTTGAAGCTCCTCGGCTTTTGGTGAGCGCCAAGAATCGTGTGGACTACAGGTGACCCTTCTCATGCCAGTGACTGTTTTCATTGCAGCAATGCTAAGGTGATTGCTGAGCTGGATATTGAGACATACCAAGGTCAAAGAAAATAGGAACAGGTTGGGCTAACAGGCAGGCATGTCCATTGCCAAAGCAGCAGGAGGCCTGCCAACTTAATGCGATCCTTCCTCAAAGATCAGATACAAGGTGGGTGGGCATGGGAAAATTTCTTCCTATTCACTCTGGACAGAGGAAGCGCTACTTTGAGGCATGTCCTGCTGTTCTCAAGGTTTTGCCAAGAGTCACAAGCACCTGATTTGCAGGGATTGCCGAGGAGTGACGAGCACCGTGAAGAGAAATTTGATTGTTCTGGCCAGCGACGATCTTGGGCAGGAAAACACGGCGTGTGTTGGTCATCAATCATTTGTAATGCTGGGCCCTGATAAGTTGAACCAGGAGTATAATCTAAACGTGCATTTGAGCGGCCAGAATTTGCAGCAGCGAGGGACGATGAGATCTAAGAGGCAATGATGCTTTCGAGTCCGCCCAACCTAGAGGAGCACCTGAGGAAAATGGGGCCAATGATGATGTCAACATCACTTAAAGGGTTGCCAATGTCCACTGCGATCTTGCACCCACACATTGGGTCTACTCAGACGTGCAAGCAAGTTGCCGGGAGACGGCATGCATACGTGATGAAGAGATCATCTTTGATTCCGGATGATCGCGGCAACGTAAATTGGTACAGTGCATGACGATGTTCTCGATGTCTTTTGAGATCGGCTTACCGAGAGCCATTGGGCATATACGCAGCTGCAGGGCGTTTGTAGCGACATGTCCGGGGCCTACATGGGTGCAGCCTAGCACTGGTACACATTATTTTCATTCGCAAACCGCACGCACTCCCTGCATCAGAAATATCGTATCCCTTATCGGATCCTTCCACGTGTCGAGTCGCATACTCATGATAGCATGCATTGAACCTCTCCAAACCACCGCAAACAATGTAGGTGTCCCTAGGGACTTGTACGTTGTTTGCGGCAATACTATGAGGATCTGCCCGGGCCCCGGACATCTCACAGCCGGCGGACCTCTGGTGGTCAGCGGCAAGGCTTGCTTTGCCTACATTTAGATGCTGGACGATGCCAGACACCTAGCCCACTTGGCGAAGCAGATTATAATGGCGGCGACACCCGGATCAACGTCATGCCAGGGCGGATGAGACAGCCCAGCCAGCATGCCTCCTGCCGGGCTGAGCGGCAGCAGCAGGCAGTGTCACAGCCGCCGCGCCGCTCCGGTCCTCATCTAATCCGCACAGGTCCGCGCACGCGCGGGGCAGCCACACACCCGGCCCGGAGCAGCGGCGGCTCGTAGCTTGCGTACAGGCCGGCCACGCTCCCAGGGGCGATCATGGCAGCCCACCTCGTGCAAATCGTGCAGGGCTGAATGTCCTTCAGCCAGCAGGCCTCTGCGGACCGGCGCGCGTTTCTTGCCGGCTCGCGGCCCACAGCCAGCCGCTCCGATGGACTGCACTCCTCTGCCAGATGCAGAGATTCTTCAAGCAGTGAGCCAGGCACAGGCAGACATGGACATCGATGCGCAGCCGGCACAGCTGTGGTCTCGGAGGCGACACCCATTGAGTGTATAATACCTGCTTGCGCGCCGCTGCAGCGAACGCCGCGGCCGCCGCCGCCGCCGCGGTGGGGGTCGCTTCCGCGAGCGACACGCGGCCGCCAGTCCAATGAAATGCGACGGCCAACATGAGGTGCTGCTGGCGGATTAGCACCCTGCACAGGATGCCACAGTAGCCCAGGTGCACGTTCCGTCAGCACCACTTTAACTCTCCAGCGTTCCGAGCACGCGAATATGGGACTGCCTGGAATGGACGTCTGACAGACACTCTTCTCCCCAGCGACAGCGTCGCAGCGATACACCGGCACGGAGCCGTTCCAGCTGCAGTCAAGGGATTCTTCAGCAGCGAGGGACTAGCGCCACAGAATGCTAGGCAACACTCTCCGCCCAGTAAGAGCCTGTCAGAGGATTCGTATGGGTTGCCTGCTTTGACACCAGCGGAACTCGTGTTACCGTAGGTTGATTCAGCCCCAGGCCCTGGCCGCCAGCAGGGCAGACCCGCAATATCGCCGTAATTCAACTCACGTGCCGTCGCCTGCACCGCCCAGCATGCACCGCACGCTTCGTTTGCCGGCCTTGCGGATCGGGCCGCGCCAGGCAGCTGACAGATTGGTGGCTGCAGCAGCAAGAGCAGGAAACATAGCCACTCCAGACTAAGGGCCCGCTGGCACGTTGACCTTCGCTACGGCCTACAAGCCGCCTGCGATCGCCTTCCCTGCCCCTAATAGCCTCGACATCAACGGCATCCGGCGCTGGCACAAAAATGGCGCTGGCGCTGCCACTTCAGCCTTTCTGGACATGACAACTGGGACTTTATCTCCCTTCTGAAGACCCTCAGGAGAGGGGGCAGCAGGAGGGGCCCAACGGGATCCGCTGCAACTGAGCCGGGCCCGCGTTCTGGCCACCACACCTCTCGTCTTGCAGAATGTGCAGGGCCAGAATTTGAAGAATGAACAGATAGTGGCTCACTGCGGACCGCGTCGTAGCTGAGCGAGTCTGGCTTGAGGCGGCGTTGTCCCTACAATTTCTGGGAAGCCTATGTAGTGCCTCACGGTTGCTGGCACCGACATCCACGCTGCTGGGAAAGTGAGAAGAAGCTGCCAGATGTGCTTATGGCGTGCTGAGAGCGAGGCAAGTCCTGCTCTGCCAGCCAGGCTACGCCAGGCAGGAACATTCCTGTGAAGCTAGAAGTCGAAGAAGACGGCCAGTTGCTCTGGCTCCAGCAGCCTGCCCAGCATCTTGGCCTCGAGTGGCAACATCTGGGCTCGGATTTCCACAAGCGCTATGCCGGCAACCCTTTGCCGTTCGGAAGCAGGTCTAGTTGCCCGGGTCAAGATGGCTGTGTAGAGGGCTGTGGCCGCAGCATCTGGCTAGACAGAGAATGCCCAGGTGCTTGACTCCGTCGCTCGGCGTCGCAAAAGTGACTCCTATACCCAGTCAAGTGGCTGGGAGTGCCCGCGCTGGTAAAAGGCCCAGAGCTGGCAGATGGTAGCTAAGCGAAGGCGCTGTCAGAGAGGCCTGAGTTGCCGCGGCGGCTCCCACACCCTGGTGTCATTTGCCAGCAGCAGGTCTGTGCTGCGAGGCGGCGCGGTCTCCCCTGTGACGGCTGCCCATGTCGCTGCATGCCAGTCCCACACTCCTGCTGCCAAGGGGCAAGTGATGAAAACGTGGGTGAGTGTGGCGGGCTGACTCTCGCAGCCGCTATGCGGGCAGCTGTGTCCTGCTGGATCTGCGCGGCGGATGCGCTGTGAGAAGGCGCAGACGAAGAGCTTGCCGTGAAGCAGCTGCCAGGCCGTGGTGCGCTGCCGCCGGTCGTGATGGGATGTGTAAATGACCCTCCACACATGCGCCCAAGGTGCGGCCTGCCCTGCAGCGGGCGCGGCGGCGTCCACCGTGTCTGAAGGTGGACCCTGGGACTGTGCTGGCTCAACGGCAGGCTCCAGTGCAGGAACCTGGCGATCCGGCCACGGAGCTGGCCGCTGCCGCGACGGGCGCATCCATGCTGCGTAGGACGAGGGGTCGGGCTCCCCCCGGGGCCGCTTTCCCAGGACCCCAGTCCCTGTGACCGCTGCCGCTGCTCTGAACTGTCAGCGCGCCTCAAGTGCCCTCAGGCCGCTGCGCTGATCGTCCGTTTTTTTTTTTTTTTTTATTTTTAAAAGGGGAAGCCCCCGCTATTACACAGGTGCCAGTCGCACGCTTCCCAGCACGCATGCAATAGGATATTTGGGGAAACCTGTCAGAGTTGGGGCACGCAGAGCACTCCCGCAGGAGGATAATGCGATACTTAAGAGAAGCGCAAGCATGAAGGCATACCACAGAAAGGCAACAGAAAGGCTCCTAGCGATGGACATGTCCCAAGCACCAGAGGGTAACCTCATCCCCAGAGGCGCACTCCAGCCCGCCGGCAACGCAACACCGCTGAGGTGACGTTGGAGGACCCACGGGGCAAGCCTAGGGCTTGCAGCTGGAGGCAGGGGTCACAGCAAAGCAGGCAATCATCAATCACTGGCAGGCAATTATGGATGTGCGGGCAACCAGTGGTGGAACAGACATGAAAGGCACGTTTATACGGTTGGCCGACAGGGATGGAACAGGATCGCGTTCGGACCCATTACCACTAGGTGCCGCTCGGGGCTGGCAATGTGACCCTAAACTATGCCTCAATCTGCCAGCAAGGTGGGGCACAAGCAAACGGTAGCATATGGGAGATATGAAGCCGCAAATGAGGCGAAAAACAGGTAGGCTGGCGAGAACTTTTTTTTTTTTTTTTTTTTTTAAAAGGGGAAGCCCCCGCTATTACACAGGTGCCAGTCGCACGCTTCCCAGCACGCATGCAATAGGATATTTGGGGAAACCTGTCAGAGTTGGGGCACGCAGAGCACTCCCGCAGGAGGATAATGCGATACTGAAGAGAAGCGCAAGCATGAAGGCATACCACAGAAAGGCAACAGAAAGGCTCCTAGCGATGGACATGTCCCAAGCACCAGAGGGTAACCTCATCCCCAGAGGCGCACTCCAGCCCGCCGGCAACGCAACACCGCTGAGGTGACGTTGGAGGACCCACGGGGCAAGCCTAGGGCTTGCAGCTGGAGGCAGGGGTCACAGCAAAGCAGGCAATCATCAATCACTGGCAGGCAATTATGGATGTGCGGGCAACCAGTGGTGGAACAGACATGAAAGGCACGTTTATACGGTTGGCCGACAGGGATGGAACAGGATCGCGTTCGGACCCATTACCACTAGGTGCCGCTCGGGGCTGGCAATGTGACCCTAAACTATGCCTCAATCTGCCAGCAAGGTGGGGCACAAGCAAACGGTGGCATATGGGAGATATGAAGCCGCAAATGAGGCGAAAAACAGGTAGGCTGGTGAGAACTCGACCAGATACACACACCCACCACATTGGAGGCGGGGATAGGCAGGAGGCATCATGTCCAAGGTCCTAGACACCCGCTCAGGTTCAAGGGTGGATACTGGGGTTGGAAACCCTAAACCCTTCAGATAGCCTTCAATGAACTACTGTGAATGGTGAGGAGGACAGACACTAAGGCAGAAGGCCACGGATGACAGGCCAAGGGGATTGTTGGGGCTGCTGGTGAGACAGAAACATCGGAGGATCACTGGAAAACTATTGATAGCCTAAAGCCCTGGGCAGGGTGGTCTTCTGTAAGCTTGCGCCAACGCTCTGGCTCTCCGGCACGGTACTCCACAGGTAGCGGGGCGCACGATGGATCCGTCTGGCCGAGGGATACCCAAGGGGTGAGCCGCGCAAACACGTCCGGTGGTGGGCGAGGCCACCGGCACTGGGTGGCGAGGCCAGTGCCCCAGGGGTGAAGGAGGCACCCCCGGGGCCGTGTTGGGCCGAGCTCGACAGGTCCCTCGACCAGTGGAAGCACGTGACTCGGAGCCCCATTCCGCGCTGGCAAAGGTTAGAGGTAGGAGAGGCGCAAAGCTTCTGGTAGGCAATCTGTGGTCCCAGGGCTCTAAGGCAAAAGGGGTCTCAGACAAGGAACGACAGGCCGGGCTTTGCCGGGGTGGGATCGGGACTGGTGAAAGGTTAGTCATCCGTGCCTGACTATGGTATGACGAAGGCTCTTAGCGCCCATGTGCCCAGAGCACCTATCGCAAAGGCCCCCCTAAGAGAGGGTGTGAGTTCAACACAAGAATCGACACGAGCGGGTGTCATGGCAGAAGGCCAAATGAGAGCATGGTCATACAGATAGCCAAGTTTTTTTTTTTTTTTTTTTTTTTTTTTAAAGGGGGAGCCCCCGCTATTACATAGGTGCCAATCGCACGCTTCCCAGCACGCATGCAATAGGATATTTGGGGAAACCTGTCAGAGTTGGGGCACGCAGAGCACTCCCGCAGGAGGATAATGCGATACCTAAGAAAAGCGCAAGCATGAAGGCATACCACAGAAAGGCAACAGAAAGGCTCCTAGCGATGGACATGTCCCAAGCACCAGAGGGCAACCTCATCCCCAGAGGCGCGCTCCAGCCCGCCGGCAACGCAACACCGCTGAGGTGACGTTGGAGGACCCACGGGGCAAGCCTAGGGCTTGCAGCTGGAGGCAGGGGTCACAGCAAAGAAGGCAATCAAGTTAGAGCCGTGGCCGGCTGGGTACAGTGAATGGTGGATCGGAAGCGTCACGCTGGAAGCGGCACGGGATGCTGGGCACTCCAGTGGATGACTGGTTGCGCGCCCGGCAGCTCCTCCAGCGCGCAGAGGACCGCGCGGTGGCACCATCGCGCCGCAAACTGCTCCCTGGTGATCATCGGGTCGCGTCCGCGAAGCCAGTCGCTGAGCACACCTGCTGTCTGCCGGACGTTGACGGTCGCGAGCCGCCAATCGGCAAGCAGGGCCTTCTTGCAGGAAGACAGGATGCGAGCCGCAACCGCTCCGGGGGTGATCGCCGCCGCATCTGGCTGGTGGCGGCCGCGCTGATATGCTGCCCACAGCTGACAGATTGTAGCGAGCCGCAGGCGATCCCAGAGCTGCCTGAGCTGCCGCGGCGGTCCCCAGATCCTGGTGTCATCGGCGAGAAGAAGGTCGGCGCTGCGCGGTGGCGCGTCGTCTCCGGTCACCGCGGCCCATGTCGCTGCGAACCAGTCCCACACCCCGGCGGCGAGAGGGCAGATGATGAAGACATGGGTGAGTGTGGCCAGCTGACCTGCACAGCTCGGATGCGGGCAAACGTGACCGATCGTCCGTGATGTCGGCCCAGATGGCCGGCCGCAGCGGATCGAGGGGGCGGGCCTCTCCCTTGCTGATCCTGTGGAGGACCTGGCGGCGCGTGGTGGCCTCCCTGACCACGAACTCATGTGCCGGTCGCAGGCCGAGTCCCCAAGCTTGGGGATCCACGACTTGGCTGCCCCAGCGGCCGAAGAGGTACAGCGTGGGTGCTGCGGGCGGGGGCACCAGAGCGTCCTTTTCGTGCTCCTGTGCTCCAGGCTGCTGGCGCTTCCCGGGGCGCGGGTGCCAGGGCCAAGTGAATCAGGTGGTGGATGCCACACAGACAGGCTTCCTGCCTAAGCGCTGGGCGGGGGACAACGTGCTGGCACACCTGGAGGAGATCAGCTACCTGGAGGCCACACACCAGCCAGGCGTGCAGGTCTTCCTGGACTTCGAGAAGGCCTTCGATCGCCTTGACAGGGCCTGGATTGAGCGGTGCATGGCTGCGGTGGGCTTCGGGCCCGGTGTGCAGCGGTGGGTGCACATTCTGCACTCCGGCACGACCGCGCGAGTGGCCTTCAACGGCTGGCACACCGATGCCTTCCCGGTGGCCGCCGGCGTCTTCCAGGGAAGCCCCCTCTCGCCGCTGCTGTTTGTGCTTGCCGCGCAGCCGATGGCCGCGCATGCCAGGATGCTTGCAGGCCAGCTAGCTTTCCAGCCCATCAGACTGCCTTCAGGGGAGCCAGCACCAGTCATGCACCAGCATGCGGACGACACCAGCGTGCACGCGCGGACTCCCCGGGATGCTCAGATCGTGCTGGGGGCCAGCGTGGGCCTCCACTGCGCAGCCACAGGAGCCAGGCTGCAGCGCAGCAAGAGCCAGGCCCTAGGGCTTGGCAGCCTCAGCCATCTCGCCGGGCCCGATCCAGTCACGGGGGTCACCTTCGCGGCTTCGAGCGACGGCGTCAAGCACCTGGGCATTCCCTTGTCCACCCAGCCAGCTGCAGCTGCCACAGCCCTATACACAGCCATCATTGAGAAGGTGGAGGCCCGCATCGCCCGCTGGTCCGGCTTCAGACTCAGCCTGCTGGGCCGAGCGTACGTCGCAAAACAGGTGCTGGCCTCCATGGTCACCTACCATGCCACCTTCATACCGGTGCCACAAGACTTGCTACAGAGGCTCTGCAGAGCCATCCACACTTTCGTCGCGGCGAACCGGCCGGTGACCCCTGGCGCAGCGGCGGCGCTGTTCCCAAGCAAGGACGTCTGCTTCCGCGCGGCCGCACACGGCGGCATCGCGCTGGTGGACATCAAGGCCCAGATCCTGGCTCTCCAGGCCAAGGTGGTGGGCAGGCTGTTGGAGCCGGAACAGCTGGCCTGGAAGGCCTACTTCGACCACTGGCTGTACAGGAGCACAGCCTGGCTGGCAGCGCAGGAACCCGGCACGGTGTCAGCGCGGCGGCAGCACATCTGGCAGCTGGGAAGATTCCTGCTCTTCTCCACCTTTGCAGCGAAGCATGTGGAGGCCCCGCAGCGCGTACGGCAGTACCTGCATGCCTACCAGCAGCTGCGGCCCCATCACCTGCGGAAGCCGGAAGCGATCGGCTACGACGCAGTCATGGGTGAGCCACTGTTCTTCAACAGGGAGCTCACGGATGCAGTCAGGCAGCCCTTTGCCTGGGAGGACTGGGCCAGGCTTGGCCTGGTCAGGATCAGCCACCTGCGCGATGTCGTGCGCGGCCCGGAGCATCCGGTTCGGATGGTGCGAGAGCGCGTGCCCATCCTTCTGGCTGCCTTGCCAGCAGCCTGGAGAGCGCTAATCCAGGTGCAGCCACCGGCCGCTATGTGGTGCGCATCTCCGGACCCGTCAGATCGCCGCGTCTGGTCTCGCACAGCCGAAGGTAGCACCTACCTTCTCAGCCACACAGTAAGCAGCACAGGAGCCCTTGTGCCAGTGGACGGAGGCGTTGCAGCCATGCACGCCTTCCTTCCTCCGGCCGCGCAGCCTGCATTGGTTCAGCACTGGGACATCACCAGGCCCTGGCATCCACGCAGCGGCACACGTCAGCAGCGCCATCACGCGGAGCAGCTGCACCCAGAGCAGCACCTGCAGGTGGAGCAGCAGCCAGGGGAGCAGTTGGAGTGGGAGCAGCAGCTGCCGGAGCCACTGCCACCACCGCCGCCCACACTATACTTCTTTGGCCTCTGGGGATCCCAGGTACAGGACCCTCAGGCTTGGGGGCTCGGCACGCGGCCGGCACATGAGTTTGTGGTGAGGGAGGCCACCGCGCGGCGACAGGTGCTTCACAGGATCAGCAAGGGGGAGGCCAGCCCGGCGGGCCCGCTGCGACCAGCCATCTGGGCTGATACCACAGATGATCAGCGCAGCGGCCTTCGGGCGCTCGAGGCGCGATGGGAGGCCAGGGCTGCAGCTGCTGGTACCGCGTCGCAGGTCTTAGGCAAGAGGCCTCGAGGGCAGCCTGATCCCTCCTCCTGGGCGATCTGGATGGCTGCGCCGCAACCACGTCCGGTTCCGCTGCGGGACCGCGGCGGGCCTGCGGGCGCGCCAGCGGGCCCTTCACCAGTGCCACAGGGAGCAGATGTCACTGTTGATCCTGCTGCTGCTGTCACAGCAGACCCATCAGCACCTTGGGCTCATGTGTGGCAAGTGGTGCACGCTTCCCATCTGGACCGGCGGCAGCGCGTGACAGCGTGGAGGCTGCTGCATGGCCAGCTCTTCGTCGGCAGCTTCGCGCGTCACGTCCACCGCGCCGATCCCGCCGGTCACGTTTGCCCGCATCCGAGCTGTGCAGGTCAGCTGGCCACACTCACCCATGTCTTCATCATCTGCCCTCTCGCCGCCGGGGTGTGGGACTGGTTCGCAGCGACATGGGCCGCGGTGACCGGAGACGACGCGCCACCGCGCAGCGCCGACCTTCTTCTCGCCGATGACACCAGGATCTGGGGACCGCCGCGGCAGCTCAGGCAGCTCTGGGATCGCCTGCGGCTCGCTACAATCTGTCAGCTGTGGGCAGCATATCAGCGCGGCCGCCACCAGCCAGATGCGGCGGCGATCACCCCCGGAGCGGTTGCGGCTCGCATCCTGTCTTCCTGCAAGAAGGCCCTGCTTGCCGATTGGCGGCTCGCGACCGTCAACGTCCGGCAGACAGCAGGTGTGCTCAGCGACTGGCTTCGCGGACGCGACCCGATGATCACCAGGGAGCAGTTTGCGGCGCGATGGTGCCACCGCGCGGTCCTCTGCGCGCTGGAGGAGCTGCCGGGCGCGCAACCAGTCATCCACTGGAGTGCCCAGCATCCCGTGCCGCTTCCAGCGTGACGCTTCCGATCCACCATTCACTGTACCCAGCCGGCCACGGCTCTAACTTGGCTATCTGTATGACCATGCTCTCATTTGGCCTTCTGCCATGACACCCGCTCGTGTCGATTCTTGTGTTGAACTCACACCCTCTCTTAGGGGGGCCTTTGCGATAGGTGCTCTGGGCACATGGGCGCTAAGAGCCTTCGTCATACCATAGTCAGGCACGGATGACTAACCTTTCACCAGTCCCGATCCCACCCCGGCAAAGCCCGGCCTGTCGTTCCTTGTCTGAGACCCCTTTTGCCTTAGAGCCCTGGGACCACAGATTGCCTACCAGAAGCTTTGCGCCTCTCCTACCTCTAACCTTTGCCAGCGCGGAATGGGGCTCCGAGTCACGTGCTTCCACTGGTCGAGGGACCTGT